ACGCTTATACTGTTACTCACAAGACGGTAAATATACAAAAAAGACGGTAAGTGATGGTATCTAGATTCGCCTATTGGGTCTAATGATGATTGGAGTGTCCAATCAAAATCGATCACCATTTACCATCTTTTTTGTATATTTACCGTCTTGTGAGTAACAGTATAAGCGTAAATATATGTTTTAAGGGTTATAAGACGTTGCTTTTATTTACTTTCCGTACATTTAATAACACGTACAATGCTGATCAAGAAGTTATTTATTAATTAATAGTTTTGAAAATGCACACTAGTCCTGAATAAAAAATGTATTACTTTACATGGTACTCAACTAATTTTCAAACATATTTATGTTCAATTATTGTTAGGCTTATAAAAAAATGTGATACGTAATTACAAAAAATATGTTTAATGAATCGTAATACTAATTAATTAGTTTAGTTAATGTGAACTTTAAGGACTAAATAGCAACTCTGTGAAAGCCTCTCAATTAGACCATAAGTATTTAGATGAGTTTGATGACTTTAGGACTTCATTCGTGATGTTAAACGTATATGGAAATCTTGATAAAACATGTTTTACATTATGTCACAAAATTTTTTTTACTGTACGGTATAAGTTAAACTAAAACATGTGAGATATATATTAAAAAGATTATTGATACATATAATACACGCTAAAACACACTTTTGAATATATAAAATATATACAAACATTAAAAAGTAACATGGTCCCATTTTTTTAAAAGCTGTAGTACTTACCAAATTATAAATGTTCTTTTTTGTTAACCTACTAAACGAGTATCAAAGCCAGCTTAGTGTTCTGTGATAATTATATCAATCACATAATGTTTTATCAAGTACAAACCCTTGTTTCACTTTTTACCACGTTTATGTAATATCTTATGAGAGTTTACAACTGTTTTAAGAGTCACAATTAAACTTTTTTGCCTCCCAAACCTTTTTCAACAGCTCCCTAGCAGCAATTTCTTCAGCTGTCTTTCTTGAGCTTGCAATAGCTTCTGCACTACCCACACCTTCAACGGCCACACTTACCCTTAGCTTAACCTCATGGTGTGGTCCGATCCTCTCAATCAAGGAGTATTCTGCCATTGGTTTTTCATTCTTTTGAGTCCAGTTATTTAAAGTTGTTTTAAAAGAAACTTCCTTATCCGTACTGTATCTCACCTTTTTGTTCCATCTAGACTCTACAAAAGTCTTTGCAGTATAAAACCCGCCATCAACATAGATAGCTCCTATCAACGCCTCAACAGAGTCCTCTAAGCGTTTTTGGTTTGATAAATCTTCCAACCCTACAAACGATGGTAGACGGATCATTTTCCCTAGGTTTGCCAATGTCTTTGAACAAACTAGTTTTGCTTTCATTTTTGATAGGACGCCTCTTGATTTGTTTGGAAACTGTAGGAATAGCATTTCAGATACAACCATGTTAAGAACAGAATCGCCTAAGAGTTCTAATCTTTCAAAATTCTTAATGTCATTTGGATCAGTGACATCTTGAATATGTTTTATAACATAACCAAGCAATGTGGGATCCTTAAACTTATAGTGGATGATGTTGCAAAACTTGTTTACCGTCCTATCCATGGTTAGTTCTTTTATAATTGTTGGTGAGCAAACACAAGTAAGCAACGTTACTAAGACATCACAAACATAAAGTGCACAAAGCTATGGAATTTTTTTAAAATAAACACTTATTGACAAATTATGTTAAACTTCCTTATCGCTAATGTGATATCACACTCCTTGTATATTTTTGTAAAAAGTCTTGGTTATAAACAAACATTCCATCAAATAAATGAATATTCACTCTAGATAGTGCTAAGTAAGATAAGACAAGTTAACATATTTAGTTTATAAAATTTCATAACACTTTAAACCCATTTTATTTTCTTATATACTGTAACTTAAGTGTAAATTTAAGTGGGGCGTATTTCTATCTATAGTGTTGTTGTAAGAAAGACAATGAATATATATGATTTAACTAACAGTTTCCTTAATCTACATAGATTCTTTAAACTTATAATGCTTTACGTGTTTGTGATGATCATGGGAAACGATTTCATTTGACTATGAATGAAAGTAGAAAACGCATCTATGACGTCATCAGCTATACATTCAATAATGAAAAAATCATCAAGGAGGCCCTCACCCCACCGTTTCCGCAGAAAAAGCCCAGTGGGGATAAGATGATAGAGTTTAAAAGGCTAAAATGGCTTGGAGACAGTATTTTACACATGGTGACTACCGACATGCTTTACAAACACTTTCCTGAAGAAGATGAAGGTTATTTGACAGCAAAGAAAAATATTTTAGTGTCAGCCAATACTATCACTGAAATATCGAAACTTATAAACGTGAATGAATTCATGTTTCGAGATCCTTATGGTTTTCTGGATAATTCTGAAAGATGTTTTAGTGACACAGTTGAGGCTATTATCGGTGCTATTTATCTAGATAGCAACATTGAAAGTGTAACTAAGTTTGTCCATAAGTTTTGGTTTGGATTTATAAATGTTGATACTTCACAACTGTACTATAGTAATAATCATCCTAAAAGCATATTAGGGAATTGGACTGATAAACATAAGATACCTGGGCCGAAATATGATGTAATAGATACTTCCGGCCCCCAACATAACCTTGTTTACAAAGTGAAAGTTTCCATAGAAGGTATCGGTGAGGCGATTGGTGAGGCATATACAAAAAAAGAGGCGGAAACAGAAGCTGCAAAGGAACTATGCAAGATGATGCCGGAGTTGGAAGTAACGCCGAACCCGGAGGATGATACAAGTGATTATTGTGCACCCAGTTAAATTAAAAGGCATGATTGCTCGGTTCTGTTCCACTGTGTATTATATAAATGGCAAAACTCAAATCTTCTTTTGGATTTTAGCAAGTATAATCAGCTGTATATAATATTTATTTGTCTATACTTTCAATACATTGTCCGGCACCTAAATATTAATATAGTTTCTTATGTTAGACCTCTATAGTAATCATCTTAATTAGTAAGCCTATTAAATGTTATTACTTGCCCATACATTGAAGGTTTTATTGAAACAAGCGTTATTTGAAATCTAAAGGTGATAGAATATAAGAAATGTAGTTAAATATCAAACAATTTAAGTTATATAATTATTATTTGGCTAATTGTATTATAATTTACGAAAATTAGAAAAGGACACTTCTAATAACATTTGAATCAGACATCTACACGTATACTATGAACCCAGAAAAATGTTAAATAGAAATAGAATATGGTAAGTGGTACTTATTCCATATTTTATTTGTATTAACTGTCATGTGGGTCAAATGAAGTGAAATACATGTTTTAAATCATAGGACGTATTTTTAATTACTTTCCAGATATTAATAACACGTATGATGTATGTAAGTTATTATTACAATATATAGTTTCTTTTTATTACATTTCAAATCAATAGATTATTGCTCTGTTTATGAATAAATTATCACCACTCTTTGCTTATGGTAAAAATTTCACTATACATCATTCCATAAATTTATAACAAATGAAAAGCTTTAAATTTTTTTTTTACAATGTTTTAATTCATTGTAATGTCCTTGTAAAAAAAACTACTGTCAAACTAGTTACAGCTGGAAAACATAAATACAGTTTAGGAATATTTTTAATTTCAGATTATAAGCCATTTTACACTGTACATACTATTACGAGACAACAAACTAGTGATTTAATTATTAAAATATATTTTCATAAAATATATTTCTTCAATACGAATTGTAATTTACTTTTAAGACATTGATACTATTTTTGCTTGATATTAGACGTGATTACTTATCTGTCATTGCATACTTCCAATTACTAAATACGTGAACTGCGACTGTATATTCAAAATATTGTAAATTTTTTAACTATGAAAAATATTTTATTCAGTTTAATGAGAGAACTTATTTCAAAGTAGAGTGTTATACAATGTAATTTAATAATTTTGAGTTCATTTAAAGAGTGATGATCTACCAAGGTACCAGTCCGGAATTGCTTTCACATTACATCAGGCTAGACCTAGGTGGTGCGGCATCATTAGTTAGATAAAATACATATTTGACGGGATTTGAACCCGGGGCCTTAAGACCAAATACCATGCTCTATCACCAGACTAGGTAGCTCCCCAATTCTGGGTGAGTTTGGGTGGTAATAGATTTGTTATTAAAATGACGTATGTCTAACTCTTTCTTATATAGCTAACTATTAAAAGCAAAATCGAAATAAACATAATAGTGCAGCAACATGGCTTTGGATTTTGGAATTTAATCTATTTCCAGTTTAATTTAGGCATTATCGATTCATGAAGTAAATAGTCAACTTCTTCGACCCTGTAAGCCTGTGAGTGAATAACGGTATTAAAAGATAGGACACAACTAACCCAAAAAGGTAAGCAAAATAGGTTTGTATAAATGCCAAATATTGTACTAGTGCTTTTTTTATGTATTCAAAACAGGAATAGGTGTTTTATTAGTAATGTTTTTATATGATTTTATGTATGTTTTATTGATGAACAGTGACGTTAATGAAGAGAACGGTTTGTGCAAATAATAATGTTATTAATAAACCTATTATAAGATACTGAGTGGTTATAATATGATTTACAGATAAGAATAAATGTTTAAATAGTCAGATATCCTGTAAAATGTCATGTGCTGTATATGGTTCATAGTACTTTATGAGTTAAAAATTACAAACACAAAGTGTAGATGTGTGTGATACTGATAACAATCTAGAAATTACGTAATTTGTCTTTAAATTCAGTTTACAATTATTTAACTGTATGTTTTAATGGTTCCAAGCAAGTTGGTTGTGACTAAATATCATTTTTAATATTTGATTTGAGGGATCACCATATGTTATAAAAATACTTGGTTGTATTTGTGTAAACCTCCAGTGGTGTTTTATGTGTTTTAGGAAACTAGAAACAAACATTTAACATAACTGAGTTCGTTGGTTATGGATAATTCAGCGCATCCAAACTCTCCAAATGAACAAAGTATACAGACACGTAAACCTAATGAAACAGACTCATTGAGTTCTAATGAATCAAAACTTACATCAGAGCATGAAACAACAACGTCTTCATCTTCAGATGAAACAGACGAAAAACAAACATTTACTAGAAATAAACATTCTGAAAATGAAAATAATGGTGACGAAGATGTTCATAAGGATAAACTGGCAAAAGGTAGGCAAAGAAAGGTTCATAAAAGGAAGAAGAAATCTAGTAAATCCAAACAACAAATTGAATCAAATCCCAACCCTGCATCTAGCTCCGATCAATCTAATGAGGTGGGGAAAGGTACATCTGAAAACAAGGATACTACAACTGAACCTTCAAAAGATGAAAAAGACTTTACAGAAGCACAAGAAGACTCTTCGAAAGCTACAGCCACAGCACAATCACCAGCCGTAAAACCTACTCTTTCAATCGAAGTTGTTCAAGAACCAGATACGAAACCTACCCTAAGAAGACCCAGTAGGGGTGGAGGACCAAAAAGACTTAAGTCTAAAACTCGGAATGGAAGAAGAAACCCTTTGATGATGCCAAAGCCAGTTGAACCTCCTCCTCCACCACCTGCCCCTCCTCCAGCTCCCGTCGAGCCAGAAAAGCCTACGACTGAAAACACGGAAGAAACGAAGGAAGTCGTTGCACCTCTACCAGTAGGTAATAGATATTTTATCATATTAGAATGCCACAGTTGTTGTTTTTATAGGTTTAGTATTTAATATTACACAAGGTATTTAGAGTTGATAAGTATTCTCAGAATTAATTTTATACATTACAAAACACTTGTAAAAGGAGCGGTTGTGAATTATTGTCCTATGTTTAAAGTAATTAAATGAAGTTATTTGTTGTATTAATAGTCAAAGCTAATACATAACAACAATACATAACAATACATAACAACAAATCTTAAACTGTGTGTTGTGTTATGAAAATAATTTCTAGTGGAACATTTTTTTAATCGGACATGATAAAATATGGAAGTTGCTCTAAAAAGATCCTTAAACAAACATCTAAATTAAGTTTAACGATCTAAAGTTTGATTATAAATCTGATTAAATTTGTAAGGGGTGTCGATGCATTATTAGAAAATATATAACATAGGAAAATACTGGCAGGAAAAATAGCATGACTTATGAATTCCAGTAAAGACTCCTATCAACATCTGTGTAAGAGAAGACTGGAGAGCTCGTGCAACCAAGTATCCAAAGGATTTGGAAGTCGAAGAAACTGCCCTTAAACTACCAGCTGTGGGGGTTGTGTTCATTACTAACACTGAAGTGGACGAGTGCAAATCATGGGCGCATTGTGCTCATGAAGTGAGAAAAATCCAAAACTACCACATGGACGTGTTGGGCCTTAAGGACATAGCTTACAAGTAAATGATTATGTTTTATGTATTTGTAAATTTGTAAATAGTTTGCAAGGAAGCTTTCCAAGTCTGTTCCGTGATTAGAGGGTGGACTAATCAATTTTAATAATAATGAGAGACAGCATTTTCTTAAGGACGTATATAAGAGCATAAGGGACTCATTGAGTGTTTCCGGCTTTTAGTTCGTATATCGACAATTTTTTTAATTGGTTGGCTTGAAAAAAATATCATTTGGGTGCAAATTTGACCTCGCTTGGTATCAAACCATTGATATTTCATGAGATAATGAACTTATAAATTCTAATAAAGTTCCAAAAGGATTGTAGAACACGATTTTCATGCATGAGGACGCATTAGGGGCTCAAGAAACTTTTCGACTTTTAGTTCGTTTAAAAATATCCATAAGTATTAATTTTGGAGACCACCCCATTAAAATGTTTCTTTCCATTATTTGCACATTATGTCATCTCAAATTCCTATAAATTGTAATGACCACTGTGCCTAAAGTACAATACTTTAAAATTAATTGATAATGATATAAATTTAAACTCAAGTACCAAAATAATGTGTATATTTTACAGATTTTACTTAAAATACAACTGTCACAACTGAACAGATGTATTCATTTGTCTTTGATATTTCTCAGCTGGTTAATAGGAGGTGACATGACTGTATTTGAAGGTCTAGGCTGGGATAGACGTGGTCCGGCTGCAAGCAATACAGAAGTCAACAAGTTTTTGGGACACGATGTATACATTGGCTTCTTAGGTCAATACACAGGTGAGAGGCACATTACTAGTTAGAAAAAATTCTAAGAAAGTGATTTTTTCTCTAGTCATCGTAATATGTTATTCTAAGATTACATAAGAATTCGTTTGGGTTTGAATATCAACTTTTGGTACATGCTAAATTTAATATAAGCTTCAATTTCAATTTGAAAATCTTGGCTGGTACAAAAAATAGAACATCGAAGTTGGTTTGAAAAATACTGGTCAGTTCATTTAGTTCAAATTTCAAATATTTTATTATGCTATAAACTTTGAACGTTAAACGCAAAACCTTAATTTACTAAAACGCCTTTATTTTATTTATTTATTACTTGGTACAGCACATATACAATAAATTTACAATACAAAACTGCATAAGCCTTAAAAAAGGCTTGTCTGTGGCGATTCTTTTAATACTAATTGTCTTTTCCATCTTTATCTTGATCTTGAGTCAGTGTGAACTATTAACTGTACAAAAATATATTTCCTACTTCTTAAACAGTAACAAATTTGGCTTATGAGCATTTTACATTATTACAAACATTTTAAATATTAAAGGGCCAAAGCTGTAGAAAAATTGTACAATGAGACTAATGCTGTATTGTTTATATTTGATTTAACTTATTATTTCTAGGTCTAGATGACAAACTAGATCACCCACAGAAACGCAAATAGAATGCACCAAGAGTTTTATTAAAACTTGCTTATAATGTTTTTATTTGTTTTGTTTTTAGCTGAGACCATCCCCCTGAATACACTTCATCATGCGCTTGCCTTCATACACTTAAGTATGCCAACGTATATCGCAGAAGAGTACAACACTCACGTGTATGACAGTTTAGAGATCCTAGATGACAAAAATTATGATTTCGTTCAAGATATATGACCCTTGTAGTTAACATCTAGTTGTACTTTTTTACTTTATTTACACAAATACAATTTTCCTTAAACCTATGCTGCATCATTATTTTTTACTATTTGTTTACACATTTATGAAATTTTGGATGACTTTAAAAAAAAAAATTGTATTAAAGAGATCAGGCAGTACTTTCCTGTTAAAGGGAACATTCATTATTATCGATGATTTTTTTCTCGATTTATCGATATTAACAAATTGAAACATATCAGCTGACAACTACGATGAATATTGTTTAGTATCAACAAACAATAACGAAATGAAGCTGTTCTAAACAAAAATAACCTAACATAACTAACCAAACTTGCTGTGTAACATTCCATGTTTAACTTGCCTTTTCTGCTATCAAAAGCAATTTTTAAATAGTACAGCAAGTTTGGTTGGTTATGTTAGGTTAGCTTAGAACAGTTTCATTTCTTTAATCCATATATTAGACTATTTAGCCTAAACAAGATCAGTTGTCAATATGTAATGGATCGGTAAACAAAAATAACGATACATCGGAAAAAAATCATCGATAATAATAAGTGTTCCCTTTAAGAGGAAAGTAACGATCAGGCTAATAATCATTCTACAATTCCATTTATAAATATAAAATGGCAGAAAAGTTCACTTTGTGAAATAGTTTACATTTGAGTCCCACTGAATGGATACTATTTCTTTTACTACAATTTCTGTAGTTTCAATGTCTATTTGTGCCTATTTTATTTAACTAGGCATTTGATTTGCGTCCTGGCCAGTACTACAGGCTGCACCATAATCACTTAGAAAAAAATTTATTTTTGATTGTCGGGATTCAAACCAGGAAACTTTGTGAGCAAAATTCCACACTTTTCCATATAAGTAGAGTGCTCCTGTTATAGTACGACCATTTAGTTACAAGAAGTTTCACTAATGCATAAAATTTAAACACACCTTTTCAGTTAATTCAATCACCAAATATGGGTAATATGTAGACATGTTAAATTATTTATCCTAACACCAACAATGTACAATCATATTTTTTAATCGTACGGGAGTTCGTCAAAGCCATCACAGTTTGGTAGGTTTTTCTTCTTTAAGAACCCCCCTTCTTTCCACAAGTAAAACTCTCTCATTCGAATGTATCTGCGGAGTTTTCCGAGTTTAACTAGTTTTTCAAAGGTTGATCTCAAGATTTCGGAATCATCGGCATCTACAATAGAAATAAAAAACTAATAATAATTCGATCAATATTTTAAACCTTTTTCAAACCAAGGACGTTAATGTATTGAATGTAAAATTAGTTATATTAGATTTAATATATACATCAAATTGTTAAAGCATTTAGTAAAAATGTATGTATATCAATTGCATTACGTTGGAACTAATTACATTTCATAGTAGTTCAAAGAGGCAGAAAAATAAGTACTTTGACACAGCTGGGTAAATGTGTAGGTGGTCAGGGTGGCATGGTGGTAAAGTAATGGTGACTCACGACGACGTAATAGTAACGTAATTGAAGAAAGAAAGAAAACAGTTTATTTTGCATGCAGATACAAACAACAAGGTAATGTTGTTCAAAGGTTTATTGCAGACATATCCCATATCAATGGTAAAAAACAATACACAACGTTTCGGAAACTGGAATCTGATCCCATCCTTAGTTGTAAAAAACTGAACACAGTACAACTAACAATACACAAAAGCCCAACCTAAGTTGGAATACACTACAGACATATACAGCATTTCACTGCTATTCTCTCAACTGACGTCACCATTATGTCATCGTTACGTCAATTGCGAAACGACCACCCAGCTCACTTAGTTGAAAAAAATATTATATTTTTTCAAATAAATGCTATATTTTGTCAAATGTAAGTTACCCCTCACCTTGCACAGTGCCGATGTATGCTACATCAATACTCTCTAGGAAAAGGTCAACCATTTCGTGTATGACGGGGACCCTGATTCCAGCTGCCTTCCAGCCACGGCCTTCATATATCGCCCCGTCACCGCCAATGAGAAAACTGAAATCATTCAAAGGTCAAGATCCAAAATCAATGTTTGCTTTATTAGGTTGAAACGTCAATATAAAACATTCACTCGTTACACTCATATTATCGTTAGCTTCAAGGTATAGAGGATAGGTACGTGTTGAGATGTAGGTATTTTTTTTAAATATGATCAATATCTTCTAAATAAATAACTATCAAGCTATAAACGTTTAACAACAATCGTTTAAGCATATTATTGCAGAATTATACGCCACCAATAAGGATGTCACACTATTAAAATAATTGCAAGTCAATATAAAAACAAAATATTATTTTCAATTATAGCCAATCGTAGCTGAGGTATGGTTTAAGGGCTGGTACATTTTACCTAACTTAGTGAGTTAGTTACATTAAAAAAAAATATTGGTTAATTGATCTAGAAAAATATAAAACTTCTTAATGGAAGAAACTAATAAGTTTAGCTGGTCAAAAAGTTTTTTTTTTATTTATTGTAAATTATTGTACATTATTTATAACTAGAGACTATTTTTTTATATAACCAGAAACAGTTTTACAGGTATTATGGATATATATTTTTTATCTATTTATTTTTAAAGTCTGTTTAAAAAATTTTTGGTTCATATTAATAAATAGTTTTTCTAAGAAAATTGTTGATTTATTCTGGTGTTTTTATAAAGGATTAAGCTTATTTTATGCACAGCTGCACAGTAAAAACAGTTGGTTGAAAAGGTTTTCTTAAATGAATTTTGGTTAGGTTTTTACAATTCTTTATTCAGTAAACTTGGGCTAGGTTTACTAAGTCTAATCCGACTTTTAAACATCAGGTATTATGTGAACGGTCATTTTGGATTGGATAAATATTATAATTGTGAAAAGTGTGTTGGTTTAGCTTAGGCTATATACATCCTGAATCTGAAAGGACCTAATAACTAAACAACATTACCTACTTGTATCTTATATCAATAAGGTTCTTATCATCCATATCCCTCCTTTGAAGTTCCTTGACTATCTTGATGCATTCTTCCCTAGTAGAGCAGGTCTGGGTGTTAGTGAAGTGCACGGTGATCACAGCTACAGGGAACTGTATGGGTTTTGTTACTAAGGGAAGTCTTGCTCCCCATTCTTCTCTTGACACCTCCTCAACTGGACCTACATCTAGCTCTGGGACAAATTCACTTATTTAGATAATTCAGCCGTGTTTACTTTGACCTTTCAGGTTTTAAATTTGTTAAACTATATTGAACTTTTAAATGATATATTTATTTTTATTTTTTGTAAAACAGGGTTTTGGAATTAATATTCGCTTAGAACCCTTGCAAAACACCTCCCTTTATATTGATCAGTATGTGATATTTATTTAATTAATTTATTGAAAATTTAAAAAATTTTGAACAAATGTTACCAAAAGTCTTTCTTTTATAGGGATAGCATTATATTAAACAACTATATGTTTATAATCATAACTATTTTTTTTATCACCATAACACTTATTCATCACGTAATAAGTATTAATACATGGTTATTTATATTGTTTTGTATTTAATGGTGTCAACCATGTAGCAAACTAATAAAGTAACTTGGAGTTATTAGTAATTTGCATGACTTCACCAACCAAAATTTGTTAAAAATAATAATCATAATAGTAATCATAATAATCATAATAAAAGTAATACTCAATATTTTCAGAAGTGGCAGTTGTACTTATGTTTTAATGCAGTATTCGTTGAATTTGTTGTTTATTCTTACCTTTGGTATTTTAAATTGAAAAACCTAAATCCCGTTGATGACTATTTTGCATGGCAAATTAATTAAAAACAGCAAACAAAAATACATTAAGCTACAGAATTGAACCCTCTTGGGTTTGAAACAGCTTGCCTCAATTTTAAGTATAGCAAAACAACAATGATTAATCAACAAATTGTATAAAAAAAAACAAGGTAATTAATCTGTATGGCTACATTGGGAAAAGTTTGGTTTGATTTGTCGTGTGACGTTTATAGATACACAATATTATAGTTTTGACTAGGTAAAACATAAATTATAGAAAATTATAATGAGTTTACCAATGAAAAAACAACGTTAAGTGTGGTAGGTCATTTTACTGCAGATAAATTAAAATCACATATCGATGTATTTTCATAGATATATTGTATTGTACATATTGTATTTTATTTGTATTATAAAGTTACAATTAAAGTCAAGATTATACTTACTAACTCCTTTAGCCCCCATCCCTAACGAATAACTTTAGCATCAGGATCTTCTGTGCTAAACATTTCTTCAAACGTCATTTCCTAAAGAAATAAAAGTAATTGTGTTTAATTTCTAACTAAGTGACACAAAGAAGAAAGGCCAAACAGTAGTCGTTCTGTCAAGTGCCTCTGTGAGTAAGAATATTTTTCCATGCATCCAATTAAATTAAAATTGCAATCATTAGATCAAGACTTAGAGTTTGGCTTAAGACCATGCATAGCTGTAGTAAATGTCATATCAGCATCAGTTACTACACATACCCACACATAGTATGTGATTCATCTTAAAATATTACAAGCTTAAATGTTTATATAACTAATCAAATATTGCATCCAAACTTGATAGCAGGGTTTCTAAATGGAAACTTACTTTCACAATAAAAGAAGTTCAATTGGCAAAAACTTATGCACTGTTTTAAAAACCTTTGTTACGATATAAAATATCAAGAATAAAAGTACAGAGCCTATTTTATACAGCATAGCTTAAATGAACTACGAAATATTCTTATACATAACTGGTAGCAAATTTGTAACGTTATCATGTTACTGGACATTACAAATACTGTACTAGATAAAAATGACTTAAACGATAATGATCAAAGTTTATAGTTGCATTATTAATATTATTAAAGTTAGGTTTCGTTGTTCTTTAAGACTATTTCTACATTAATTATAATGTTGACGTTCGTTATATGGAAAAAAATATTTTTCACCTAATTATTTCCTAAAAATAAATTTCTTTTCCCAATATTTTTTGTTTTAAAATCATCATAATGATTATTTAAAATTACTTAAACAAAAACTGTCGCAAAATCTTATACTTGAAATAAACGAATTCATTTCAAATGTAACAAGCTACTAATGAAAATACATGAAAGACAAAGATATTTACCATCTATTTTCGGGGAAAACTAGAAGTTATTTTGCCAATAGTACAACAAGCCGGTTAAAACAAACACCATATAAAACCAGATCTCTGAGTCGCACATTGTTTAAAATACACAAAACAAAACGTACTGCTATTTTTTATTTTAAACTGGGCTGTTATCATCTGAAGTCTATAAAAAGGTGATAACAGTTATAATAAGCTCGAAACCTTTATATAAAAGATGAATCTCTTAACGAGTCTACTATTTCAGAAGAACGTCGGTCATAAAGCGATGAAATGAAAAGATTTCCAAAGATTTCCCCTAAAAAATCAACCCTATGGTGTAGTTTTTTTATGTTCAAGTATCTTTATTTTTTTCAAATACCAAAAATATATTAAATACGAGTAATATTCTAATTTTCAGTGCTTGTAATTAGATAATAATTTTATTGGCATGAAAATGGCTGCTCTTTATGTGAAACATTCGGTACTACTTTAAATACTACGTAGTACTAGCATTCTAGCGTTTCTTCTAAACTAAGCTCCTAAGTCCTAGAGTCAGATTTGATATGTAAAATTTTAAAATTATAACATAACTCAAATCTAATCTAATATATAAAATTCTCGTGTCACAGTGTTTGTCTGCAAACTCCTCCGGAACGACTTCACCGATCGTTATGAAATTTGGTGTGTAAATTCTGTAGGTATGCGAATCGAACGTAAACTATTTCCCGTTTCGAAATTCTTAAAAGGGCTCCGCCCCAGTGGCTCTGGAGTTGCCCATGTTAACCTTATGAGAAATGGAATTATTGAATCTTAACAGCTGTTTCAATTAAACAAGTTGGTTCTGTTCTATGATGTTCAATAGCATTAAAGTTACAAGGATTACCAACAGGGTGCAGCACTATTATTTCTTTTACATTTATGACAACAGCTAATTTGCAACCAAAAGGTGAGTGAGCGTAGCGAACGAACTTCAACCTGGAGGCGAGTTAGCGTAGCGAACGAGCTAACCTGAAGGCAAGTGAGCGCAGCGAACGAGCTCCAACCCAAAGGTGAGTGAGCGTAGCGAACGAACTTCAACCTGGAGGCGAGTTAGCGTAGCGAACGAGCTAACCTGAAGGCAAGTGAGCGCAGCGAACGAGCTCCAACCTAAAGGTGAGTGAGCGTAGCGAACGAGCTCCAACCCAAAGGTGAGTGAGCGTAGCGAACGAACTTCAACCAGGACGTGATTGAGCGATGCGAACGAGATCATCTTGAAAATTAAACGTAACGGTACTTTCTTTCCATCGGTCTGTCTTAGGGGAAACCTATAACTTAGACGATACGAAGTTCGCCGGGTCAGCTAGTAAAAATATATATTTTTCTAAAAGATTTACATAGTCAAAACTCCAAAATTGTAAATTGTAACAATTGTCAAACAGCACATAATTTTAAAGCTATTTGTAAAAACATGTTTTCCATTATAAAACTCATGTTAATAGTTAAAAATAATGTATTAAAATGTCCAAATAGAGGACAAAGACACTGAAAAAATTAACATGGATTTTATTAGGGGAAAGGACTTGATTGAAAGGACTTACAGATAATGGAAAAATTATATAAATATGAGTATTTCAATAAACCTTCTTCTAACGGCAGAAAACCTTATAAATTAAAGCGTTTTATGTAACATTATGAAATCCAAAATACCATATTTTTTCATTTATTTCGGTCATACTGCAGCAAAAAGAGCCTTTTTAATGCATGCGTTGTGGGTCTAAAGTAGCATTATTACTCTCTAGGGATTAAAAATCAACTGTTGTAAACAGTTTTAAATTTAGATTGTGGCTACTGAATCGATATAAATTATTTATTGATTTATTTATTGGTTTAGGTCTTAGCCTATTGTTGTCGATCGCTCGACATATTGATGGTATGTATAGTACTGTAACACAATCATAATAGACGAAATGATTGAATCACTTAACTTAAAACAGCTGCTTATTTGCATTAGCAGAATTGAAAAATAGACTAGAATTCGTTTTGAGAGGTAATCTTCACATAAACATTATTTAGTTTTCTAGCTTAGATTTAATTCAATATGACGAAAAACATAGTTCACCACACGGGCAAAAAACCGGACTCTTTTTCCGAACTCGGCATCGCCTTGATCGTGAAACCTGACCTCGGGTCAAAAAAGTCACTTAAGACCCTAGTGATGAAATATACTATAATTTTTAGCTGTATTTTTTCTCAACAACCTTATAATTTGGTTACAAATTTGATTGAGAATTCATGAATCCAAGAAATATTTTGTAAAATAGTACGGCATAGTTGAGATTTACCTTTATAAAAAATACTAGGTGGTAACGATTTTTAGTGTATATTTAAAAAAAACTACGTTTTTATTCCCTGAATTATCATCCCGTTGCGAAACACGTGGCAGAATAACTGGTATTATTAAAGTCAGAAACTATAAATACATTCTGCCATTACTAAGCCAAACATACCATCTTACAGTGTTAGCACTTATAACATATTACAGATTGTATATTTTCAATTTTTCATTACATCCTCATATTTTCATGTAATATAGGATTTTATATTTTGATCGCGTTACAAACAGTCATTGGGTAGGCCCAATAGTTTAAATGCATAAAGAATGTGCCCACACATGTTCATTCCTTATGCTTATAGGCCTAACTACAAATATTCTTTAATAAAAAGAACTACATCGTAGAGTGATGTGCTAATAAATATAACGTAATAAATAAAATTTTTATAATAGCCTATTTAATAAATTGCAATTTATATGTAAACTTATTTAACTAGAAAAATATCTACCCCCAATGGATCACAAAGCCTTCTCAAAATCCAAACCATGAAAATAATCATAATGCCTAGAACGTCATAAAGAAATTCCTCCGTAGTCGCCATGGTTTCTTAACACATCAAACAATGTTATGGATAAAAATCTCCCTAAAAAAATCACAACAAATAGACCTAATACAAAACAAAACTTTTCTCTATACTATGGGATAGCTTCTTGGACTAAACCTAAACATCATTATCGATAGCTTATCAATAGAGTCTAGATGATAAGGTTTTAACTCAAATGTAAAATACTTTGAGTATAGTGCTTGAAACGAATATGTCACTCGTACAAAACAATTATTTTGTTTCATATATTTATTTTACCTTTATTTGGCTGCTTGTAAAAATGATATTATTTGGATGATAGAAACGTAAACATAAAATCAAGTAGCGACAGTTCTGTCATTATTTTGATCAATAATCAATACCATATCGAACATTAGTTGCAAACATTTCATTAAAATGTTTTATACTGGTGTTTTAAATATAAGTGTAAATATTCACTTTTGGAAAATAAAAAAGTATGATCTTGTTTATTGCGAGAAAAATTATTTTACTGACTGCTTTCCCCTAGCAACATAAAAAAATAATACATGACAGAAAATAATGTGTTTTAATAGAACTTTTATGCTAAATAGGAAACCAAATTATTGCACAGATCTTCTACAGAGTAGGCTACTACAAAGTAAAAGTTAAACTGAAAGACATTAGTTTATCTTATTCAAATCAAATCAATAAATTAATTTATTATCATGGACATTTACATGCATTGACATTGTCAGTAGAGTAGAACATAAAATGTCAATGTTCAAATAATCAGAAGTAGCTTGAGTATGAGTCTGTTGTACAAATTCCTTTCAACTACAGAATTAACAATCACAATAGACTATACACAATTAACAAATGAATAATTAATAAAATTGAAGCAAACAAAAATAGACTTAAATATTTAACAGATTTAGATGTAAAGTTACCGACTTATCACAGGTTGTTTCAGAAACTCTTCAATACTGTAAAAAGGATTTCTTAAGAGCCAGTCACTGAATAAAAAAAATATTAATATATAGATATTTTGTGGATTCTTATTTACATTATTAACTAAATTTAAGCTTTCTTAGAACATGGCTATTTAAAGATGTATTGTTTTTAAAGAATCAATTTCAATGCACATAATAAAAAATACTTATTACACTAGTCTAAAGTTTTACTTCCTAATTACTTATATACAGTCTGTAATTAAAAGCAAATGTTCATGCTGGATCATCATCGTAAGGACTGGATCTTTGATATCCTATTTCTTCCCACATCATGTACTGGGAGTTCTCATGAATCGTTTTCTTTTCTACACCATCTCCTATGAGATGAATGACTGCAAACTCTTGTTCTACGGTGTCTCTTACCTCTGAAAAGTAGCATTCATAGTTTATTAATAACGGGTTAGTAAGTCAAGCTGTATAAACCAATAAAGTTAAACCTCCTTGGCCTGTTATAAATACCCGAAAATATTTTTAGTGAGATTCAGTCTATCAAGATTTAAATACACGCTGGCCTATATTATGTTACTCTAGTTACGTTATAGTAAATTTATTATTTAGCATCTTGTATATCATTAAATGTTATATGCTATGTTAATTACAGATAACATATTATGTTTTAAATCCATTCTAATAAAGACTAACCACAAAAATCCAAGCTGTAACTTGCCTTTATTGTATACAACACTGATTATTTTTTTATTGGGCTTCTTTCGTAACTATAAAATATTTAGTCCGTAAATATTTAGACCGTAACCCTCTTCTCGTTATAACCTGAGCAATCATAGGTAACAAACTTTTATCATAGATTTGTATATTTTGAAATAACCTGTTGACTTGTATACGTTTTCTACAGCAATGACAAAATCAAATAAGGGTATTTTAAAACCCAAAATAGTTTTTTTACTGTAATTCAAAAAATTATATAAAAAAACATTTTCTACATTGCTACCATAATTAGGTATCTTAATTTTGAATTTAATTAAACTCTTTTTACCCGGTATCATCTTCAATCTTAATTTAGTTGTTCGTGACTTAGTGGGAATAAAAATAAATAATATTAAATTTAATTTTTAGATCTAATTACAACGATGTCACCTTAAAAGAAGATATTTTAGTTTGACACCCTTCTCAGACTTGTCATTCCAATCTTCGATGTTATCGTCAAAAACATGTTATTTTATGTTAAGTCATTTAGCCAAGCAAATCAAATTAAGTATATTTCTACAGTAATAATGGTAAAAACTATTCATGTTATTTTACCTTCATTTTCTCCAAGCATGCCTATAAAGCAAGCTCTAATATTTAGCTGATGTAAAATTTGATATTTGTTCCTTGGAAAAGGCTCAGGTGCCGTGTACCAACCTCTTCCTTCAAAAATGGACCCATCTGACCCAATCAAAAAGCTGTAACACCCAAAATATACAATAGTTATTTGTGTAACTAGTGGTGAAAGTGGCACTTTGCTGCACACGAGAGCAATGTTTACGCACGAGCCGCAGGCGAGTGCGGAATGATATCGGGTACAGCAAAGGCCTTTTTCACTCGTGTTACACATTATATTTTTCCTACAGTCATTATAAAGCATATAAATAATTAGTCTTTCAAACACTATACAACACGTTTTTAGGTTCAGCTGGCAACACAAATGGTGCCCTGCCCTAGAGAAAGTAGTACCCGCGGTCCGTATCACTCCGCTATTTTTCCTCGGCAAGAAATGTGCTCCGCGTTTTAAGAATATAGTTACGTATTGTTTTTGTAATTTGAAGTGGTTTCCGCACCTGAAAAAAATGCTTTGAAGGTATTTTCTTGTTTATTAAGATCGTAGGAATGTTTTAAAAACGTTTAAAAGAAAAGTCCAGAAAGTTCAGAAATACCGAAACTATAAACACGAAATGACAGGTTAAATCGTAGTTATGATAGTCAATCAGCTGCTCATAGTATTATTATCTTTAAGTGTTGCCAACCTATTTCCAAGCGTACACAGATTACGTGCATAATAGAACCACGCTGTTTTGTGTTGTTTCGTTGGAATCCTGATGTGCGGCAAAGTATAAACCGTACGGCAAAGTATAAATATGCAGCAATTAGCAGCTTTCTGTACTATAAACAGTACAAGGAAGCCAACTTTGTCGGGTGACTGTAGGAAAAGGTTATTAAATCTTAATATTTAGGTACAATGAATAATTTTGTTCATTAAGCATACAGTCAATTCTTTTAACATCCGAAGCTATTTGATTGGTATCCACAAATCATAAGATTGCAATTTTGTAGTAAGACATTAACAATTTACGTATAACGAATTGCACGTTAAAATGAAAGTTATTTTTGGTATCGTTTTTCCTGAATAGGTATTCTATTACCCTTTCCATAGCTTCTATTTTGTAGTACGGATGACATCAAGAAAATGTATACTTGATCGTGTTTTACACCTTTCATAGGGAAACTTAACAAAGGCCTTTATAATGTTTTCCTTTAGTTAATTTACTTAGTTGTTTTGCCTGGTATCAATGTACTATGTATAGCTGTCAAAAACAAAACACACCTTGTGTTTTTGAGAGAAAGAATATACAATTCTTTTAGCTCACCTAGATCATTAGGATGCATTAAAAATTAACACTATAGCTTATATTTGATCTTTGCCCATCTTTTGTGGGAACAAATTAAATACTACAGTATTTAAAATCACAGTTTGTTTAGTATGCGTTTACATTACTTGTATTGTATGTCTGGTAATCCTTTGCGGTCCATGTCATCATCTTGTAAATCTTTTATAATTTGTGCACAGTGCTCTTTTGTAAAGCAGTTTTCTGTATCTATTTTCTTAAACACAAGGTATATGACGGGAGTCCTCATCAAAACCTTTCTTTTTGCTGGTCTGGCTCCCCAATCCTCCCTGGTGTATGTTTTTGGCTGTTTAAAATAACGATCGGCACCTAAAAATGAACAGAAATGATTTTAGCTCCAAAGACTTCCAGTAAGGTCAATTATATCTATAGGGTATTGTATTTTTAAATGAAATTAATAAATCCCACCTACTAAGGATTATATTGTCAAAATTAAACTTTCGGGTGTTCAGTGTTTTAACAAGTGAAATTTAAACGTACTTATTATTAGATTAAATAACATTATTTTTCTTTAGAAAACCCTGAATGAATATTGGTTTTTGTTTATATTCCCTTGAAATTTTAGTAAATGTCTGAGTTGTAGGGACTCGAAAAGACTAGGCCTTCGTAAAATCTAAATTAGTAAACTTCTTTCCGAAACCTATCGCCAATGGTTTAGTTTTCAATTGAGTAGACTAGGGTGGTTATAATGTATTAAAACTTTAGAAACTTTTAGAAAATATATGTATAATTCTCAATACAGCTTATTTCATTATATCGTTAACATCAAATGAATCATTTTAACAATATGTGACCTGTGGAGAATTATTTTAATAATTATTTAAATAAGTTTACTAAAAAAGAAGTAATTATATTGCCAAATGTTAGGAATAACAGAATGTAAAGCTGAAGATACATTTTTATGTTCACAAAGTGTTTTATGGGAAGGTTAAAAATAAAATAAAAGCATACTATTATTATGTTGAAGAAATGTATGTGTTCCGATTCAAAGTAATGTGGGTATATGATTAGCATTCATGTAAAATGTTCCGAAATGAACATAGATGTCAGCTTTTATATTTTGTTGATGGTATGAGTCCTAGTTTTGACACTATTTTTTGGAAATTATTGACTTATCAAAATTGCTGGCTTTCTTTCAAACTTTTAAGGGATTTTTAAATAATATTTAAATTTTACTTTTTTACTTACTAATAGTAGAAGGGTGTCCGGACATCATTTTAGATGTATTTATATTATATTTCTTTCTGCATCCAAACAATCAAATACTTGAATCAGCTACGCACATTACACTCATTCGTTACAAATATACAAAGAATATTTGTTATCTAAAAGATTTCTTCAACAGTGTTCAAATCTATTGGCAATAGACTTTTAAATTTAAAGCTTGAATATGCAACATTATATTATTCGTCCATTTGTTATGCTAAATACCCACATAATTGTACTACAACTACAGTGTGTTGTTTGTTCAGATGATTAGGTAATTAATTTTTTATTTTAAATTAGACATCAGTTTTAGATTAGTCATATTTTGAAATGAAACTAACTGTTTCATAACTAAGAGATAACTAATAATTATCTGTTTATATAATTATGTATGATAAAAGGTGTCACCCCCTTGTTTATCGAAATATCCCAGTTTTTTAGTTTATAACAACTATTTTGGAGTGCTAAAACAGGAAAATTAGTTTATGAAGTCAATAATGTATCTTCTACAACCAAAACTCTATAATATGTTAAATTTATCAGTGTTAAGCAGTTAAAAAAATAAATCAATTAGTGCGTATAATAAAGTTACTCCATTACAGAGTTAAATCCAAAGCTAAAAATAATGACGATGAGAAACTTAATTGTGATGTATACAATGATCCAAATGGGTCGGATCTAAAAAAAATAGTTCTCTTAATCTATCCCACTAAGAACACCATCTTGTTGTAACCTCATTTAAAATCATTCAATGTTTCAGACAGAATAGTAACTTTTCTTTAATTTCCTCTCATTTATTTATACTAATTTATTTTTAATATAGACTACAGACCCACCTGAAATTATAAAATATACTCTACGGTAAAGGAGTGAAACCTAATGTTTTGAGAAAATATAGTTCATGTACTAAAAGTTAGATTATAGTATTGGGAAATAACTTTGTTGGCAAAATTATTAATTAACATTTATGTATACAATATATTTTTCTATGGTAGAATTAGTTTTAGGATTTTAGTGATAGGGTCAGCCTATTTGATGAAGGCCAAATCAAGCAGCAAAATCAGCTGTGTAAGTTTCAAAATATCCATCGTAATGAACTACTAACCCTGTATTGTTTTTTGAAGATTAGAAGAAAATAAAGGATTTTAATACTTTAAAAATCTCATTACACTCAGAGTGAAGAACTAATGTCATCATTATGAACAATCCCGATTTTTATTTTTATCCAAATTGGGATATAAAAAGAAAACTCTTTGGATATGTTGCATATGTAAGTGGTATATGGATACTTAACGTTATTAACGTTCCATAAAAATGACTGCAATTAAAACAGTTTTAACTAGTAGTCTATGCTTAACAACACTATACTATTAATTAGTGCTTAAACTTCTTGTACTATTATTACTCATCTGCACGAAGTTTATTCTAAGTGTATTACCAGTAAATTATACATTTACTAGATATGTCGAGTTGTTTACATAGGTTAAATTAATTATGTGTTTCACGGGTTGTAGCAACAGTGAACAGTTTTATTTAGCTTGTTCATGAATTTGACATTAAGGTCAGTCAAAAAAGCCCCTTTGAATATGGCGTTAACACGATTAAAATAAAGTTCATTGACACGTGCAACAAAAAAACCATGAAAACTAATAGATTAGTTTGAAGTCTTCTATAATCTAATGTGGCTGAAAATACTTGTCAAATCCTTGAATATTGTATTTTTCGTCACGTTTTGACTTCACTTTTATAGGACCAGTGCCATGAAAGATTGGTTTCTTAAGCTGTGATGGTCCAAAGACCTTCCAATCAGGGTGAAGGTATCCTTTCTTCTCTCCTTCTACACATAAATCTGCCACAGCACTTATCATATCTGCCAAAGGAGGGGTTTCTGAAAAAAATATAAATATAAAAACATTTAGTATTTAAGCATGTGCATTTGTCTCTTTGAGGTACATTCTCGAATAGAATAAGACACATATTTAGTGCTATTTAGTGCTAAAATAAGTCATATGAACAAGGGTTACAAGGATTGATGTAACTTAAATTGAAAAAAAAGAAAAAGTTTTTTTTTTCAATTTAGTTTAGTTGTTCCTGTAAGTTAAGGGCGCGCTTTACCCCTGACGCAGAACCGAATGCAAGGGTTTGCAGGATTTCTGTTTTCACCTGCTACATTGAAGGTAAAATCAAAGTTAAGGTCTCATATTAAAGAGGATGAAATTTTCTATAGTTCGTTGTTTCAATGTTTCAATTATTTTAAATACACACCTTATAAACTTGAGTTGTAGTACAAGAAAAAAGGGTCTTTTTAACTAGCCTTAACGTATAAAAAAAGTTTTTTTGAAAATTTGAAAAACGCAGAACTATAGATTGGTCTTTGTACTACCATTAGCCGTTTAGAATGCGTAGCTATCATTATTTGTTAATTCTAAAACAGTAATCTTGGAAACGTCTGCAAGCGCTTCTCGCAGCGCTGTCCAATGGTGAAACATAGCTACTGAAGCCCGAGCTGAGATTTCCGAGCTGAGGTAAAGCGCACCCTTGACTAAGACTAATAAACATTGAATTCATCCTAGAGCTTTAAATAGAAAACGCCTTATGAATCAAACATGTCCTAGAGTTAACGAAATTCAGTCTGCCTAACCTTTTTATTACACTCGTCTTTGGCCTTATAAAACCATATACAGATGTAATACATCATTCAGCTAATTAGATGTTCTAATTGGTTAGTCGGTGCCTCAATCTTTACTTATTATTTTATAAAAGTGTAGTTTTGAGTTACGCATCCTTGTACTACAGTATAGTTTATTGCTACCCATTCTTGTACCGTAATACTTAACTGCTTACTTTCCTTGACGTGTTCGTTTCACACTCATTTAAAACCCAATTTGACAGAAAAAGTCAAAAGCGGGAAAAATCATGCAAGTACTGAACTGTAAAGTAGAAATAAGTCCAAAACCTGTCCAGTTGCCGATGAACACCACATCAATGCTGCGTTTATTAAGTTTCTTGTAACGGTTGTCCTTTACAGGGTAACGCCTAGTGCGTGTGGTCCACCCTCTTCCTTCATAAATAGTTCCGTCAGAACTCACCAGGAAACTGCAAGACGATAAATATGTTTATACAAGTAATACAAATCCTTTTAAAGCTATAATATTTCTACTTATAGTTCCTAGCTACTAGTAAGTTATAACGATAAATATATATTAATCGTCGTTCTAAACCACACTATTACACTCAATCATTTTAATATTCAGCATCAAGTTGGACGAAACTTTATTTACACCCAATTACGAGTCACAAGTACCTCTACTTGTTATCACTGCTAAAATCAAAGATAAATCATTATATAATTAAGGCCCTGTTCTTCTAATTCATTCTAATTCTTCTAATTCTAATCACAGGGTTTTTTTTTTAAAGGTTTCGGATCAGTCAGTATAGACACAGAAAACATACAACATACTACTAGTATGTTTCTGTGGTATCACAGAAAACATACAACATACTACTATAATCCAGAATGCCAACCGCGTGGTAAAAAGCGTTAAGTACTTTGAGAGAGCTTTGCCTGTCAGCTAGTAGGCAGCGCCACCAGCGTTGCAATGCACTCAGCATAGCAACGTTGGTGGCGCTGCCTACGAACTGACAGGCAAAGCTCTCTCAAAGTACTTAACGCTTTTTACCATGCGGTTGGCATTTTGGGTTATAGTAGTATGTTTCTGTGGTATGGAGCAGAATTTCAGAGAACGAGTCATTTATGATGAATACTAATAAACAAAAATTTGTTTTTAAATATTTTTATACACTATAAGTTAATATGTGTACTGCATTGCCCAAATGAATCAGAAGTTGCTTGAAAATAACCTATCTAATAATAGAATCGGTGTTTCTTTATATTAGCTTTACCTAATATTTGACAAGTTGAAAACTTTCTAAACCTATAATGCACTCGTACTTAGGTTTAATAACTTACAAATCATGATAGGTATTTTACTTATCCTTAACTTGTATCCAATGTCCTCCATCCCCATTTCGTCCATATGGCGTCTTTGTATGTCTTGTACAGTTTTTATGCATTCTTCCTTTGACTCACATGGCGGAGTTCTGGTGCCGTATTTGAGAACCAAGATTTTCACAGGGGTTTTTACTTTTTTCCCTGCTTTGCTCGGCTCTCTTGCACCCCAGTCTTTTCTAGTAACAATTTCAGCCGGCTCTTCTTCTGGGATACTGTCGATGATGTCATCTAGAATGTGAAAAACCATATTGAGTCATTCTGGATATTCTAAACCAAATCGTATGATTTATACAAATCACTCTTATTTCCATCATTGTCAAATTGTATCACTTTCATTTCTGGTTTAATATTAAAGAGGTTTTAAGAGTTTACTTATTTTAAAACTTTAAGAGGATTGCTTAGGATAATCCTTGTACGTTTTTACTTATTTAATCTCGAATACAAGTTAAAAGGAGAAGGTTTATTTTTAATTCTTAAAAATTGAAAAAGTCATTTTATATTTTTGTCTTAAATTAAATCTTGCAGAAAGAATATACTTCCAATTATAGAACGAACCGTAATACCTCCTAGAGGAAAGAAATCGTAGAAATCTGTTTAAAATATGTCATAAATATTTCAATTTAGGAAAAAGATAAATCAATGAGTCTGGAAAGCTAGAAAATAACTTTCTAATAACAGTTACTCGTCCAAAATAAAAAAGGAGCAATTTAATAGATTTTTTACATAGTTGTATAGTTCAAAGCTAATTTAATGTATGTTTCTAGGGGGATATACAAATTACTCACCCAACGTTTGGTTGGATTCTGGTTGGATTTGGTGATTATGTAGAACTTGCTTTATGGGAAATGGTGCTGTGGATTTGTTTTTCATCTGCTTCCAAAAATGAGATCTAGAAACGATGAAGTTGATCTAGTATCGTTATTCTGTTGCAAAATACGTTTAAAAAAAGATTAACTTATATTATATTCATTTTCAATGGAGGTATTTCAAATAATGTTCCTTGGTTTTATGGAACAAAATAGTAAACTAAAAATAAAATATTAATGTTTTCAAGTTCATACTATTGGCTAAATTTAATTTAAATAGCTGTTAAGGATTTTTATGGCAATTGGTCAACAATTTTAACAGCGTATATTGTTCTTTTCTTTTCATTTTACAGTCAAACAGTTTTAACAATTGAATTTCTTTAGTAAGTAATATGTAATATATAAATCTTAACATTACGATGAAAAAAATTTAAACTTACGAATCTGGATTTGAAAAAATATCATCGGGTGATTGTATTCTTGCCATTTTGAGAATATGGCAATTACCTTTATACTAAATAAGTAAAAGATGCAGCTAGTACTTTAGTTATACACTAAGTCGTAATCATGAAAAAAACCTAATATTTATAATTTTTTTTTGTCATTTAGGTGTATCTTTTACATCTAAAAATCAAGAAAATGAAACTAGACTGCATTACACTTGAAAATTGTCAGTGGTAAAGATATCAGTAAAAACGTAGGATACTGTTATCTATTATAATATTGTATGATACTATCACTACTTAGTGATAGACTGTGATTCGATAGTCTTATTTTGTAGTATTGAAATAATATGTAAGATTGTAGACGTTTTCTTAAGTGATTTTACACATGTAAGTAATCATTTTGCAAACTTAATCATTATGTTTCACTTACAAATTAGTTTGTAGTACACTTAAGCAAAAGCTGATTAATTAACTTTATCAATTTTGAATAGTTAAAACCGTTTTAGATTGTTTGAAATTGTCAGGGGAAATCTGGTTGACAAATACAAAAGAAATGGTTAGTAAATTTGTGTTTCTTTTATGTCATAGGTAAATATGGAAGACATTTCTTAGCGGACTTGGACATTTTAAGAAATTTCAATGGGTCTTTGGTCTTCAAAGGAAGGTTACAGTAAGTAGTGTGTAAATATAGACTAAAACCTATTCATAATAAATAAAATTTTAGCTAACAAATAAAATATCAGCATCAGTAGGTATTTTATTTAAAACTAGCTGGCCCGACAGACGTCGTTCTGTCCAAATGTGGTTTTATATAAAATGCTCTTTCATTTTCAAAATAAACTCGTTAGCATCACTCAATCACGTTTTAGTTGAAGCTCTTTCGCTATGCTCACTCACCTTTTGGTTGAAAATTAACACATTTTTTACACATGTTATTGTATCTTACAGTTTAATGAAAACATTTTCCTCCAATGCTAAGGTAAAGGAAATTTTTTTTTTAAATAAAATTACCAAATATTGGTTGGATGTATTATAAATGTCCTTACATAAAAATCTCCCCCTGGCACTAAGGAATACAAAAAAAAGAAATCGGTGCACTCCTTCTCAAGTTATGGAATACCATCGAAAAAAGGGATTCATTTTATTTATATAGATAGCAGTGTTTTTGCAAGTATTTGTAATGCTGATCATGCTCAGTCGAGACAAAACATTTTGAACAAAAATCTTGAGAATCTGTATGTTTGAGACTTAGCTGACTGTTGTGCTTGCCAAACTATAAAAATAAATTACGGTTTAATCCTTTGAAAAGTCAAAAGATTATTTATTCTTAAAAACTGCGCTCAGCTGTCATTATTCATTGGGAATACTAATAATCAATGCATCTCTGTTGATTGGACATGCCTCTTTTGATTTTTCACTCATATTTGGTTGAAATTCGCCGATTCACGTATCGATTTTAATTGGTAGTTTTACATTTGTGTACCTATCTCTTTGGCATTATAAAGCTTATTTTTTCTCGTAATCCTTTACATTAGGTTAACTCCTGGTGTTTTCGTGGTGATTTATCTAGTGATATAACTTAGATCATGTTTAGTTGATAGCCAAATTTTAAATTGAATCTAGTTGTATAAGCGATATCGCTTCAAATCAAAACAATGAATTTAAAATGTACAGGTAATATTACGTTTTTGTGCAAAGGTTGAGTAGGCGTTGACTTAGCTTACCAAACGCTTACGTTGTAAGTTAGGTTAGGTTTGTCACTATAATAGAGAACGATTATTAAAAATTTTTATACTTATTGTATAGTTACCTAACGTTTACGTCGTAAGTTAGGTTAGGTAAGGTTTGTTATAAAGAACGATAATTAACAATTTGTATATACTTCTTCTTTCCCGATTCTAGTCTGCCATAAGAATAGTAAAATGATATAAAAATAATTATGACATAATTAAACAGTAAATAAAAGTTGACATACAGTGTTATATTTTCGTAATGCAGGGTCGTCGTACCTACCTTCCAATGCAGTGTCTCGAGAAGAGTGGGCGGCCAAGACGCCCAGAGAGCGGCGCGTGCAGGTACTACCCGCTCAGACAGTAACTGTTTCCTACACGGATACAGAGCCTTGCACGACTAGGGACGAATGTGTAAAAAGGGTGCAAACCATTCAGACACTGGACATGCAGGAAGCAGGTGCTCCAGATATAGAACACCAGTAAGTGTACCTGTTACCGTCAGATAACCGTTACATGTTAGGTAACTGTTATAAATAACCGTAATTTACCGTGTACATACCTGTTGCATGGGCATATGGGAATCTAAATCTGTTTTACCACCTGTGTTTCTATTCGTTTAGGTAATTTATGACTATACCTGCATTTGAAATTATATTTATTTTTAGCAAATTTCCCAAATAGGGAAAATGTTCTTTGAATAGTTCAACGGATGAGTTTCACGTAAAGTATCAGTCAAGTGGCCAAAACCGATTTTACTTAATGATATATTTTGCAATGATAGTTTATTTTGTCTATCCTTAAGCCACATTACCCATTTGATGATGATGTTGACAGTTTCCTAGTGGGCGGGGATGGGCGGGTCTATGAAGGGCGGGGATGGAGATCAGCTGGGCGGCAATACACACAGGAAGAGTTGGCCGCCCTAAACAACAGATCTATAGATATCGCCTACATAGGATATTACGAGGGTAAGTGAACTAATGTTTTGTATTTTACCAATTAAGTGTTTTTATACAATTGTAATTACTACACAATTTGCCACTAAATGTGCTAATTATTCTATTTGTTTATTCTACATCTTCCTCAGTTGTACATCCATTAACCATTTTAAACTTCTGTTAATTAGTTACAGTTGTTAATGCTTCCTACGTCAAGTCCAACTTGGTTAAGGAAACAAACTTTCTTCACAAATAAACAAGTTAATGCTAGTAAATTTATGAGAAAATTCCTACTTGAATTCATTCGTAATATAAAAAATAAGGAGAAAAAATAACTATATGAGGAACTAGTGATAAGGCGGGGACACACTTGTCATACACCCTTCCGATCCGACTCCGATCATACTGTGTGGTACGACTGTCGGAGAGGGGAATGGTACTTAACTTTGAACGCGGTTGTTTACACCTCTCCGATACGCGTCACGTCAAACTCCGATTTTGACTCCGATCACGCACCGACACTGCAGTCTATTCGTTTGACGGATGCAGGACGGGTTGTTTAAAAATCAACTTTATTCTTAAGGTTTAAGAATAATGGTTGCCGGTATATATTAAATATATGCCGGTGCTTCATGAGAAATCTGTGCGTGCATATCTTTAATTTGAGACCTCGATCATGAAAATCGGACGGGTAGAAGAGCCAAACGAACTCGAGAGAGAAAACCCAATGTATTTAATATATAAGATGGACACTTAAGTAAACAACCTAACTTTCATTCCATGCAGAATGGACCCAAATTCTCCGTTTTCCACTGCCCTCCAGAGATGTCTGACTTTCTTCCTCTTCATCTAGACAAACCGCCATCATGGCTGAATCCCGAAGTCCAAAGTTTTCGAACATGTTTACCACCTTCTGCACGTAGTTTACAAATAAGACTGGCGAGTGTCGCTGGACCCGGTGGAGGAAATCCGGCATGGGTCGGAATCGTATATGACATGTGTGTTCACCCCCTCCGATCCCGCACCGATCCTTCTGGAATCCCGCAAATCGGATCGTAGTAGGATCGGAACAGTGTATGACAAGTGTGTCCCCGCCTATAGATTTGAATTGTGTTTTTCTATTATTTCTCACGGAGAAATGTAAACTGCTTACTTTTAAGCCTAAGGATGGTGGTGGGGTTACTTTTATTTAATATATATGTATTACTTTTTTCAAAAAATTAGATTCCTATAGGTAATGGTTTTTGAGTGGGTGTGTTACAAGTACGTAATGTGATGAAAATAATATTGTTTTAATATTTTGTTTCAGAAAAAGAACCTAATCGAAAAATGGTTGACGCTGTTATTGAACTAATCAAGTTTGGACTATATAGAAAGTTTATTGACTCTAGGCTTAAAGTCAGTGATATATTGGGCCATGAGTGAAAAGTTTATTTTAATACCCTGTAATTTATATAGGACATATTGTATCTCAAAGTGTTGTACTTGTTTATATTTATTAAATTTGATACGCATTTCCCACATCTGAGAGGATAAGCATACTTTTTTTTTATTGATTAAATTTTTATGTATCATAAAGTATCCAACCTTGGTACAAACAAATTATTGTTTATCTTATGGAAAAAATGTATATAAATCTTTATGTGTAGTCACATTGTTCTTATAAATAAGGTGTGTTTAGTACTCAAAATCAGATAATAAATTTATTTTTCCAAAACAAATCTTGAAACTAATGTTTGGTAAAATTGTGACTTAACTCATTGTGACTAAAATATAAATATACCATAAACTGTTGAAATACAGGGTGGGACAACAACGATCTATTCTCTGCAGCTCACTGTTCAGCAACAGGTTGTCCTAGGGTGGTGGGGGTAGGCTCGTTGGAAAGCCTACACGCTGCCAATATTGTAGTCATAGATTTGTTAATGATCATCTAAACAACATGCGTTTGTTACGGGTCGTTTAAATAGTAATGATGCAGCCATTGTAACTCTGCGGCAGTTCCATGCATTCTTTTAGTTAGGTCGACATGAAAGGTTTCGTCCCAATAATCTGTAGGGATAATCAACAAAATTAAACTAATTAATTAATTATTAGTTCTGTACAACGATATAAACAACTCATGGATCGCTGGCTCAGTGTTGGCCGCGCGGTCGAGCTTCCCCCACCATCGACTGGCAGAAGCCGACGCAGCCCATACATTCACCATTATAAAACACACTTTTTATTTGCTGCTCTGTTGAAATTTATAAGGACAAAATATTGCTAACGCTTGTCAAACTCTTTTTACTAGTTAAATCTTTTATGTCTGTTTTGTTTCTAGCAGAAAATAGCCTATCTGAATTCTTTAAAACTACAAATTCACTAAACCTGTTTTGTAGATGTTTTTAGACAACTGATATTGCTAGTTCCAAATTGTACATGGTAAAATAATAAGTGATTACAAAGGAGAAATAGAAAGTACAATATTTGTAATTGAAATTCTATTTTATTAATCGAAAAATAGTACATAAACATTTAGAATAATGTTGCTAAGTTTTTGCCGCAGTGGTAACGTTATGTTTGACGTAAACGCGAAATTTTTTTCTTTCAATGTTTAATGACAATGTATCTTACAAAATAGGTCATAAAAAATATGCCTATCACGTTAATGTCGAGCATAGATTTGCGGTAAAAACTGGACAAATGTAGTAGGGTTTTTAAGAGTTAAAATGTGATATTTTCTGCAAGAAAAGTAGAAGACATAAAGTTTAGAATAGTAAAAATGTTTGGCATGCATTAGCAATATTTTATATCTATATATTTAAACAGAGCAGCAACTTACAAAGGTGCGTTTTACAATGGTGAGTGTATGGGCAGCGTCGGCTACTGCCAGTAGAAGGTGGGGGGCGCTAGACCGAAAACAGCGCCCGCAGTGCTACTGAGAGCGCAATCCAGTAGTTTTTACATCGTTGGTTCTGTAGGTTTGACAATTAAAATCAAACAAAAAATTCGAATAACCGCAGTCGGAACCACCAGAATTGAACGGTCAGACATGTTCAAATCAGACGCTTGTTTTCAATTGGGCTTTAGAGGACTGTTTTCTGCAGAACGAATCCTATCAAATGTTAGTTGTCTTGCGTCCGATCTGACTTTGGACGACCAGTTAGATTATTTTTGAACGCAGAAGCCGTTCTTCTAAAGTTAGTATCCCACCACCTGATTTTGCTTCGTAACGGAGCTTCTTCATCTCACCCTAATTAAAAGAATGCACTCAACTGCCGCTGAGTTGTAATTACTGGATAATTGCTTTTTAAATGCGACTTGATAAGAAATTCACGTAACTAAGGCGACCACTGCACGATGACTACACACAGAAATAACCCCACCACTCTCAGACTACCTGTTGCTGGACAGTGAGCTGCAGAAAAAAGATAGTTTTTTGAAAATAGCTAGAATTGAATTTTTGAAATTACTTTGTTGAAAGCTAATCAATTTTATTACTTTTACAAATGAAAACAATATCTATGTTTATAATATAAGCTATTGTAATATTTTGTAATATTGCTTTCAAGAAAATAAATTAATTATCATTCTTATTCTTATTCTTTGCCACATCGTTTCCAAAAGTAATTACTATTGACCCAGGCCATTACTTTATTAATAAAGAGTAGATATAATAAAATTTATTGGATCTCACATATGTTTTATTGTGTTTTTTTATTCTAAACACCTATGTCCTCAAGTCCATATAACTGTAAGTAAAGCAAATGTCCAAATCAAATAAACTTCATTTAGACAAAAACACATGATTACAATAATTTTTACCTATCAAAGATTATGAATAATATGTATATTTTTAATAAAAGCAAAATTAAGAGTTGTATCACATATATTTACATAAATTACTAAAACAAGAAAATTGTAAACGTTTTACGTTTTGAGTATATCTTAAATTGTAGTGCATTGTAGTATATTAATAATTGTAGAATATTGATTTTAAGAACCAAACAAACCAAACAAATGTACTAGTATCTGTAAATAAATCCGGGACAAATCTTATTTATTTGCAATGGAAGTAGGCCACAAAAATACATAAACTAATCAAATCATAAGATCAAGTAACTGCTTTGAATTAATTTTAAAAATTTAATTTCATTTAGGAGCAAAAATACCTAAACATTGTTACAACTAACTAATGCTAGTTTATTATTTCTTTTAAGTTTACTTCTGTTAAGCTATTGTTTTTTTGTCTTTGATTCATTCTTTTCACTAGTTTCTTTTTCATTTTTTTCCGTTTTCTGATTAAGAAGAGTAGTAAGCATGTCATGCTCGTTTCCATATCCCCTTACCACTACCGTATTCTTTTTCTTCAAAGCTTCTACTTCCTCTTCCGTTAACATGTGATCTTTATGTTCCCGAAGGATCAGTTTGTTGCTGTTTACGCCAGCCATTAACAAGCCTGAAGCAACTTTAACCATGTGTTTCGGTGGTGCTTTTTCTGGAATTGAGGTTAATGATTAATCAACGATTTAAGAAAGTTGTATACGCTATGTAAAAAAGATTTTTGCCAACAACTTTTCGGTTCAACCAACTTATTAGTATAATATGGCTATTAATTTTACCTAATAAGTCTCTAAGCCTGTTCAATTCATATATTTTTTTATTACTGAGTGAGTGTAGCAGTACTCACCCTGTGGTACTTTTATGTGGTTCGTGTATTTTTACACGAATTGTTTAAAGTATACAAAGAGTTTAAATTGAGCCCATATACAAAATTAAACTATAAATAATATATGAAGCTACCCACAGTGCAAAGAAAACCTAATATGCCAAAAGATATTTATGGTGTCATTTTCCACTTGTACAATTAAATTTTGTATAGGGGTTGAAGGTAAGAAAATACTTTGATTTTCTGGTCATATTCATTTGGTTGTATTAGTTTTTTGTCAATATTTAAAATATGTCTTTCTGTGTACTATTTTTGGTGGAGCGTTCTTACAAACAGTAATAAGGGAAGGTAGTAGAAGAGTGCCAACATTTACCTGTTAATATCTAAGTAGACATCCCAATCTAAGAGATAATAGCAATGCTTTCCAATTCAAAAGAAAAGTAGCTCTATAAGCCACCACTGTCTACCAGTGGCCGACTTATATTTTACTTGTTTAGGCCTATTACATCATCTAGCATTAAGCATTACTTTACTTAGTGTAGTGAAATGCAAACCTAATAATACTCATCGAGGAACGAATTATGTGTTAATAGTCCAGGCGCTAAACTGGTTGAGTATGCACTGAAAGTCTGACAAAATTTGACTTTTGATTATTGTTGGGGACATCTAGTAGATGAAAAAAATCGATGATGTCGCATTTCTAGGGTGGTCACAACTCGGGGGGGAGGGGGGGAAGTTGCGCGGGTCATCGGTTTACGTTTCCGCGTCTAACTCACAAACGGTTAATGATAGAAAGGTGAATTAAGCGTCTATCTACGCCTAAATATATTGTCTTTTAAAAAGGTTATTACAACCTTGCTTCTATCTCTTATACTTTAGGCGCTAATCAACATTTATTGCAAAAAATAAAATTTAAAAATACTTAAAAATGAAATATCGGAAATATTGCGCTTGTTTAGGGCATGTTACAAACTATTTATGGTTATAAAAACTAACAAGTAGTACAACAACACCAAGTTTAAAGAAATCCGTGCAAAAACAACAGAGCTACGTTGATTTCAGTAAGAGTAAACGTAGAAAATTCGTAGTAGTACCGAGGCGCGCATGGACGGTACGTAGCCCACAGTCGATATAGGTTTGATGTTGTAAGTAACTATGGGAAAGCTGAATTTTTCTATGCTGTTAGACCATGTTGCGATTATCATTTTCCCGAAAGTCAACACTCCTCCCCCCTTGTGCTTTCCTCTAACCCCCCTTTTTAGATAAATTTACAGCCTCTTAACAATTAAGCTATAGCTTTAAAACGGGTAAGGATAATAATGCAATATTTTATTAATCATTTTGCGTTACGATAATCTACAAAAAGAATTATTAGATGAATAAATGATGAAGAAGATAGATGATGAAGAAGAAGAAAATGTGTTCATTGTAATAAAATATCAATACAGTGTTTTTTATTTAAATGCAAAGAACAATGGTCAAAGACCGTCTGTTTTGTGTTAGACACACTGATTTTAAAATATTTTAAAACCGTTTAAAAAAATACCATGAATCACATACAATTATTCACAAAATAAACTGATTTCCACTACAGAACATACACAAATAGCACTACATACTAATAAAGATCAGATAACAATTGAATGAATAATAAAATTTAAATGTAGCCTACTGAGAATCTGAATTTTTTCTACAAACAGTTAATAATTCATAAAACAAACCTGTTACTTCTATAATTTACTTTGATAGATACTTAACAAACAATATTTTATAAATTTTTTAAATTACATAGATTTTTCCAATTTTTGTATCGATATCTCAATTCTTAAATTTAATAATTACTCCATTATCAATTCCCACCCTTTACTCCACGCCTCTTTAAGAAAATTTCCAAGTGCCCGCCAATCTTTGCCATTTAAATATTCAAAAAAACTCATATTCATTTAAATATAACTTGTTAGACCAAAATTGACGTATCTTTTTTAAATTGGAGATTCTGCTATAAAAGGGTACACGTTTCATCCCGGTTACATAGTGAACATACACAAATTTTATTTTCCATATAGAGTTAACTTTTTATTAGACGACCCCTTTTAATTGTAAAAAATGTTTTTAGGGATGGTTACGAATAAAAAATATATATCCACAATTTTCCAATATGGCCAACAACTTTGTTATTTCTTATGGAATACGCTGTATTTTAGTATTCTTTTACAATTTAAAAGCTATTTTCTTATTCGTGACATTTTTTCTCTAAACCTACCCCATTTAGGAGTTACAGCGTGTTATATCTAAAAGAAAGGCTTGTGGTGTACATTCGGCATCCTGTAGCTCATAAACGAGTAAGTTGAGAGAGAAAGTGCAAAGAATAAATAAGTCACATATAAGTCCTCGTTCAAAAAATATATATAAAATACGTTAAAAAATACTGATTTTGTTGTTTTAAAAATGACCACCATTTTCAAAAATGCTAGCTTACTTTGATATTGGAACAATTTATTTTATGGTTTTTTTTATGTAGATGTGATTTGAAAACTTGTTTATTCTTTGTATTTCCGCTCTTAAACTTACGTTTATGAGCTGTGAGGATGCAGGATGTACTCACAAACCATTTCTTTTTCGATGTAACTCCTAAACAAGTAGCTTTAGAGAAAAATGTCAAGAATAAAAAGGTTTAAAAGTTGTGCGTTTACATTCTAAAACAATCATAAAATACAGAGTATTCCATAAGACTAACAAAGTTGTCAGCCATATTGGAAATTGGCGAACATATTTTTAAAATTCGAAACCACTAAAAAAAACATCTTAAAATAAAGGGTAGTGTCCCATAAGAAGTTAACTCTATATCTCATAATAAAAAAGTTATCTATTGGTTCACTTTAGGTGAGACACCCTGTATAATAAAATGAGGCTCTGGCGTACAGCAGCAAATGCACGATATTCATTCATATGTATCCACTACAGTCTGTATATGTACTGAATGAGCTACATAACGTTAAGATAATCTATATAAAGCGGCAAATTCAAATACAAAAACCATAATATACGTAATTTTTTCATTGTTGCGGTGCACAAAAAAGCCTGAATCCTGTAAAATCAATATACTGTACTATCTATAGCTACTATATGCAAACAAACTGTTAATAACTATGTATCATTTTCAAATGTAAACTATGCACCCCAAATTTTGTATCAAACATTTTGTTGTGGGACCTCGTGTAAAAAATCTACAAAGAAAAGTTTCATAAATTAATCCGTACAAAATATTTATTTATGTTTATGATATTTTTTAACTATGAATATTTAGGATACCATGGTAAACACTTGTTGTAGAATATCGTAACGCAAAATGATTAATAAAAGATTGCGTTATTATCCTTACCCGTTTTAAAGTTATAGCTTAATTTCTAAGAGACTGTAAATTTATCTAAAAGGGGGGGGGGTAGAGGAAAGCACAAAGGGGTAGGAGTGGGGACTTTTGGGAAAATGCTCATCTCAACATGGTCTAATAGCATAGAAAAATTCAGCTTTCCCATAGTTACTTACAACATCAAACCTATATCGACTGTGGGCTACGTACCGTTCATGCGCGCCTCGGTACTACTACGAATTTTCCACGTTTACTCTTACTGAAATCAACGTAGCTCTGTTGTTTTTGCACGGATTTCATTAAACTTGGTGTTGTTGTACTACTTGTTAGTTTTTCTAACCATAAATAGTTTGTAACATGCCCTAAACAAGCGCAATATTTCCGATATTTCATTTTTAAGTATTTTTAAATTTTATTTTTTGCAATAAATGTTGATTAGCGCCTAAAGTATAAGAGATAGAAGAAAGGTTGTAATAACCTTTTTAAAAGACAACATATTTAGGCGTAGATAGACGCTTAATTCACCTTTCTATCATTAACCATTTGTGAGTTAGACGCGGAAACGTAAACCGATGACCCGCGCAACTTCCCCCCCTCCCCCCCGAGTTGTGACCACCCTAGGAATGCGACATCATCGATTTTTTTAATCTACTAGATGTCCCCAACAATAATCAAAAGTCAAATTTTGTCAGACTTTCAGTGCATACTCAACCCGTTTAGCGCCTGGACTATAATTACCTAAACAGTAATTTTATGCTCAGCTAAAAGCTAACCTGAGAAATCACCAATGAACCCAACTTCAATAACCTTATCCTTTACTTCGGGCGGAAGGCTGTGCTGTTGAGGGCTAACTTGTCCAATATAATTCCACCCCCTTCCTTCATAAACATTTCCATCTCCTCCAACTAGAAAGCTGAAACAATATAATTCTAAACTTTCACTTGGATATCAAGCTTTACTCATTCTACGTATTAATTTGGTCATTTGTCCTCTTACTAACAGATTAAAATTACTTTTTTTCACCTTTGTGTTATGGAAAGTTTTTTTTTCCTCACTTCAGTAAACTCATTGAAGGTATATGCATATAATGTCTTTTCCCGTAATTAAAAAATAGGGGAAAGTCAAGTGTATGTTAATTCTATGATCATATTTTTTCCTTTAACATGGCCTAGGTTTCGATACAGTCATAAAAAAACAAAATTTTGTCTGACAAATTTAAATTCAGCCTTATACAGCTTATAAACCTGTTTGTATGCATGTTTCAGAACGTTTTTAAAACTAATATTTCTTGTTGATTGTTCTTCTATCCGCGGTCCTAAAGTACAATTTACAGCTTCACAAAACTTCACAAAACCTGAAAAAGTATATTCATATGATCTACTTTTAGCTGCAACATAGCTTTAATTCTTGCTTATCCAAATTTGTTGGCTAGCAAGCCTTAGAAGATCTTATTTTAAACTGTTAAAAATTTTACTATTCTTAAATAATCTGGTACTTTGGTTTTATACAGACTACACCTAATAATCATAACCTAACCAAACCTAAGGGTGGACTATGTTTTAGGTTAGGTTAGGTTGGGTTTAGTGAGTCAGTGGCTCAGTTGGTAGAGTCGCGGACTTCGGGGCCAAACAGCGATGTCGTGGGTTCGGATCCTGGTCACTGCCGAAAACATTTTATCAGTACAGTTCACCTTTGTACTTTACCGGCTCACACCTTGCTTTGCTGCAACGATCCATGCACGGGCGGTTATTGTATGTAGATGGCAAATGCAAGGTTAAAAGAGGCCGCCAACCTGTTTTTTTTTTTTTTTTTTAAGAGAAAAAAAATGTTAGGAAGATTTTGTTATTTAAACTAACTACAATCGTATTTGAAAGTCGATTTATCGGTGTGGTCGGTATAGTACCAAAGTACCAATAATATGCATAACAGTGTGATTTACTTGTACTGTATATCCGGCAAGCCCCTGACATCCATCTGGTAGTTCTGTATTTCCTGTATAATCTTGATACATTCTCGTTTTGTTGAACATGTCTTCGTCTCTGTTTCTGAGTAGACTATGTCCGCTGGAGGTTCATCAAACTCCCTCACTCTTAACGGAGGTCTTGCGTGCCACTCGACCCGTGTTACAACTTCAGGCTCTTCATCCTCTGATGATGATGAGTCGTCGGACATTATTAAAAGCCTAGGTTACGTCTGGAAAGAACTATTAGGGATTAAAACCATATGTCCAGATTATAAACATCTGACCGTGGTTTTTGACTATCAGGAAATATTTAGATAAATATTTAGTCATAATGAGAATTATTGCACTTGGTTTAATGAAGATACAACACCCTTCTTTCATTAAGATATAGCCTATTTTTTAAACATAACGTTATCTGTTGCCAGAAATGTGATTAATTTTAACCCATTGCCCTTCGGTTACTTGGCAATAGTGTATTTATTATTTATTCATATTATAAATGACAATAATTATTTGTGATTGTTGTCAACAATAGAAGTATAGTTACCTTATGCAACACAAGTGCCATTTGCTCTCTATTATTGTCATTCCTTTTGGTCAGAATTTACAAAAAACAATGCATCTTTGAATTTCCATAATGCAATTAAATACACCAGGAAAGTAATAAACATTATTTTTCTAGTGATTTCTTTTCTACGTCACTATTGGGGTAGAAAAAGGTTCTGTTACCTACTAGGTTCTGTTATCTTGCAACATCTATGGATTAATCTATTACATTTGTTTACCTAATATTTTATAGGGCGTAGCTAGGGTGTCATGTTAGCCAGCACATTGAAAAAATAAGTGTGCTGGCTAACGTTTAACAATCTTTACCAAAACTTGGAAGTAACGTTTTTGTTGACAGATAACTTGTTATAAATAAAAACTAATACAAGTATCGTTGCAATGTCCTTTTAAAGATATATGGTAACTACATAATAGCTGTATGACCTTGTTTACTTACGGTACTAATAAATATACAAAGGCGAGCGATACACAAATCATAGCAGAAACAATATTTAACGGCCCAAACCACCACTTCATTTTGATTTACTGTAGTTCAAAGTGGTATCAAGTATTATCATATAAAGTAGCTAGTAGCATATGGATTATGTAACACAAATCTTACACAATAATAATCTATGTACTCCTAGTGTTCTAATCAATTATTCCTAGACTGACACCTAATTTCACATACAACTTTGTTTTTTAGTAGTATACAAGCGTATGTAAATTGTGTATATGTGGTTCATGGTATTATTAGCTTTTGATATCAGCGCATATATTATCAGTTATGATCAGATGTTTTGTCGTGTAATCGATTCAATTGTAATAATAGGCCTCCTCACAAATATTAACTTCGGACCATCAATTATAACTGTGTGTAATTATAACTGAATATTAGAACTGTCTTTAGGTGATTTTACTCTGCCAAGCCATTTTATGAGCATGATTAACTAAAAAAAATACGGTATATACGATTGTAGTATATGATCTAGAGTTTGTGTAGTTCAGTTTGCATACCGGAAGGTAACATTATACAGTAACACATGTTGGGAAACAGTTCAACTGGTTACATGAAAATTAATTATGACAAAACGTTTAGTATTTTTAAATTTCAAATTCTCTGAAACAAAAATATTTTTACTATTTACTGTAGAATAAACTTATTTCCAGTTAAGTATATAATTTGCACTTAGAATTTGTATTCAAAAAGATAAGTTGAGTGTTTAATCCATAGACTTAGTTCTTTTCCTACCACTGGAAAAGGCAAATATGAATTCATGTTTTTCTCATATAGCTTAAAACTGTTGCTGCTTTGTCTTTAATTGTACTGGCTAAAACCTTTAGATGTTAATATCGTACTCATGTTTTCTCGGTAGAATTTCAGGTTCAACATTGAAATCATAAAGTTGGTATTACTTTTTAAACTCCAACTTAATCTAAAATTTTAATTCTTGGCCCCTGAGAATCTACAATTAATTAAATTCACCCATCGAAGGCTAAACCTCAAGTTCTATCACTTAAAGAATATGCCTTATCATGAATTGATTAAATGTAATAATCGATGAGTTTGGTAATCTCTGTAGCTCTAATAACAGTATATAGGATATAGTAACTGGATATAGGGTAAAAATAATATTAAAATATCACTATCGTTCTATCTTATGTGTGCCCAAAAAGTCATGGTTGGATTAAGGAGTATATGGTTAAATCAAACCCTTTTACAAAATTTAATTAGAGAAATGTTTTACTATAGCTACGAAGTAGATTTCTTTTGAGACTTTGTGACATCTAGAACTCTATTTTCTAATCCAAATCGTATCAGCCTCTTCGTCGCTTCTATCATTTCTGGCGTTGGGTCGTTGTCTGAAAATACAATTTTTTTTATGGTTAAATATAAATTAATATTTTAATAATTCTGAATAGATGATAACATAGGGTTGGGGTGGTAAATAACAGATTATGTATGGATACAATAGGAACAAATAGTTTTATGGTTGTGCTAACCATACTCTTATTGGGCAGGGAGCCTGGTTAGAGCGCGGGACTTCAGTCCTTCAGGTCCCAGGTTCAAATCCAGTCAAATCACCAATGGATTTTATCTGATTGTTAATGCCGCAACCCCTAGGCCTAGCCTGAAGGAATGTGAAATACAATCCCGGGCTCGTTGCGTAACATCTTGGGAAATATAAAAACCATACTGTCATAATACAATAATAGTAGTATACGCAACGATTGCGTTAAGTAAGTCTTTACGACACGAGTAGAAAATTTAAGGCACGAGCCTTGGCGAGTGCCTTAAAAACTTCTACGAGTGTCGTAAAGACTATTAACGCGAGTTGCGTACACTACTTTACCTACGACCGTTTTTTAATTAATTACTATCAATCTGTATTTAATTACTAACAATCACCACTGATAACTTTTTAGAGAGGTTATGTTTTCGTGTATTGTCATTGCCACTGAAAGTGATGCAACGACTTGTTGTATAATCAGCTGATTTCCTGTAATTACGTGTTTGTTAAACTTCGTTAAATATTACATTGCTAGCAGCATTCTTACCATAAATAATATTGTATCAGGTAAAATTCGGCAAATATTTCATTCATTTTTGGACTTCCACTAACTTAATTAAGAATACGCGAGTATCACCATGAACAAGTCGGATCAACAATTAAATTGGTCAACTGGTCAGCTGATCAGCTGATTAGTTGACGTTCGAAGCATTACAATTTTAATTCTTTTCTCTCAATACTTGAACCTCATTGGTCCGTTACCTGTGTGGATATGAGAAAAACTATGCTGATATGAAATGAAACTATGCTGATATGAAAGTAAACAGCTGTAAAGTGAAACTTTTCAATTCTAAGAACTGGACTGAAATGGCTACTTAAAAAAAAACTGTCGTAGGTAAACATATATTTCTTGTATTGCAATTTTAGAATGTATTTTTTATCTTGAGAAACAAATATTTTTAATATAAAAAATAATGTCATACAGTTATGATATTATTATGATAACCCATAGCTGAATTGACCAGAATATTAATTCAATTTATCTATGTATTAAAATACAATATTCTACAAGTTAGTTGTGGAATAAATTTCAGTTTATAAATTCTTACCTTTGTACTCCCCGATAAAAGCCACTTCAACACTTTTTCCAGTCATTTCTTTCGGTATTTTATGGTTTTTAGGATATTCTGGTCCTTCGGTCCACCACCCTCGGCCAACATAGATATTTCCATCACCTCCGATTAGGAAACTAGAATACAAAATACAGTGGTATATATCAAACTATTTTACAGTTTCCTCTTTCAAAATAATGGGTTTGGTCTCTACACCAATTGTCAATCTGGTATTTATTATATAAGATGTGTATTTTATTTTTCTAGAGATACATTATTGTTTACAAATAACAAAATGAGCAACCGCTTTTAAGAGACATTTTTTTTAAATGCAATGTTCTTGTTTAATCACAATAAGCATCATAGAAGATTTTTTTCAAGTCAGTAGTAATCGTTTGTTTCTTTAAAAAAACCCTTATTCTAAAACACCATGGTGTCCAAACGTCCTCCTTTATTTATTGATACATAATATGAAATTGGCAAAGTAAAGTATTATTCTTCTGTTATAAAATAACAAATCACCCTATATTTGACCATAATTAATAAATGAGGGTAATAGGATGTATTGTACTAATGTGAGTTGGCCAAAAACTGTATTTTCTTTTCTTGAGATTCCAAAGAGATTCCAATTTACTAAAACGCAACGCTGTCAATTAACCTATTGGTCATTTATTAGAGTTGTGTTCAGCTATCAATGTCCTGTGAAAATTGATTCACTTAGTAGGATATAAAGCCTTAATCACAATTATAACTTATTTCACCAATGATAGGCACTTAAAAGAGTGCCTTTTAACAAAATTTAAGTTTACATTAAGGTAATATTTCTTAGGTAGTTTTGTCACTGACAAAGGGAACCAGTTTCTTTATTTATCCTATTTGATTTAATTCCAACACTCAAAAACAGCTGGACCCAGTTTTAAACCGTTAAAATATTACTGTTTTTTCCAAGAGCTGAAGGTTAGGTTAAATTAGGTTAGGTTAAATTAGGTTAGGTTTGGTTTGGTTAGGTTAGGTAAGGTTAGGTTAGGTTAGGTTAGGTTATGTTACGCTAGGTTCTTATTGAAATACAAAAACCATAACAACTCTAATATTTAGCTTACTATTTCCCTAGTAGCACAAATATGTATTTTATTAATATTTTATATATTCAAAGTTGTATTTGATAGAACCTCGAATAAAATATATAAATAATATATCTTTAATAATACTTTGATATATTCAAATATATATTTAAAATATTACCAAAAAGCAATGCAAAATATCAATTAAATATAAGTTTTGAATATATAAAATAGATTCATAATATATATTGATAAAATAAGTATAGAATCTATAATATACATATTTTATATGTATATTTTTCCTATTAAATATTAAAAAAAATTATGTATTGAGAATATCTTAAATATATATATAAAATATTTTTGAAACTATATTATATATTTAAAGTATTTATAAATATATTTTGAAACACGTCAGATATTTTTAAAAATAAGGTAATAATATTTGTGTAGAATATATTCAAATCTATTATAATTGGCAAATAAATAATTTGCATCTTTTTGTTTTTTACAGTGTCTATCAATATGCATGAATTTTTTTTATGATAATTGCTATTGTGAAAGCGTTAAAATTAAGTAAATAGTAATAAATACTCTGAATGGTGTCACTCTATCATGCACGTAAAGAAAAAATTACGCATATAGTTAAGAGGCAGTATACATGTTTGACAGCCACATGTGGGTCAAACGAAAAAAGTGTTGATGGGTTTTATTTTTTAATTGCAGTATGTGACAATGAATGTGATCATAAAAATGTCGAATGATTGGCTAGAAAAGGGTGCTAGTGACTGGCGACCTTTTAAGAAACTAATTACAGTTGCATATGATGTTCTAAAAATAATTATTTGATTTACTTATGTCATAGATTACATAATATTTGTCATAGAATTTAAATTAATTTTTGTAGTTTACTGTATTTGTATTCGTGGGGACTACTCACTGTTCACTACATCACTATTCAACTCAACTACTTGATACCAAAACAGATTAACAGAATCATATTATACTGTAGTATTAAAAATATTTTAAGTATTGCAACCATTGCAACTGTCGGCTACTCTTTGACCATTTGAAAACCAAGACTAACATCAGTCACAAATAGCTCAGAGGTAAGGTAAGAGGCTCACAAGTCGAAGAACCCAGGTTCGAGACCCATCCGGGCCAAAAAAATGTTATCTAGTTTTTTTTCCAAATTTGTTTTTATGAACTATTTAATCAATTTACTCAACTGATAATTGTGTTTTTCATACAAAATCTATATTATTTTTGTGTTATGTTTGAAAGTGATATTAAATATATTTTTTATTTAAATATTATTCACTAAAATATATTATTGGAACATATTTGTTAAATATTTAATAGATTCAAAATTATATTTTTTATCTATTTAGTATATTTTAAATATTATATAAAATTGACATTAATACACACTTGAGATATATAAAATAGATTTTAAATATATTTATTCATATGTATTTAATATATATTTGTGCTACTAGGGTTACACTCTTCCATATCTGGCAAATATTACCATAAATATTCTAAACAAAGGTCCAATCACTTACTTATGTTGTATGTCAGGCATCCCCTTTGCTTCCATATGATATCGTTGTATTTGTTGCACCCGCTTTATACACTCCTGTTTAGTAAAGCAAGGTTTGGTATCTGTCTCTGTGTACACCACATCCCCCACAGGGGTGTCCATGGGTTTGCGGAACTTTGGGGGTTGCGACTTCCAAGCGTTCCTCCCAATAACCTTCGGGTAGTCTTCATCTGCTGCCACTGGTACCGCCATATCGGGGTGTCAAAGAATTGACTGCAAAAAAGGTTTCACTTAGTTATAATTTTATTTTAAATCGTAAATCTAAATAAAGCCAACTTCGTATTGGGGCACTGATGTAGTTATTAAAACAAATGAAACAATATTTAATAGTTTTTTTGCGTAGTATTAGTTTGTAATGCATTATTTCAATGGTGACAATGTTTTGCAAAGAAAAAAAAACAAATAAATTCACCATTTATTTTAAATCATAAATAATGTGCTTAGTTGTAAAATAATCGTTCATTAATGCTTATTGAATGCTTTGAATGCTTGAATGCTTTTAATGCTTATTCAAGCACTGTAATACATATTATTTGTTAAAGAAATCAGTTAATCACATTTTATATTATAAGTGGTTATTATGTATTGACTTATAACATAATTCTTCCTTAATTAAAAGAATAATTATATTAGTTCAAACAAATCAATGTTTAGTATTAAACCAATAGTTAAACTCTAAACTTAATTGGTTATAGGATGTAAGACTACAAATAGTGTTAAGTTTTTTATGAAAACCTTTTTAATGTAATTAGAATGAAAAATACAACTTAAGTGCGTAAAGCTTTCATCAAACAGAAGTGCGATTAAGATATTTAAGTTCATCTTTGTAACTTACTTACACAGCGTCCCTTGTGTCGCAAAAGAAACAAAATACTTCAGGTCAATGAATAAAAATTAAATCTATTCACTTGAAACAATCAACTGTCTACAACTTATCCTGATCCCATTACTCATAACTATTAAAGTTGTGCGTACTACGAGATAGTTACGTGATAGTTTTATCTTTGTAACGATATAAATCATATCATTTACTTGATATCTTACGGTAGAATTGACCACAAAATGTATCATTGCAGCACTACAAAATGAGTTGTTGTTTTTGTTAACAACCCAATGACGTTTAAAGCTGTTTTCAACGTTGTTTGTGAAGGAACGTTTATTTTTTCTTTTTGTTTTGTTATGTTTTGTTGAAACCCTTAACAGATTTTTACTTTTTAATAGCAAATACTGCTTATGAATTGAGTTAAAGCATGTATAAAATTACTAAACAATACTATTTTTTATTTTGATTTATTGGCAAGGTTATTTTGCCCTAACTTGTTTTAGTTAGTAAAGTATCGTCGTTTTTAATGGCTCGTGTCTAAAACATATTTCAAGACCTGCACGATCTATTTTTCACCCTTGATGTTATATTGTTTTGAATTATTTTTTAGAGGATAAATATTAACTCTTTAGTGGAAAAGATTCTCTATATTACACAATATCTTTTGGCAAATGCTCAACACCCAAATTATATACAGAGGGGTGCAAAAGTAGGTATACAGTAAGCAACTGTTTATAGGAAAAAAATATTCATTTATACAAAACCCAAACTTTTACAATTTATTTTAAGAGCATTTAAAATGTTGTACTTGGCAAAAACACTTACTTCCCCGTGTGTTCAAACTGTTTGCCTGTTCGTACTGTATACTTACTTTTGTACCCCTCTGTATAGTCTTATCCAAAATCCATATATGATCTGTGGCTAATTATAATTATGTTTGAATATTTGATACTTTTTGACTACATGGTCCACCTATGTAATAGATGTAATGAAAAAAAATAGTTAAATTCAAAGAATAAACAATTCTTCCTGTTTCTTTTGTTTGATAAAAAATTAAAGTATACAAGTATTTATAAATGGAATTGCAAATTGTAATTGTATTCAATTAAGTATACAGTAATATTAAATAATACAAAATTTGTGTATATAACAAAACGTGAATTTTCAAAAATTATTTTTTCGGACGATAAATTATCACCACCTTTAAGTTGCAAAAGGTTTTTGCCTTTCGAAATAAATGTTCGATTTCCTATACCCTTTGGTTTACAACAGGCATTATTAAAAAAAACAGACAATTAAAAACATGATTTATTGATTGCAGGTACACATTAGACAAACACATACTTCTAAGAAGCTACAAACGCATTCTGAATTATTTACTCTGTTAGCAGCTAACCCAGCAAAACTGAATTAAACCATTTAATTTAGAGTACACATTTGCCAATTTAGCATGTCATCGACACTCAATGGTAAATATTCCTTCATCATTTGCCCGTTTTTCCGCCTCTTCTACTTCTTCATCTGTAGCTTTGGCAAAATCCATTTTTGTGATATCAATGAAGGACTCGTCAACTTTACTTTTTCTCGCTGTTCGGTTTTCAAATATGTCCTCAAAATAATGTTTTTCCACTTCTTTGTAGTTTAGTTCCAACTGACGGTCGTAGTATACCTTTTTTTCAGTAAGTATTCTATTGTCAATTCCATGTGTCAGTAGAAGTCTCAAGCCCCTCAGTAGTTTGCTTGGAAATTCCATGTCTGAAAAAGGTTTCTTTGTGGGGTTATGAATTCTTCTAAACACATTTCTTCTGTTAATACAATATCTTTTGATGGAATTTAATATTTCAATTTATTCTTTATATTTCTGCATTTAACAACTATGTTCAGTTTTAACAAAATGTATGTTTAAAATATACAAAAGGTTTTCATACAATGCTACAGCCTATAGTTTTATTATTTTCCTTCATTTTTCTTGTCATCATTTTCATCAGCAGAATCATTAGTTTCTTCTTGGTTAAAATAAAGTAATTGATTTTCTATGCCATAGTTAATTAGTTTTTCAGCTAGAGACGTCATTTCTTTTGGAAGTTCATCTTCTGAAAGAGTGTGATAAAATAAATATAAGAAAATATATGTCAAAATTTGTTCCCACGTCTGTTATTTCACCATTATCATTAAAAAAAATAGTTTGTACATTACCAAAAATAAACACGTACTTACTGATTCATACATTATAGCATATCTTATAATTTAGCACGATCATATTGCGTACTTTGTTATTCCTGCTTTTATTATTTCATTATAGTTACATTGTAGTATTATTAAAAGTTTGTGTGAAATAAATAAAATTTTTCAAAAAAAAAGGGTCAAACGTTTTTATTTCATAAAATGTACACATTTTTATTCCTATTTCTATTAAATTTCTAAAATTTATCTTGTAATCTAATTTGAATTCAATAACATTTTAAAGGCTGTATTAATGATTTAATTTAATCGGCAACGAAAGGGGTTTACTACTACATAGTAATATATTGTTGGGAGTTGATCTAACCATATAACATAGACAACTGTAATAACCGAGTTTTTATGTTAGAGTACTTTTGTCAATATAAGATAAACTTATACTTTGTATTTTTTTTTGTAGTCATAGTATAAGTGTATTACAAATAAATAAACCATGTTAAATTAGTAATATGAAAACTATTTAGTTAAATACTTACAAATTTTAAATTATAAAATGGTAGTTTAACTGTCAGAATCATACCTTTATAAGATCCAATAAAAGCAACCTCCAGAACCTTTTCGGTTGATTCAGGCTTTTCTTTGTCAGTCATAGAACTTGCCAGATACCATCCACGCCCCTCATATACGTTCCCATCTCCACCAATCATAAAACTAAAAAAGAAAACATAATTACATCCCCACTATTTAGGAAGATGTAAACCTTGTAAAATTTTCTCACAGACGTTTTGTCTAACATTTATTTTTTTAAATAAACATAGAATAATACTTAAGTGTAGGCACCAAGTAATATTAATACCTAATAGAATGAATGCTATTAATTGTAATTGTTTATAATTACAGATTTCCTTTGATGTTTTAACTTGTAAAATGTTTTGAAAACAATAGGTTTTTTTACTATATAAATATATAAATGGTTTAATATAAAAACAAAAAATAATAATACGAAAATTATTAGTTGTTACTACTTTTAGAAATTAGCAATAGAACAGGAAAACGACTTTTTTAGTAGTCTGGTTTTGGGAAGATGGCGGCCAAACAACTTGTACAATAGTTTGCTACTACAGATGTTGTAACAACTATTTGGAACTGATGATATGCAGTTAGTACAAAACAAATTATACCATTGAAAAAAGAGCTACAATTTCTTAAAAGTTTAAAATGAGGATCTGTAATTTTGCATTTTTAAACTAATTATTGTTTAAACTTACTTATACTCGATATCAGGCTGTCCTTTAAGTTCCATGTGGTGTTTTTGGAGACTTCTAACAAGTTTTGTGCATTCTTGTTTCGTAGAACATGTTATGGTGTCCGTTTCTGTGTATACAACCTCCCTTATAGGAGGGTCCATCTGAACTTTCGACTTAGCAGGTAGCGCTCCCCATGTATCTCTTGAGATGATTGATATTTTCCCCACATCTTCTGACTTTCTTGATTTGTTTTCTGAAAGTAAAATATAATGAAGCAATTAAGATCATTTTTTTCTTTATATAACGTACCTGTAAAAACCCAACCTTTAGTACTTTTGGATTATATTTCATTTGAGAGGTATCTGTAAAATTAAAAAGTTTTGCAAAGTGTTTTTAGTTAACATTACATGTAGTATAAAATGATCAGTATTAATAATTACACTTCCCTTCCTTTTCAACGTTTATTGTAATATTCTTGTAAAATAAAATTTAATTTTTAAAGCTTATCCGTTACAAATATAGCAATCCCTGAGACCAGGGTTAAAAAAAATAAATTAAATTAAAATTCTTAAACGGAAAACCAATTATTCCCCAAACAGAGCCTAAAACGAACCACTTTACCCTAAAACTAAGATATTTCCAACAATTTAGGTTAGGATGAGAAAATCGAATGCTACACTTAATTTACTATTCTCAAATATGATCAATTTGTTGAATATTGAAAACTATAATTTCATTGTTAGTTTATTTGTCCCAAGTGTTAAAACTTAGTTGTTTTCTCATGTAAATATTTGATTTCATACAATTGTTTATACATACATAACCTTACCACTTTTCTTGCTGTCAGCCATATTCGTCAAGCACTAAAACAAGTTGAGTAATTTTGTTACACTTATACAATAACACAGGTCAATCGCCACTCATGTAATATATACAAACATTTACTTATCGCACAAACATTGTAATCTTACACAATGGATTGTGTAAATATTAAACTCAATACTCACTAGGAATCAATTTTATTTAAATTTGCATGAATTGTTACGCTTACATTCTTTGGAGTTCAACTAAAAATATATGTCAACATGAATGACACTTCCGAAGGAATTCAGGAAACAGTCGAATATTTGAATAAGAGGAATTTCGTTTCACGTGAAGAGTGGGAAGCTAGGGAACCAAAACAGAAAACAACTCTCAGAACCCCAATTTCAAATGTTGTTTTTTCCTACGCTAACAGTGTACTTTGTGCTACAAAACAACGATGCGTCCAAGTAGTGAACTTGATGCAAGCATGCGCTTTGTCTTCTTGCGAATTGAGTGATGTAAAAGCAAAGTGAGTACAATTTTAGAAAATCTAAAATATAGTTAAAGTTTTTTTTATAGGTTAAATAGGTCTTATTTGCGAAACATTAATGATAGTTTAAAAGGTTTCACAAAATCCAACATTTCAATAAATGTTTTACTTCAAGTATTTTGTTATTTTTATGAATTTATATGAATTCACGTTTGCAACGATTGTTCAGTTTAATTTGTTTTTTTTTATTTATAAAACTACTTTTAAATGGGCTTATTTGGAAAATGTTGGTTCATATTTAACTTGACATTTTACAAGGAGAAAGTATACTTTAATGTATTATTATTGGTTAACAAAATAAACAGACGAAAAGTGTACTTGCAATTTTAAAACGAGAGAGTATTTTTTTATAATTTTAAGCTGCTAGGCACATTTAATCTCTGCATATGGGTATTATTTGGAATTATTATTCAGAAGATGCATTCTAAGACTAGAACATAATCGACGTGGGTGTATCAACTACGATGTTAAGTTAAGGATGTTATGCCGTATATTAGGTTAAACAAGATTTAATCTCTTCTTATGTAAATTAATAATACCTATAATAATAAGTTAATAATTAATAATATCATTTTAAATTTACTTTTTAAAGTTTAAATTTCACGAAATATAAAATGATGAGTGGACTAGTAAAGGTAGATGGAAAATAATTTATTTTTCATCTTCAAACTAATTTGAATACCTTATTGTTATGTTCAATATTACAAAGAATGATTTTCCACTATGTAAATTATATAATCTTTTTACAAGGTAATTTGATCTTTTTAGAAAAACCAAATAGATACAAGTGTATTTCTCGTTATTGACATGTGAAACAAATCAATGAATTAGGTGATAGTTTTTCTAGTAAATGGTTTTATGTTTACCACCTTTATTTTGTTAATTTAAGCTTTATTTGTACTCAACAAGCAAAAGCGTTTATTTGATAATCAATATAATCTTTTCTTAAATTGGAGGATTTAAAACTAAGCGAGTCCTCATTGTTTTCTGTTTAATTTTGACAAATCACTTTAAAAATGCAGTAGTTAACAAATCATAAATTTTAAGGCAGGTAGTTTTTCGTTTTCCAGCTTTTATATAGGGGGTGATGGAAGGATATATGAAGGAAGAGGCTGGAAATATGCTCCAGAAAAATACGAAGGGGTTTTTGAAAAACTAGCACCATTAAACAGGAAGTGTATTGAAATATCTTTTCTTTGTCGAAATAGTAAGTATTAAACATCTCTAAGGCGTAAGTTATGTTGTATTGTAGCTGGCTAAATTATGCATAATTCTTTATACTGTCTATAATCAATTTTAAATAGTATAATTAATATTTCATCCTTTTGTGTGCGTGATTTAGTTCATGCAGAAAAAACAGGAACAAGATCAAGTAAAAGTGATTATAATTTATTGTATTGGGTATTTAGTTAACTGCTACTGTATCTATCCTGCCAAGAGGCACACAATTTTTTTTCTATCTGCTGCAAGTTAAAACATAACATTTTGTAAATACGATTAATGCATTAAAAATATTAATTAGTTTGCCAGCCTTAAATTAAGAGAAAGGATTAAGGGATATATTTCTCCCTGTTGCTTTTTATAAGTTGAAACAAAATTAGTCCCAGTTCAGAATATAATTATTTATGTAAAAAACTAACAGAAACGTTAATAAACTGCCTAGGGTTGTGTATAACTTACTAGCATCTGTTGTTCGTCTTTATTGTACATATTTATATACAAAACTATTTCCAGATACAAAACCAACCACTGTTCAAGCTGAAGCAGCTGCTCTAGTGATAAAGGAAGGTATAAGAAAAAAGATATTGAAAAATGATATCAAAGTAACAACTTTATTCAAGGAACACACTATTCCTAGAGCAGTAAGAATACTTGAAAACGTAAAGGTTAGTCACCATGTTACGAGCCAAAATGGCGACCCTTATGAAGGTTGGAGCGTTATTTAATAAGAAATAATCCGAACATCTTTATTGAAAGACTACTGGTTTTTAAGAATAAAATAATTTAATTTATTAGTACAGTTTTATAAAACTGCTTTTGTTATTGTAGCATTTGATATTTATATGTTAATGTGTTTTGTAAATGGTTTTATTAAATATATATTGTTGTTTTTAAAAATATTGTTCGAAAACATTTGCAGCATATTTTAATATAGTTTTCGTTTTATTATTAAGTGATTATTAAACCTCTATAATTTAAACAACGACACTATAAATTAATAATGCGGTGTCCAGGATTTTTACGCAAGTTTTTATATGCCTATATTGATGAATCTTTTAATTTGATTAACTCTTTTATATGGTTAATTATTTGATACATTATTTGCTTAAATAAAGGCATACAGAATCTTTAATTATCAAGCCCCGAAAATATTTTTAGCTAAAACATAACTTTATTTAACTGCTTTATACACAGTAAGGCTGTAAAATTGAAGGCAACATATATAAAGGTATATCATTTTTACCTAGGTCTTAATTGATTGGGAATACATGTAAGTAAAGTTTAAAAACCTAATAATAAAAACATTTGGTCTCAACTCTTATATCTGCTTAAATAATGTTATAAACTTCTATTCAGTAATATATTCCTTATCAGCTTATTATATAACAACATATTTACAACACATTTGTATCGAACATGGTGATAAGTTCAGCGATGGAAAACCTATACATAATTTGGACATAATGTTTTATCCCTAAATCTAAAAGTATATTTTTTCGTTAGTTGTGAACTAAACATGTTCTAAGGGAGTTTAGTTAAGTAATTCTTTAACGTGTGTATTATATACGAACAAATTATGAACAAGTGGTAGAATATTATATTTTTTATAAAATCTTAGTGATATTGAATTTTTCGGGACTTTGTTTAGCAAATTGTAAATTAAGTTTCGTAATGTCTGCGACACCACCCTTTATTCAGGGTTCTGTCCCCCCACCCCCTCCGGACGCTACGGTGGCCACTGTATTCTCTAGGTATGACTGGGGGGCAATACCCCCCCGCAAAACCTTACCCCCCCTCACAACACCTGTTACCAAAGTGGTAACCTCATGGGCACACGTAGAACCTTGTTTGACAGTGGACGAGTGTAAACAAAGAGTAAGGGAAATACAGAAGAAACAGATGGAAGAGGATAAGTTGGACGATATTGAATACAAGTAAGCAAAATAATAAATATCGTGACAGTGTGTTTAATCTTTTTCAAAATTAAGGTAGTTCAGGTTAGGTTTAATTTTGCAAAGTATTAGTAGGGTTTATTCTAATCATTAGTAGATATTAGTAGGCCATTTCTTTGTAGTACTGGTGTAATCTGTTGTGAAATTAAAATGTAAAAACCTCAAAATACATAGCACGATACAATATGTTACTAAAAAGGGCATCAAGTTTAGGTAATAGTAGTTTAAGGTTACACTATTCACAAAAAGATCTCATTCCACCGTACGGTTAGTTTTGGAATTTAGTACTTTCTTTTATTTTCTATGGTGTAATTAAGCGAAATAATAATTCAATTTACCTTTATGTTACTTTTCTCTATATTAAAAATTGTTCTCGTGTAAGTGGGAACAACAATCAATCAGTAATGGAAAAATGCTGCATTATGAAATTGTGTCTCATGAACCTTTATGTATGTTGATGATAGTTGTAATTCAAAGATTAACAATTGTCTGAATCTTGTGTGTAGTAGTAAGTTTTTTTCTATTTTTTTGTTTACTAAAGCATATGATAATGTTTTCTATTGTTCACCTTTTGTTTGGAAATAAAGTTAATTTATATTTGATTTGTGAATAGTTTCACATTTTACTCAAAATTGGAAATACAAAAAACTTGATTTGTAAGCTGGCATATTGTGGTCTTTTGTATGCCTATAACAATTTTCCCTTAAACTAATTGAAATGATTTCTTAGTTCTTTTTTGTACGAGGTAGCTAAAGTTATTTCAACACTAGGCACCCTGAACATCAAAGATCTCAACGTGACCTGTATTTAAATCATTTCAAAAAGTTGCCTTTAAAAGCTTTCTTGGATAATTTTTAGTTTTCTCATCGGAGGGGATGGTAACATCTATGAAGGAAGAGGATGGTACAACGTCGGTCCTGTCTACCCATCTGATCTCGCCTATGCTAATGACCTGAATGGAAAAAGTGTAGAGTTTGCCTTCCTGGACAAAATAGGTTAGTAAATTTACCTCAGGGTTTGTTTTATTTTGGCATTAGTAGTGATATTAATCACTGTTGGTACTCTTTCTTATGATCAGTCCTTGTATTCTAGGATGCAACTATAGGCCAGAACCGTACAAATTACCTTAAGCTAGGCATAGGCAAGATATGTGGTAGAATTAATTGATGGCTGTGGGAATTTAAACCAAGTTCCTCAAATAACAAAGCCTTGTTGCTTTTCCTCTAGACGAGACTACTACCCGTTTACTGTTGTATTTAAATTAATGAATTGTAATGATTAACTAATTACGATATTATGAGATGCACATAGTAAACTACCTTAGTTGGCAATACAAAGAGAGCCTAGCAAAAGTAAATGGAATGTTATCCTCTAGCCTTTTCACTTTTAAAATATTTAAAACAACACTTTTAGGTTAACTATTGCAAATTAAAAAACAAATTTTATTCTGTGACAGCTGTGAAGCCAAATGACGTTCATGTGAAGGCCACTTCAGACTGCGTCGCTTATGGGCTGGTAGCTAAGTTCCTTCAAGAGAAGGTTCAGTTTTACCTCAGGTCACCAGGGCAAATCCGTTATCTATCATCATACCAAACGAACGCTCCGGGAGTTGAGGAGGACTTAGAGGAATCTTCAGGCCCTCAAACCCCCAGTAAAAGAAAAAATGCTAAAAGAGGATAGTGTTGAAATTCTCGTCCAAGATTTTTAAACCAACGCTCTTCTACCACTAGCTAGCCTAATAGCAATATAGATCATTTACAAGATTAATTTAACCATGATTTATACTCAACGTTGTGCGAAGGTATTAGTAAAAATTGTAAATATATGTTTCAATACTATTGTTAGTTGCTACTGCATCTATTTAAATCCTTGATATTCATTTTTATGGTATTACAAAGTTTTTCCTTGAAAAACACTTACACTTTTAAAAGCAACGAATACAATTTAGTTTCAATATATCTGACTAGAATTTTAAATTGTTTTTTTATTGTTTCAGGACTGAATCTACCAAACGGTAAAAATTAGGATTTTATATAATAAATTATGAAACACATTATGTATATTTTTTATTGGACTTTAAAACATTTAAATAGTTCATTGCAGATACCCAGTAATCAAATTTGTTTTTGATTTTGACTTTTTAGTATATTATTGATGTACAAATTGAAATACATAGTTTATTGCAGAAATCACACAACTGTGAAAAAATCTTGGTTATGGGGTTTATTCAATTAATAGTTCATTTGCATTTGATACATCATTTTTTAATTTAAAATTCTATGAGCAAAATGTCTGCAATTTTCTTACTAATGATTTATTTACTAACAAAATACTGATCAAATAAGATGCTTCAGGATTCCTGATGTCAGCAAAACAATACTTATTCATATTCTGTTACAAAGTACAAAGAAAGTACAACGAAGCTGTAAAAGTAGATTAAAACTATTAAAACACTTTTAATCTCTTACATCATTAGAACATTATACAATTTAGATATAAAATATGAAATATTATCTAAACTGTTTGCTCCTCCTTCTCTAATAATTCTTTGTACTCTTTAATCAGCTGCTTTGTATCTTTATGACTCCCTTTTTTGTCCTTCAACATCATAACATCCTTTCCGTGGATAATGTAGGGTTTAATTTTCTTTACGTCTTTTGTTATTTTTTTCTCTTCCATACCTTTCATTACGACACCAGCAAGTGATTTGAGCATTTTCATTGATGGTTTGTCACCTGAAAATATTTAAAAATATTTCATACTTTGTTTAAGGATAAACATTTTTTGAAAGGGTTGAAAAGGGGGAAATCGTCTGATGATTATTGTAGTGACCAATCTAAATATATCACTACTACAATATTTTTATATTACCCGTCTTGTCAAAAAAAAAACATGTTAAAATATATGTCTTAGGTGTTATTATATGTTTTTTTATTTACTGTCCATAAAATATACAGAAACCCCGTATAGCAATTAAATATTAAATTCAATTGCTGTCTAAATTCTAAAAATACTTACTGATTTTTCCTATGAATGCTATTTCAAAAGCACTATTAACTAATGGCTTGAAATTTTCTTCTTCCTCAGAATAAACGGGATACGTATTGAAACCTCTGCCTTCGTATACATTTCCGTCGCCACCAATTAAGAAGCTAAAACAGATAAAAAACATATTGTATAGTCTAAATCAATACTAAATACGAAATAAAGAAATTTTGATTTGATTTGATTTGATTTGACTATATTCTATGTTTTAGTAATTAAATAATAACAGAAGGAACAGACAAAAATGATTAAACTATCGCTAACACGTGTCCTGTGCGACTATTACAACTAATAATTGTTATTTATATCCATAATGAGTAAAAAATCTAAAAACATACATTAAAAGATTATTGCAAAATAATATATTTTAAATGCCTAAAAAGCAGATATGTACAGGCAAATGTAGAAGAAAAAGCGCTATGTCGTACTATACATGAATATGTTTACCAGACTAAGTTTGGTAAAATTACTCATGCTTTTAATAGTTCACCTTACAGGGAAGGTTATAGACTAGCCTAACGCTAACATAGCCTTTTTTTATTAAAAGGATATAATAATATTTCACTAAATACTGTATTATTTTACCATAACCTTAGTAAGTTTAGTTACGGGGATATTAGGATATCACGACAAGTTATTTAGGAACAAATTAGCGTTTCTTCATAGTACGTTTAACTTTGAGGTAGTTAAAGAACATAATCACTGTGCTCCCTGTAATCACTAAATACTACATATAATACATGTTAATTTAAAATACTTTTTTTATTTGTTTACTATTTTTTGGCTTTTACTTTTTTATACATGTTAAATGGGTATAATATAAATATCTTAGGTCAAACTCAGGACACCTCTTGTATTTGAACAGATGTGTTAAGAAGATTCAATTGAAAATGTACTAGGCTATATTAAAGAGAAAAATATGAATATACACATACTTTTTTAAGCTTTTTAAAACATTGGTTTTTTAAAATTTATGGACATCCATCCCATAGCCGGAAATGAAAGTAAGTTAAGTGTATGTCATTGATCCAAATATACTCTTTTTTAAGTAGTATATGTTAAATTGCGTTTACTTATGTTGAATATCAGGAAGTCCCTCTTCTTCCATGTGCCTCTTCTGTACCTCCTTAACCCTCTCTATGCAATCTTTCTTTGTGCTGCATGTTTGGGTTTGCGTGAACTTAAGCACCAGAGTAGAAACTTCTCCCTCGATTGGTTCCCCTTCCTTCAGAGGTTTCTCCGCACCCCATTGGCCTCTGGTAATGATTGTGGGTTTGAGAAGCAGCTTTGCCAAAAACATTGCTTTACCTGTAAAAGGGGAAATGTATTCTTTTAATACACAAGTCAGACAAAATTGGCATTGCATGTATCTTGTAATAACTTAAGGAATGTGTTAATAATTCAATTTCACTTAGAAATTTTTGCTATCACTATTTTTAAATGTAATTTGAGAAGCAATTTTGCAATTTCATATTTTTTTAGATAATCTACAATTTTGTTGTTATATGTTTTAAGGTTTTATTTTTTTAATTCGTAACCATACTATTTGACGTTTGTTAAGTAATTTATCTCCAAGAAAGATAATTTCACTTAGATATACTTGCTATTACTATTTAAAATTTTTTTAGCAGCTATTTTGCAATTTTAAATTTTTTTAGGAAATGTACAATTTTGTCGTTATATGTTTTAAGGTTTTATTTTTTTATTCGTAACCATACTATTTTACGTCTGGTAAGTAATTTATCTCTAAGAAAGATAACACATGTGTAAATATTTTTTTTCGTTAGCTTAAATTTGTTGTAGTAATTCGTTTACAAAAATAACGGTACCTAACCTAAGCCTACAAGAACATATTTTTTTTTTCTATTTTGTGTTTAATATTTACATATGGGCCTACTAACTTAAACATAGTTCGGAAGTATATTTCAATAATGTTTCACACTTACTACACCCAATGGAAACATACCTTATGAAATTCGTTTTCTCCTCTACTTCCAACCTAAAATCACGGAACCTTAAAATCACTATAATTATCAGCCAAATCTTCTGCAGGAGGAAGTCCTGCTTCTGAAATATTTATTTTCAACACATTTTCCCACACGTAAACCCCCTGTCCACTGTAAAGTTACAAAATGGCTTATCCAAATGATGATAAATATTTATCTGAAAGCTTGATATCATTATGAATATTAGTATGACCAGTATCTTTTACAATAGTTATTAAAGTATCATTGATCATGTGCTATGAATTGTTAAAAACTTAATTTGCTATGAAGAAGCATCGTGGTGTTTTGTGATGACCTTTTCCCGTTGTAAAATAATTTAAAGGTAAGAAAATTGAAATCCACAGCAAGACTGAGAATCGTGCTATTTTCATTTTAGAGGATACACCACTGCAACCTTTATAATGCAAACCCAACCAGATATCAGGAGACTTCTGTTTGACAGAAGGATGATAGACATGGACAATTACATTGCAAATTTGTATACCACACGTAAGTCAATGACTTAAGAAGCAACGATCAAGCGTATATACCATTAATTAATTACTAAAAAATAATCAAACATAGTGATTTATACCATAGTTTTTTTTTTGTCCTATGACGAGCCTGGGATTGTTTTCACATTACTTCAGGCTAGACCTAGGGGTTGCGGCACTATCACTTAGATAAAATCCATTGGTGACTTGGCGGGGATCGAACCCGGAACCTCACAGACTGAAGTCCCTCGATCTAACCACTACGCTAGATCACTCTTCTGATTTATACTATAGTAGGCAACGTAACACATAACAATAACGAAGAAAAAACTTGTTTATCTAAACTCTGTCTTCAGGACATCTAAGGAATTTTAACAGTTTCGAGTATAAGTTTAACAGTTCTGATGATCGGAATTTTACCTCTGCGTGTGTGCCTTCACTTATTAGCCGAAAATGCATATAACTGTAGCATTAAATACAGAATTGTATTCACACTAGCTTTTAAACAAATTGAGAAACAACCACTTTCGTTAGTCCTGTAAACATTTTTAGTTGATAATATATGATGGTAATGTATTTTATAGGTACCATACCCCACTCAGAAAACCTTTTAACTATACAAATATCAAAAGAAAGAAACTTTGTCCCGCCTTAAGATTCCATATTGAATAAGGATATTAAAGCTATGTACGTTTGTGCAAGATATTTCATTGTTACTTTATAATCATAGTACCATGTAAATATTATGTCAGGTTTCTAAAAGTAGTTGTAGTACTAAAATTACTTAACTTTTCCTCCATTAGATGATTCTAGGCTTAATGCTGAGTGGGATATTGTTGTTTTCTTAATAGTAAAGTTCTTTTAACTTATTATAGTTTAGTTGTAAGCCTCATCCATCGACTATACCCAAACATCAAGGGTATAAATACACACACCTTAAATCATTAATATTTATTTTTAGCAAGAAGTGAAATGTTCCCAATACTAAGCAAGATAATCAAACGTGAAGAATGGGGAGCGATGCCTCCACGGAAACGCAAGGCACACAAGACTCCGGTGCAACACATGGTGATAACATGGACGTATACTGACCCCTGCGAGACGAAGGAAGAATGTATCAAAGCTGTCCAGGAAATACAAAAAGATCACTTAGAAAGGGGCGCGAACGACATACAGTACAAGTAGGTCTCTAATATTAAATATTTTATCACACAGTTTAAGAAGCATTATAAATAGAATGCATAGGGGTGTAGTTCTTTGTGTCAAGACGATGCCAAGCGAGAAGTTATTACTAATTTTAGAAGATAATCTTAGGAATTAACTAGAACTAACGTTCTGTCCTAAATATATGTGACACGTCAGCGCATAAACATATCTAATCATGGAAACGAACAAAGGATAGTATTAAATTATTAATAAAATAAGGGGATAGCTCATGTAATAAATATGTCTCTTTGCCTTTCTAGTTCCATTTGTTATTGCATGCATGGTAAACATTTTACCTAGACAGTCGGAAAACATGAATTAGAGCTGTAAACTTAAAGCTTATTTAATTGACAGTCTTAATATTTACAGGAAATTAGCTTTCATATAAATCATATAACTAACTAAAGCTAAACTATAGATTAATTACAGATATGCCATTGTAAAACCCCATTTTATTTAAAGCCATTTGTATTCTACACCAATTAAAATATTAAATTAAGCCAACGACATAATGTTCTGCTACATAACACCACTCCTCTATGTTATCATACAGTTTTTCACCCTGCCAAATCAATAATAAAAGTGTAGGCTATTAAAAATATTTAATATTTTATCAATCAAATATTTTAAATTTGGTGTGAATTCTATGTAAAATGGATAATAGCGAGTGTTCTTTCAGACCGAATAGCTCAGAATATAATACATACATATAGCGTTAGACATTCTATAATATAGTATATTAAAGCGCAATAGGAAACTTAATTTAATTATATTACTATTGTATTATACACTAACTTAGCATTTTCTTTTATATTAATAAACTAATTTGGCTTTGAGCTTGGCTACCACTATTATATTACATAGGATTTCTAATTTACTACCGAAAATCATGCCATCACTATTAATATACATGTTTGTTTTTACGTTGGGCATTTTACCGACAATCTCTATGTGGGTATTTGTTCTTTTAATATAAATACATTTCCTACTATATGCAGTTTTAATTTTCTTTCTTACCTTTGTAATGTCTTAGTTTTCTAGTCGGTGGCGACGGAAATATTTATGAAGGCCGAGGATGGAAGTATGCAACTCACTATCCTAGAGAAACAAACCCAGACCAATGGAAAGAAGTTTTTAAAAATAACAGTATTCAAGTCGCCTTCATTAATAGGCCAAGTAAGTATATGTTTAAGCGATAATGTTTTTGAATTATAATTGGGACATTATAATGTATTTCAATTTTTAAACATGTGCTGAAGCATAAATTTTTATTTAGTAAAAATATCATTGATATTATATTTTTGGAGGTTTATTGAAAGAGACTTGGATTGATTCAATACAAATTCATAAGCTAGAAACCAACTTACTATATAATAGAATTTTTTTTTGCTATGAAAATATTTATTTATTGTCCTGACGGGTAAAGTTGGCAGAAGTGTTGACAATAAATATAACTAATTGTGAATTTAATTTAAGGTGATAGGCAAGTCATCAAATTAAAAGAGTAAAGGCTCTAAAATAGACCCTTAAGGAACATCCACAGTGACGAATCAGATTTGAGTCCTAAACTGTATACAGTGTTTTCTATTAGATAGAAATTGAACTAACAGCTCAATAGTCCTGCCCGGTTTTACATAATTCTGCAGCTTTTGGGTCAGGATCATGGTTAACAAGGTTGAACTCTTTTGACAGGTGACAGAAAAGACCAGATGCATTACACAATTATTAGTTAATATCGGAATTAGGGTTTTATATATAAATATTTAAATTTACATTTCTATTTATTAAGTTCCAATACCCAGTGTTTATCAATATTTTTAAGCACACCATAAAAGATTTTTTTAATACGTTATAGAAAACGTTAATTCACTTTGCAATAATTTATTTCCAAGAGTCCCCAAAGAAACTAAATAATATATTTGTTAAATTGTTGTGTAATAATCTATATTTCCCCCCTGTCCTTAACACCAAAACTAATAACTTTTTTCTGTTTTCAGGCAATAAACCAACCTACAGTATGCTGAAGGGGATAGCAACAATTTTTGCTATCGGCGAAGAAGAAAAGTATTTGGTTAAAAATGTAAAATATTCCAGAATAGCATATAATGAAGTTATGTCGTTTACGTTTTAAACAACACTCTTAGTAATATAACCTGTGTGCTGTTATAGGTATTGTTATTATAAATAATATAAACGTTATTTTATCTTGATTTATTTCATTATTACAATGTATAGCGTTATAAAGTTGTATCCGTTATGTTGAGTTTGAATAGTTTTCTCCTTAAATACACCTTGTTTTTTATTTCTAATAATGAGTTCTAGAATTGAAGATTCAATAAGTAATAAACAGCCAAGAACTACATTAATTTCGGACATCAAGAGGCCTGGTAGGGGACATAGCCGTGCATAGGTATTTCTGAAGGGTTGTCTTTTACCTCAAACTTTAGAAGTATGACTTACTTATGATCTATGTATTTTCCAAAGCTAAATATTTTTCTTAATAACATAAACATAAATGTATCTAAAAAAAAACATAAATTACCAATATGTTAAAAATATAAAGCTGCATACAAATTAAGATAAATTTCAATTTAACTTTTGGAGTTTACAATCTCTTTGTAAACATTACTGACCTATCAAATTAATATGGTGAACAACCATATTTGGTTGGAAGCAATAATGAATATTTTCTATGCTGGGTACTACAATGTTGATGCTATATTTGATGGATATATATATATATATATATTGTTTTATATCCGATTTTGTATAGGCCTATAGTGGTATAAAAATAATGTACGCTATTTATACAATGATTCAGAAAAAATACGTAAGCTTTTTTGGAAACTGTTTAAACATTGCATAATAAAGAAAGTTTTTGGTTAGTGTTTTAGGATTTTAAATATATAATATTGTTCTAATAATATCTAAATTGTCAAATATTAAAAATAAACTATTATGCATAATATTATTATACTGTCAATATAACTGTGTGTATGTCTTCAAATTTTTGCTAAAAGCTGTTTGTCATTATAATAATTATAATATGCAAGTTTTTTACAAGAACGTAAAACATAATTGCTGAGTTTTTTAATATTTTAACCACCATTTCATCTCTGCTTGAATATTTTTATATATCAGCCAACTTATATTGTTCAAAAATATCTTTTCAGGATGTATATGAATACATACTTGAGATGGTATTTTTACGTTGTATCTTAAATGTTAATGCATAAACTCTTTCTTTCAAGATGGTAGGCAATTGTATAATACAGCAAAATATATGCACACTTATGTCAGGGTATACAACAACAAACAAAGCATTTTATAAATAGACAGACAAAAATATTTTACTAATATTTCACTATCTAATCTTGGTATGAGCCAGTTAGTGAAGTCTGAAGTTTACATTCAGGCTGTGCATCTATTTTGACCTTGCGTATTTTAATTAACTGCAATAATGGAAGAATTAACGTTAGGTGAGTAAATGAATAACATAAAAATAGTGTACACATTTGTATACAGTACCTATACCAATCTATCATCATAATTGTTTTTCCATGTGTTCTTATACACATACTATAGGAAATAGGCTTTCTAGGCAGTAGGTACACTATTGAGATTTTACCACTGTTAAAAGTTACAGTTGAAAGTTGAGTTAGGTTTCAACTAGGTATTCATTTTAAACGAGCTGATTTAGTAAAGTTTTCAATTGGGTAAATAATTGTCTGGTTAGTTTAATTGCACCAAATTCTCTACACCTCCTTCATTGATATTATTTCCCGAATATATCAAACTCATTGGTGAAGACGTCTGTACCCTAAACTATTATTGGGTATGATGGGGATTGGCCTAACACAGAGACTATATGGCTAATTACTGAGCGACTAAGCCCACACCACACTCCAGACAGAAACAGTTGTTTATGAGTTTACGGTATTTTCCAAATTCCCTTTTTTTACTTTGGGATTTCAACTATTACAAAATTGATGCTTTATAAACTTTGACTAAACTACTAGCCTTAAAAAGTAAAGAGAAATATACTAATTATTTGTTGGTACTTTATTAAAATATAGTATATCGTTGTAATTAGTATAGCATATTAAAATGAATTGATTCATATGGTTATTCCATTTGTGTATACACACATAATAATAAACTATTAAAAACAAGAGGGTCTGAGTTTACAATAAATTAAAGAAATGTTTAGCATTTATTAAAATTTAAAAATATGAAATTTATTCATTTCAAATATATTTTGCTTTTTGTTTGTCTCCAGGACATAATATGATTTGACATATAAATATTTGTGCCATTGTACTGTCGCAAACACATGTTTTGGGGTTTTAGAATGTTAAGATGTGCTTTTTGGATATTGTTGGTTTTGTTTGTGCCGTGTCTTCATGTTGGAAATATAAAACTGTTGTATTACATTAATTTCCTCCTAATTATTGTAAGTGTTTTTTTCAAGTATTCAAAAAAATATTTTTCTTAGTTATACCTAACCGTTCTTAATCACTATAAACTTCAAAAACTCAAGATTTGGAAAAAGAAAATATTTAAAAATAAAATCAATTCCTAAACACATATCATTTGGTCCTACTCGAATGTCCTGATGCTAAATTATATTCTGGTTATTTCCCCTTTAACTTGTTTAAGGAATATTTCATAAAATAATAGAGTAGAGTATGCTTATGTTTTTACCCAAAATATATTGTATTACATACACTTTCTAGAGGACGAAGAACTTCTTCAGGAGTTGCTTCCCAAGATAATATCCCGCCAAGAGTGGGGTGCGGTGGAATCAAAAAGGAAACGGAAACTAAGGACACCAGTGAAAAGATTGATATTTACAAGAGCTACAACAACCAGCTGTTATTCCAAGTTCCATTGTATGCACAATATTAGAAAGCAACAACGAGAGGCGTTCGAAGAAAGTAGACCAGATATTCCTCACAGGTTAGTGGTGAACTATTGAGGGAATATTATGTAGAATTTATATTTTTATAATAACGTTGTTACCATTGCAAATAAACGGACTTTACTGGTGCAGTCTACAAAAAATGTAAACATTGCATTCGAAAACCACATACAATGTATAAGATAAGAAACCGCTTGTCATTCTTATTTTTTTATACAAAGATGGTACTTAATATCAAGTGTTTCCAAAAAGTATTTTTAATGATTTCTAAATTTGATTGTTCAATACTGCGTTTTGCTGTGGCCAATATGTAACCATAATCGTGGGATATGCCTCCATTGAGAGTCATGAGGAGAAATTATACAATCTAATAACCCATCTCCCCATCTCTGCAATACAGCACCAAACGTACAAAAATAAGGAGAAGTAAGTAGTAAGAAAACTTAGTTATTAAATGAAATAAGATTGTAACCCCAATTACGCATTAACGGCTACGAACCTCGGAAGGTCAGTGAGTGAAATCTTGCAACAGTTTTTGACTAGGTTGAAGTAAAAAACAAAGTATTTAAATTGAAACTATTTTATACATTTTTATTGTATATACCACTAATAGTTTGTATGTGTTTGTAGTTTTATAATAGATAGGTATGGAAAGATCTACGAAATTATGGGCTGGAATTATGAGGCCAACTGTACTTTTTCTTATTGGTTCCCATCTGAAAGAGATTTAAAGGCACTTTACGAGTCATCAATTGAAGTTGCACTAATTGGGGACAAAGGTAGGTAAATTAGTGTGTTAGTACGATAGCCTACTCCGGGAGGAATTGTCATCCTATTGTAGAACACATAATTATTTGCTTAGTTTTATTTTCTAAATGTTTATTGTTTCCACAAAAATTATAAATCAACAGAATCCTAGTCTATTCTTTTCTAAGTGGGTAGTTCTTTGGAAAACAATCAACAAACAAAAAACAAATTGTGTAGAGAAAGGCTATGCATGTAAAAAAAATTGTTGTGTTTTTGTGTGAATGGATAATGACTGTTTTATTTACAAATATTATGCATATAGGTAACTTTATTCCTCACATAAATGGAACAATTTAACTTTTGCTTCTTCACCACATTGGAGGAATATGAGCCGAACGTATTACGTGATTTCAACTCTGCGAAACGTGATTTTTATAACTTACACATAGTATACCAACCACGGACGACAGATGAGATTGTTTTATTTTACGAATCACAAAAATCATAGTACACCTGAAAGTACAAACTACATGTCTTAGGGAAGAATATTAATTGTTCAATCATTTAAATCTTCAATATCCAGGAATATTCAATATGTAGTATAACGAACTCTGAGTTTAAGTACATCATCAGGTCCAAAAACGCCAACGGTCATTTTCTCAATGCCGTGGTCATCATGTTAGTTTTATAAAACGCTTAAGCAAATAGCCACTCTAGATAATATTTTTAACAAACCATAAAAATCTTAAACTCAGTGACATCGTTTATGTCCATCTTGTTTCAATGGTATTAAATGTTTTCATTAACCTTTTACTTTTACTTTCAGAGCAAAAACCAAGCATACTACAAATCAAGGCTGCCTTAGGACTGCTCATGGTCGGTATACAGAACGATTATTTGATGGAAAATTTAGACATCGTAGAAAGTGACAGTATTCGTGGGCCCGTCATTCCTTCAGAGGAAATCATAGCCCAATTATCGGTAAGGAAGTTAAATTTGTTTTATCTTTTGTCAACGTTAGGGATATGTCATTCAAATAGGGAAATATTGGAAATGGGCATTAAATAAGTAGTGGAATCTGGAATAAGCCAATGGAGTTCTATTTAAGTCAGTACCTTGTATTTACTAATAAAATGTATGAGAGTATACTAGCTCATTGAAAATGATAAGTTACTCCATGAACAGACTTATTTGTGCCAAAAGGAACTGCGAAAAATAAGACTTAACAGTTTTGAACTTTGAAAATATAAATTAACGGAAGATTGGAGCTTACCGTTAGATAAAATATATAAACACTCACCCTGCTAAGCTAAAAAAAAATAATAACTGAAATAATATTTTGTAATACAGTATATTGCAGCTTAAGAACCCTGTTTAATCTAAATGTCAAAAAAATAAAGTAGATTGTAATGTCTTGGAAACATTAATAACTAACAGTCAATTGGAGAATTTATTGTAAAAATAATATTGATATCACTAAAAATGTATTGAAAACTTATAGCCGTGAACACTTTTAACGGAATCATTTACTTTGAAAATCAGATACTAAACATATGTTTGACCTCAACATGTATAGTTATAATTTACAAACTGGGAAAGGGCGTGTGTAAAATTACGAAAGTATAATCATATTCTTTTGTAAACAAAATGCTATGTATTTTTATTACTATCCCTGTGTATGTTCTAATAGCGTAAACATGTAAAATGCTTATACATATTTTCACGAAAATAGTATTGTCTATACTTTTTTGATGTCCATCAAAAAACCAAACGATAGTAACCTTTTCATTTATCCAAAACATTCTAGCGTCCAACCATTACGCTATACAAAAAGTTACACACATAACATATAACATTTTTTACATAGTTGAACACTATTTATAACTTTAAATTTAAATTTTAAATTATATATATAAGTACTATGACCGTTAGTACTTTTGTTATTTCGGAAGAGTTTTAAACATTTACCTGGAATAATTCATATGTTAAGCGTATTGTAAACATTTTTGTTTTTTACAGAACGGGAACAACGGAAACTTTACAGGGTTTAATGAAGAAACTATAACCGAAGCAGAAGTTTTAAGACTTGTGAACAAAGCGCACAGGAAAGAAAACAAGCCTCAAATAACTGTTGAAGAAATGAGAGAGGAAATGAAGGATAGTGAACGATTGTTCAAGGAATTCGACGAGCAACTTAAATTGGAAAACCAAAAATATATTGAGAAAAATTACCCATGGGCTTTCGACCCCAATAAAAAGTACAAACATGGCTGATATATTTTGTTATAATGTAGAAATGTTGTATAATTTATTATAAATCGATAAATCATACGCTAATTCTTTTACTCACATTAAAAATATGAATATTCTAATAGTTTTCTAAAGATTAAATTTAATCTAAGTCATAAAAATAATCTTTGAGAGCCTATCACTAGATAATGATAAAACAAATGAAAGAAATTATCATAAAATTATACATATATTAATACGTAGCATGGATTTTATACTGTTGACTCGTAAACATATTATTTAACTAAACAGAAACTTAAATATGGTTTAGTAAGTTATTTGTTATCCAATTTAAATATATTGTTTTTTGTGGATTTTGTTTACTAAATCTAATACTATTGAAATATCCATGTACATTTTATTGGATAGTCATTTCTAATTAAAACACAAAAATATATCTTAGCTTCAATATGGATTCAAAATGGGGTGAGTATTTTTCAAGCCATTTACTGTTTTATTTAGTTGTTTGTATATTTCACTTTATAATGTAATTATTACATAAAAATAGAGCTGTAACGAATAAATTCAAAGGCAATATTAAATTTGTCACCAATCCTATGTATGTTTTACTGAATTATTATTAATATTACTTAAATGTAAAGTTAAAATTAAACTTATACTTTGAATGTATTTTTTTTACAATTAACTTCATTTAATTATTCAAAATGATATGTTATCACGTTTTATTAGCTTTGATTATTGTTAGCTTTTTGTCTTTTAAATTAGTTTTAAAAAAGTAAATGGTATTATTGATATTATTTAAACAATAATAATTGTATATACGGGGTAAATTGAGTTTTATATTGTTTTACTTATAATTTGTTTACTTTCATGAATAAGACGATATTGGTCATTTACTAGTTAGAATTATAATTAAAAGCTATTATTTCTGTATACTAAATATTTCAATCTAAAAATTTAGAGAGCCTCATTAACTATATTGGCAATTACTATTTGAAAAATTACCTTAACTGAAAACTGAAAGCTTTTATTTTTCTTTTTCTACGACATAAATGAAAACACGACTCCTTATAACGTGTTGAAGATTTGGAGACAGAAATGTTAATAACGGGAGGTTTGACTGAAATCCTCCAGAAAATGGCTTGAAAATATACATATTTGCGATAAATTATCATGAAATATAACTATTAAAAATTATAATTTAAATAATCATAACAAAGTTTTATTATTTTAAGCCATGCGGCTTGTATTCTAAAGTTTATCAACAATTCTTATGTTAAAATTCCATCATGGAAAATAAGTTGATAAAGTAAATCTTGTAACTGTTCTGAAATTTGAAATTTATGAGGCTGGTATAGTTATGGAATTTGTCGATTTATATTCTTAGATATTCATTAAGCTAATGCAGTCTATACAGTTAACAAGCTATGTAAATCATCGCCACACAATAATATGCTTATTATATAAATAAATAAGGTGTCTTAATACTATACCTATAAGTTTATATTAATTTTGTAATGATGTTTTAGAAAGATAATGAGTTGCTAGTTTGAGGTTTGTTAGTAATTTGAAGTAATTCTTTAATTTCTTAAAACTGAAAAAGATAAATTATTTTTTTATATTTATTTTTTAACACTGTTGCACAGCAGCACTAAGAAAGTTTAGTAACTAACCTTGAAGCAGTCTAAACAAATTTTTATTGAAATAACATTTTAAATTGAAATAATTCCATTCATTTCAAGTTCACGAAACTTAAAGAAAATGCAGAACTCAATTCCACGTATCATTATTTCAGGAGATTCATTCGTTTCTTGGTTTTTAGCAGGAACATGACTCAAAGCCATTGTAAAAACATAATAGTAGAGAAGAAAATAACTTTTGGTACATGTTCAAAATACGTGAAATTATAAAGGGTAGTAAAATACTATCGCAAAAGATAATTTCGTTTAGTAAATACGGCTCAATTAATTAGAGAATAAAAACAATGCACATACAATTATTTATTTATTTAAGATGATGAGCAGACTCTAAAAAAGATTCTTCCAAAAGAAGTAGTTAAAATAGAAGATTGGCAAGTGAAGAAGATAAAGAAGAAACGAAGAAACAGGTTACCTGTTGGAAAGGTGATTTTTTCCAACACCAACACTAGACCTTGCTATACCAAAGATCACTGTTTACATGACCTAAAGAAGTTCCACGAAACTCAAATAGAAAAGGGCTCCGAAGACATCCGTTATAAGTTAGTAATAGATAAATATATTTTTTAATGCCATACAACTAAAACTCTTTTAGTTTATAACTTTTTTTTATTAAGTCTGAGGACGTACGATTGTAATTTTGAGATTTTGATAGTGTCAATTGTAAAAATAGCCTCTTCTATAAATATAAATTTGTCTCTGTAATTTGATCAGTTTTAAAATGTATTTACAAAAAATATTTTAAGGGTTTTACCAAAACGTGACCATTTAATTATCATGTTCAGTTAGTTTACACAATGAAATAAACCTAAATTTTTAAGGTAGAAAATCAAAAGCAGATGGTTATATTATTGTATATAGTTCATCCTAGTAGTTTGAAAACTGGAACTAGTAGATTAAAAACTTCTGGTTCTCTACGTGAACGGCGAGTAGACCAAAGTTCTCATGCAGATGTAGTATTCTAAAACTTAATAACATAAGCCATATAAATATTCATTTAATAATTATTAATAACTTAAAGTAAGTAGTTTTCTGATAGGTAAAGATGGACATATATACGAAGGAATGGGTTGGAGAAATCAACCAGAAAATGCCAAGACTTATTTTTCAAAAAAGGAAAAGAAGAAGAGCACTTCTAACAACGGGCAAATCAACATTGCTTTTATAAATGACAAAGGTAGGCCTAAAAATATGTTACGAAATAAATTATTTTGTATTGCAACATTTAACAAACTTGCGATAAATAGCATTAACAAAACTCCTCTATGAGCTACGAAATACGAGTAGAAATTTTTATAAAATGAATTAATTTTAAAATTTGTATTATACAATGTTGTTGTTGTATGTACAATGCTATATATGTTGCTTGTATTATACATATTCTCCAGTTGCTATGTAGTGCAGTAGAAATAATCGAAAATATAGCTTAAGGTGGAACTAATTGCAACACAAATGATTCTTGCTGTGAATGGTAGGTAGTATGCTTCTAATCAACATACTAAAAATATACATCCGTACTGTGGCGCAAAATACGTTTTTTGGCCGCCATCTTGAAAAAAGTGTCAACATTTTAATATTCGTAAAAAAAACTTTTTGGGTATCAAATTATAGGAAATTTAATGCTGAAAAATGTTATAATAGTGGTTATTAGCACTATTTAGAAATACGATCGTAGTACAAAACACCCCCGCCGCAGCAAACCTGCAGACTAAACGAATTTTCATTTGTCTTAATTGATTTTCAATTAAATCTAGTAATTCAGTTTTAAAAATCTTTGTACAACTAAATCTAGAGTTCTACTGGACCGATTTTATAACCTAATGGGTCATTGGAAAGGAATTCGTGTAGATTTTCAAATAATTATTAAAGTTGGATTTTTTAAGATTTGCTAGGTGAAACCCGTCTACGTCGACAATTAGCTTAGGTACTGTTGAGTTTGCAAGTAAGATCTTTTAACTATAAATCCATTTTTAAACTATTTGGGTCGTTTATAATTTAGCAGTGTGCTTTAGGTACGTCCAATCTCAATAATCAATAATTCCAATGGAATCTGGTATTTCACTGAAGATTTTTAGATAAAAAGATATAGGATAATGTAACTGCTGGAATACATTTTTAATTGAAGTAAAAATTGAAAAAAATCCAATTTAATTGTTTTTGTAGGGTTATACATTTGATAGATTAATTATGACAAATATGTGCTTGCATAGCTTTGAGACCAAAATTATGAAAATCAGTCTGGTAGAAGAGCCAAACAAACTCGAAAAAAACAAATTTAACTCCCGTAAGTAATGTACAGGGAGGCAGTTTGTGCATAGCTCAAAATATACGTCAAAATGAGTGCTGATGCTTAATAGCAAATCTATGGTGTGTATATAGCTTTAGTTTGAAGCCGAATTTACACTATGTAGCAAAACCTGCTATATAACTTTTGCTATATAACATTGCTTTATAACTTTTGCTGTATGAAAAATTTACAAACAATATTAGTGATTCTGGTGCTCGTGCTATAATAGCACGATATGTACACGGTTGTGCACATATATGTAGCACAACCTCATTCGCATTCCGTATCGAAATGTGCGCTGAAGAGACATTGTTCGTGGCAGCTATCGTGGTGATATTGGAAGTCAGAGAGAGAGACAGACAGGAGCGAAGATTTTAGCAAGTTTTAGGTTTGACCGCTTCTTGCTTCGAGAAATAAGTACAGTGTAGCAGATTTATTACGGGACCTTAATGATTATGAATACCCTGACAATCCATAATTAAAACGCTAAATAAGGCGACGGTAACTTCAAAAACGTTTTACGTATGATCACAACGCCGGTTGTCCACGGAACAGTTCAATTAAGTTTATAATATCAATAGCCCCGATAATATCATCCCGATCTTAGGCACTGCCACTTTCCGTTTCCAGTCCATCCATTGTAAACAAAGATCCCTGAGCAAAACCGTTCAGCGCTACATATAGCAGATGCTAGACGAAAAATATATGTATATCATTACTACATATGGCAATGTTAGATGTAGCACGCATTTCTTTTTATATTTACCGACTCCCGATGGATAGCACAATTTTAGCTATATATAGCAGGATCTGCTACATATAGCAGTGTTATATAGCACTTTTGTAAAGTTACTTTTTCTACTTCTAGCAAATGTTATACAACATTGCTAGATGTTACACAAATCTGCAATGTAGCAGGTTTAGCTACATAGTGTAAACCCGGCTTAAGGCCAAAATTATGAAAATCGGTCTTGTAGAAGAGCTAACCCGACTTGGAAAAGAAAAACCAATTATTTTTATAGATGGCAATAATTGATTCACCAGTATGCATAATCTAACCATACGAAAAATGAGTTGATAATTTAACAGCTTATTGTTATATTGTTATTTAATTAAATTTTCTTTGATTAAATATTGTTGTTATCAATTTGCATTTGTGTTTAAAGTGTGTTTCTTATGTTAAGTGTGTGATTCTAATGTTATGAGCTTAATATGTACCAAATATTAGTGAGTAAAGTGGTGTATGGATTTCATAACCATTATTTTACTAGAGACCGTTGCATTAATTTAACCACAATGGGCTCTGTTGCTAGTCTATTAAATAAATAACATTTGGTTTAACGAAACGAGTACCAAGGTTTGCTGCTACAAGGAAACCAATTAAGTGTGTTTTTAGTAAAATATTAATCGTTTAGTATAAAATAAATAAATCTTCAATTTTTTCTCAAAATACAGGGTGTCCCGGAACTCTCTACCAATATTTTAGGGCATTGCTCCTGGGTAAGAAACATACCTAAATATCATATTTAAATTGTCCGGAAGTCCTTAGTTACTCACACAGCCGCCATTTTGTTTTTTCCAGTTATTAATTTTTTTCTAAAGAATGGTTAAACATACGAAATGGAAACTTTGCACAAACATTAATGACAACTAGAAAAAGCTACAAAAAAATTATGAAGATTTTTCAAATTCATAAAACAAAATGGCGACCATTTAAAATGTTGTTTCTTAAATAGCTCAAAAACCGTTGATTTTATAAAAATTTTAAATGGCCACCATTTTGTTTTATGAATTTGAAAAATCGTCATTATTTTATTGTAGCTTTGTCTAGTTGTCATTAATGTTTGTGCAAAGTTTCCATTTCGTATGTTTAACCATTCTTAAAAAAAAAATTAATAACTAAAAAAAAACAAAATGGCGGCTGTGTGAGTAACTAAGGACTTCCGGACAATTTAAATATGATATTTAGGTATGTTTCTTACCCAGGAGCAAAGCCCTAAAATATTGGTAGAGAGTTCCGGGACACCCTGTATATCCATAAACAAGGAAACTACAACTTTTTACCATATTCTCCATAAGAATAACATGGGGATTTTAAATTTCCAATTTTTTTTAATTTTCCTCGTTACCAATAATTGTACAAAACACCTTTGATATACTTAAATATTTGTTTTTAAGCTCTTTAAAAAGGTCTAGAGAGAAATTGGGAAATTTTACGTTTCAAGGGTCAAAAATGAAAAAAAACAAATTTTAAAAGTATAAAATAACTTATAAATAAAAAACTTTTCAAATGCCACGTTTTTAAACGCACCTTTTTTCGCCTATAGTGAATCACCGTTAACAGTATATTTTAAATTCAACCATTATATTCTTTTCCAGCATGAAATGTTCTATAATTTGATACCAAACCAGATTTTTTAACAATAATTTAAAATTTTACACTTTTTTTAAATGGCGACCAAAAAACCGTATTTTGCGTAACAGTACAAATGTATATTTTTAGTATGTTTTTTAAAAGTGTATTACCTACCATTTCTAACTGGAATAATTTCTGTTGCAATTAGTTCCACCTCAAACCCTATTTCTACTGCACTAATGCTACAACAACAGTTTAGTGTTTTGGTTCTCTAAATATTAACCCGTATTATTAAATGGTACTGAAAAATGTGTAATACATGCAGCAATATAGATCCTAAGTAAGTCTTTGGACATACATACACAAGAGGGGGAAACAAATCAAGAACTTTATTTACCTTAATAAAAAGCATAAACTATAATAATTTAATTAATACTGTTTAATTAAATTGATAAATAATAAAAATTAATTTAAGACCAACAGTTCAAACCAAGCATTAGGTAAACTTGTGGAAATTTAATAAAAAATTGTTTAATTGATATAAAATAACCTTTTCAGACCTAAAGCCATCTTTTATACAAATTAAGAGAGCAATGGGGCTTATTATACAGGGTATTCAAGATAAGTACGTATCCAATACTTTCAAAATTATAAGAGACGATGACTGTCGATATCTGTTCCAAATAACAGACTTTCACAACACCTTGCTTGGATTAATGGTAAGAACAGCTTTGACAATGTTGCTTATAGAAAAATATATAGTTATTTAGTTAATGCTTTCTGTTTGAAACATAATATTCAATTATAGGAGAACATGTTAACAATGGAAAAACATTAGTCCAATTAGTGGATAAGACGAAGTAAACCCAAATTATGATATAAAAATATGTAAGATATGCCAAGGTTTACAGCCTAAATTGATTAGCCTTCTGAATGTTTAAACAATATAATTAATTGTTTCTGTTCTTTTAGATTATTCTCGTGCTTTTTGTTGTTTAATTTTGTTTACTTTGAGTGAGTTGGATATAATTCATTTATGGATATTTTACATAAGGGACAAGAAGCTAACATTGAATCTGACCCGGAAAGCAGTGATGATGAAACGGAAAAGGATCTGATTGCTCCAAGGTATTTTGAACCGTTCGAGTTTGACGGTGTTGAAGAAGATTACAAGCCAGAAGACGAATATGAAACAATATATCACAAGGTCCGGGACATGGATCCAGACTTTTTTTAGGCATCAAAATAAATTAGTTTTGTAGGCATAAGCAATGTGTATTAATTAAAATGTTGTGGGTTTTCTTAAATAAATTTATTCACATACACTATTAGATTACCAACTATTTTCTCCCACCAAGATTTTTTTATTTATGATAAAAAAAATATATAAATTCAATTACCAGAATATGATTTAGCAAATAATAAATGTAAAGTTGGTTGTTATTGCGATTTTTTACTGTGCAATTGTAGATGTTATATTATTAAATAACTGGTGTCTTGGTAACTATCCCTTGGCATACTAAATTCCATGTACATATAACAAAGCCAAAATTAAAAAAAAGTTCTTGTATATTCTCATATAAAATTTCCCTTTTAATAAGCAATTAGTTATCTGATAAACTGCTAAAACTCAATATTTAAATTTTCTTTAGTTTTTAAGAATGTGTTACTAAATATAAATTTGGTTTGAAACATGTATTATGGAAACATAAATTTGCTCTTCTAATTCGTGTTTTGTACAATCGTGTGAAAATGATAAATAATAAATAGTTCTTGATCAATTAAAATATTTGCAGAATCCATTCAACTCGTAATTGAACTCAGGAGAACTGAACAAAACATTTTCAAATTATTTCTAAAACTTCAGTATTAATTTTACTAAAGACTGAAACAAATTAGAATATTATCGTATTGTAATTATTGTGGCAATTGTACCGTTTAAAGAGAGCAAACATTTACAAGATATCCATAAAGATACTGTTGTAACTTAAACATTATATTTGACATCACATATCTTCTAAAAACCATATTGTTTGTTAATAACCATCAATATAGAATGATATACGAAAGTTAAGTGCTATAGCACTTTTGCACGATTTTATCCTCATTATTCTTTATTTTCAAAAGTTCCAATTTACGTATATTTACATAAATAAACCTGAAATATATTTAGGTAAGCGATCTTTTAATATAATTTGTAAAATTCAAATGTAATCCTAATTGTATAACAATCAACCACTATCTAACAACCTAGCTATGTGTTTTTATTGTTTTTTTTTCTGTAATTCAATATGTTGCTATGGATTTAACTCTTTTGTCATATAATTTCAGTGATTTTCCGAAAAACTTTGGTTTACTGGTGGTGTAAATGTTTAAATATTGCCAATGGCAAAATAGGTAAAATCTTTGTAAACAGTTTTTCCCTTAAAACAAAACCAAACAACATTACATTACACTTTAAAGAATTAAATCAGCAATTAAAGACAGTCCAGTTGGGAAATATTATAAAACAGCCATTGACAATTATTGACTGACCCACTAGGCCTAGAACGACACAGTCTATAAGCCCTAAAGCAGTTCTTAAATAGAAATTTAAAAAATAAGTTTTTTGGACTTACAACTATTTTAAAACTTTAAATACTGGTTAAAATGCTTTAGGATAGGTGTTATGCTATGTTTGGATAAACCTAACCAATTCGTCTGTTAGAATACTTCAAAAATATGTCTTTATATAGGCTATTAATTATAAAATCGTCGCGAAAAAATCATTTTTTAGGTTGTTAATGTTGACATAATATCCATTTCTAGCAATTTAATATCGAAAAAACATGTTTTCATGGTATTGCAATTAATATTAAGGCCCTTGCGGTACAAGTTTATTGATGTAGGATTCCATATTTGGTTTTTTTGGTTTGTTAATTGTGTGTTTTTAAATAATACATTATGATAATATAAGCTTAAACAAACATAATTATGGGGTTTCCACAATTAAAATTGATACATCATTTAGCATAATCATGTGTTCAACCGATAGTTTGTATACATGATTATACTATAAAATGATTACTTAATAATTTAAATTGCAGACAGATATTTGTTGCATACAGTTATTTGGCAATGAGATAAATTAGTTGTAAGGTTTAACCTTCTTTTGATGTGCCAATGGACTTAAATTATAAAATTGAATGGGCTTTAGTTCAAATATTATAATTATCTGTTCTTGCATTATTATTCTTGCAAAATTTTTAAACCTAATTGTTTTTAAAAACCAAATATGAAGAAAATCTACTTCCCATTTTAATCAATACATTACTTCAAACGTATGATTTTCCATAATTTAACACAACTAATTACATTTTCTTTCAGTATCAAATGAACTTCTTGGACACTATTGTAGTCATACCTAGAGCACAATGGAATGCAAAACAAGCAAAGAAAGAGGAGGAAATAGAGGAGGTTCCAGTACCGTACCTTGTAGTGTACCATGATCATAAGAACCGTTGTAGGACCGAAAACGAATGCATGAAAGTAATAGAACAAATACAAAAGGATCACATGGATAAAGGAGAATCTGACATTTTATACCAGTAAGTATCTTTTCAGTTAAATTTTTTTACAAAAAGTTACTATGTTTGACATATTATATAATTTACAGGTATGGTGGTATTAAGGTGTTCGGATTGTTCAGACCAAAGGGTCTATGCTTTAAACTAGCTATAGCCTGAAGTAATATTCTTGAACTATAGCTTAGTGCCCTAGGAAAAACCTGCCACAGTGGGAATGCATATATTTTAAAAATTACAGTGAATTCAATTACATGCATGCAATTTAAATCGAAATACTATATATTTAGCATTATTTAATACTCATCATCGATACCCCTTATAAGAAAGTCGTATCAATGATTATTATTGTAACGATTTATATTTCGGTAACTTTTTACCATTAAACAATTAAATCAACAACTACCGTTACAAACTTGTTTAAAAAAACTGTTTTGTACCAATTTGGTAAAAAAATTATTAACTCAAATACATTATTACATATTTTGTTGATTTCAGCTTCATTGTTACAATGGATGGGAACATATATGAAGGCAGGAGTACTAAAAGTGTTGGAATGAAATTTCCTGAAAATGAGAGCTTTAAGGTTGTAAATAAGAAAAGTATTACCGTGGGATGCCTAGACAATGGAGGTAGGTTTAGTTTCTTTTAGTTTAATATGTACAGTATAAAAATAGGAAAATTATATATAAAGTAAACTAAAGTCATGGGGAGTTTTGTAACTAATAATCAACTTAAACTAAGGGTTTACAAGTAAGTTGAGTTTTGTTGGAATAAATGAAAAGTAATTCTGTTAAAATATAGTTTGTTTGATTCCCCTTTTATCATAATTGCATATCAGAGATGTCTGGTTTTAGTGGGCTAAAACCAATCTTTTATCCATAAATAAGTTCAATAACATACTACTTTGTTAAAAGGACGTAAAGACAAAATTTCGATCTTAATGTTAAAAGTGCTTCCTCCAGAAAAGCTTGAGTTTTGACCTAAATGCAGACTATTCGTAATATTGCACATCCGTCTCAATTGATTTATATCCACTTATAATCAAGTTATTACTTGTTTATACACTTTTAATAAATTGTTTTGTATTTTTGTTTTCAGAAAAAGAGGTTTCGATTCCAGTATTAAAGTCATTTCTTAAAGTAACAGAAAAACTACGCAGAGAAGGAGTAATCAATTATGATGTTCATTTGAAAATACATTTTCCAAAAGGACATCCGAGAGAGAAGGATACCCAGAACGACTCGGAAGAAGTGTTTTCTGCAATGCGAATGATGGGTGGATCCAGCGGGTTTAATGAAACGAATTTGGATTCTAAGAAATCAAAAGAGAAAAAACGAGCTAAAAAGTCAAAAAGTAAACGTTAGTTGAAAATCTGTTGTGATTGTTTTTTTAATATATAAATAGTTAACAACCTCCTTAGACGAATAGCTAATAATTTAGATCACAAGACATTTTTATAACCAAATAAACATACCTCTTGTTACTTTTTGGTTTATACATTGAACGTATGGTTAACAAAACCCATGATGATTTGAACTCCCAATATTATACCTTATCACGCAGCCAAATGGTACAGGTGTGTACAGTTTGATCAGAGCTTTAAGGTCTTGCAGTTATTAAAGGTGGGCTTCTTTTAAATCCTGGCCCTTTTTAATATATGGATACATTTAATATTTATAAAGACTTTGGAATTGGCCTTAGTTTAGAAACCTGGTTGATATTTGATAAATAATAAACTTACAAAACGGGTACTCATTCATGGTTAAACCATGTCTTATAGTGTCATAACCGTGATCATAAATTTTAATAATCTATGATATAGCACTGAAAATATTTATCACAGTTCGCTAAAAATGTTTCTATACATATCACCAAGGAATGTAAGTTTTGACCATGGCAAAGATTTTATTTGTAAAATACTCACTACTTAAGTCTGTTCATTTATAAGATTAATTTTGATAGTCAAAAATATACTTAGCCTAGCACTTAGTAGTTATGTTTTTCCTGCTTGGTTGTTTTAAACATTGCCTTTATATAAAAAAAAACATTTTATACAGCCTTCAATACTTTCTAGGGAGTGAACAATGAGGTTGGCTGTCTTTAACACTTTTCACATCCATTACTCATACTTTTGTTTAAATACACACGAGCTTTTGTCAGGGACGTAGAGCGATATTAGTAAAGGTATGACTAAAGCATGTATTTATATCTCACTAATCAGAGATTAAAACGATAACACTCGATGTAATTAATTGAAATTATGTTCATTGGTAGTGTTACCATCGATAGGCTACCAAACAGAAAACATAAAATATCAATGTACATGCACGAAAACAAGTGTAATTGGTAGAATTTTCAAGGTTATCTGTTAAATTTAGTGCAAGTTGAATATCAAAGTCACTTTTATAACGTTGGAGTAATAACACAAGAATGTCTTCTTCATGGTGGAATCTAGACGTACCACTCTTAGAAGGTATTCTAATAGCATTTTACTTTCTTCTAACTTGTCACGATTATTTTAATGACTAACCTTTTAGGATGACATATTCAGAGCTATTTACAGACATAAATATTATTTATACATGCTACTTCTAACATCAAAGACAATCTTATTATTGTGAACGCTTTCTTTGGTTTAATGAACTTAATAAATGAACTTTATTTAATGAAACTCTGGTTTAATGAAATATAAATTACCTCTTATGGATTTCATCTTTGTTTGTGTTTTCTTTTATGAGTTTAAACCTATTTCTGGTTTACTACCAAACCTCATAGTCTGACAAAATGTCAAAATAACAAACTAGTGAGAAAACCTACAAGCCTTAGTTATCAACAATTAACCAACTTCAAAGTTAATACCTTATGATAATTATTACAAAGTGAATAAATGAAGATATTAAAGATATGCAGTTTCATCAGGATGTCACTTAATTGAATAATTGAACTGTCAAAATGCTTTGTTTTTTCTCTTCTTAAAAATGTTATATTCCTCTGGAATTACTTACTTAAATTTAGCCAACGTTAACTTAATTGAGAAACAAAAACAAATAATATTATGTTTCTCACAAACCCTGGTGCTTAAAACCTACAATACCGATTAGATTTAAAATAGAAATGTGGACCATTCATGTTTATTCAAGGTTTAGGCTATATGTATTTGCATGTTAAGAATGGGATTAAGTGTAGGGAATTAATTTTTTGCTGTATTAAATATAGGATTATTTGAAATATTAAATACAAGACTGGAACGGTGGCATCGTCCTGTAATCCAGCTATAATAGGAGGTCACGAATTGTTGATATTTATACGCATGCACTGTGGATGCGATACTACCTGGTGTAGATTAACGTCCACACTAGTGAGTACTACGACTATCCGCAGTATTATCCTGATAATTAGACCAATTCGTTAATCCCACGGAAAAACTGTGGTTTGGATTCCAACTTTAAACTGTAGATCCCTTAGTTGCCATTGGCTGTATGGGCCACAGCTGTGTCTAAGTCACTAATAAGACTACAAGATGACGCCACTCATCCTACACTCATCCTTCACTCATATTTGGATTAAAATACGCACAAAGTGGCGTCCGCATCTTAAATAATTAATAATTGATGTTTTCTCCTTGTGTAATTCAATTTATCATCACCGTTTTTAGAGCCCGACCCCTATTACGATGACGGGATCCGGGAAATTCATGAGCACACTCCCAGGATTGTCACCAGGGACGACTGGGACGCCGACGATGTGGAGTCGGAGGACGAGGAACGCCTTGAAGACATCGATGACTTCCCCATCCCCTACATAGTGGCGATGCACACGAGAACCCGACCTTGCACGGACAAAGACGACTGTAAACGAGCCGTCAAGGAAATCCAACAGAAGCACTTGGCGGCCGGGGAGCCAGACATACTTTATAAGTAAGTTAAATATCATGTCATAGTTGCATTTTAGGGTAAAAGTATCCACGTGCCTTACCTAGGCTGACATATTAATACTATGAATGTTTAAGATTTTATTCTAAACTTATTTGTGATTTGTTTAGTGATTGCAATTGTTTTTGATAGGTAGGATTTTAACAGAGTTTAAATGAAAGTAAGATGTAGTGAAAAATAGAATTGGTTGCCTAAATAAACATTAACTTATAGTGAGTTTAAAGCTTACAAATGCACAAAATATCAATACATTTTAAAGTAAGAGGGTGACAATATTGATGACAGAGTCTAAAGGGATATAATTTGTACAAAAACATATCAGAAATTAATTCTACATGGGCTTAAAGTTGTGTGGTAGGCTTAGATGTTTTTAGTGACCGACCTAGTTTGTTGTAGAATCAATGATAAGCCTATAAAAATATGCATTTTGGCAACAAAACATGCATTAAGTATTTATCTGTACATACATAGTTTCTTAAACTTATTAAGTAGATTAAGGTAATTAGTGAGGGAAAGTAGAGGGGAGAGAAAATTACCTGTTTTCAGAACTTTTTTTAATCATATTAGTTTCTTTTACTTGCTTTACAGTCCTTCAAATCAGTATTTTTACTATTAACATTTAAATAGAAACTTAAGACTATTATTTGTCTATTGTAAATTTAACGAAATATTTAACTATTTAAAATTGTGCTTTTATCATGTTTTCTTTTCAACTAACTAAATATGTCAAAACTGTTATAACAGCTTAGATACATTATTTTTAGTTTACCATTTAACATTTCTAGCTAGAATGTTGTATAGAAGTGTATAGCGTACTTACGCAATTGTAGTTTTGTTTATTTAGTTTCCTGATAGACCAAGAGGGATTCATCTTCATAGGGAGAGGACCAGCAATCCATGGGATAACCTTTCCAGAGGATGATGACAAGTTAAAGAAAGCTAATAGGAAATGCATTGTTATTGGCTACATAGGGAATGGTGGTAAGAGTCTTTGCAAGTCTTTGCACCTATACAACAATTACACCAGAAAAGTTTTGTGTAGTTTTTGACTTGAATTTGAAATAACTTGTTTTGCTATTATAATTTATTGATTTACCTTGATTGATTTGAGCTCGACTGTACATTAGGAGAACAGAGGTGTACATCTTAAACATAGTGATGTAGATTATAAACTAGTATAAATACTGGGTGTCCACAAAAGATTAGTACAATATCATACATTAGCCATATTGTTATTTTTCAACGTACGATGCTCTACCTGAGTTAGTTGTTTTGGTCACACAACAAAATTTAGCTTTACACCGAATTGTTGGCCAGTTAGCTCATCTAGATAGATATTGTGACCTTAAATTTAAATTGTTTACTAGCAAATAAAATATACAAGGTTGCAAACAAACTAACTTCCTTCTTTTACTGACATCACCCCTTATGATAGGGTTTAGCCTTATTATATGGTAAAAAAGGGACATGGTCTACCAAAAAAAACATCTCAGTTGATAAATTAAGGAAGAAAACTCTGACAACATTACTCTAAAATTGAAATAAAATGCAAACAATAGATTTTTTTTAATGAATTTAAATGGAAATGGTGTTATTTGGAATCCTGGAGAAAGGCGTTCATAATTTCATCTATTAGCTTATTATCTGAGATTTTCAATGTGACGGGTGTCATTATTCACCCGATAAGGAGAAACACACAAAGTGATGTAGACAAAACTAGGAAGCCAATAGCCAAACCCGTCCATAAAAAATCTACTAGTCAACATTTTCTATTTTAGGTCACGATTCCGATTGGGATGAACAAAATCGGCAAAAACATCAGTAATACTAAATTTAAGCATGTAGACCATAAACAAACAAAAGCAGAACACCGTGTGATGAAATTTAACAGTATGGCTAAAGTATGAATTTGTACTAATCTTTTGTGGACACCCTGTACAGCTGTAGGCAAATCTGTTAGATCGATCATACACTACATTTACCGATAGTGATATTTAGACTGACCTACTGATCCATTTCAGCGTTTACTATTGTTTAGGTATTGAACCTCCAGACCTGTTGGTAGAAGGCAGTGCAAGCTTATTAGCACTTTTGATGGACGGTAAATACATTGACGAGGACGTCCAATATCTCTGGTATCACCATCCGGTCAAAGGCCTTCCACCTGAAGATGATGAGGACAGGAAGAAAACCGACCTTGATGACATGATGGAAGCGTATCACATGGACTATGCAAGGGGCATGTTCAGCCCATCAGCCAGAGCGTTTGATGCCGACGAAAACCTTTAACTGTGGTAAAATGGGTTTCTTGGAAACTGCGTTAACGTACATAATTCTTAATCCTGTGTTGACAAGATATTAAGTGACTAGTTAAACAGCTACGAATTATTAGTTGAAGTCATCATAATCACGTATGTTCGTTCATGTCATTTACGTATTTTTAAGCTTTTATGCCAACTGTTACCTTCAGTAAAATATAAATTTCATTTTAAACATATAGATTAGTAATTTGGTTGATTTAAAATCCGATTGACTATTTAAATGAGACACATTTCAGCTACTTAGACCTGTTTGAACATTTAAAAAACCTGTAAATAATATTAAATATATTTTGTTCTGTATTTTTACGATTTTATTTTTATCCATTACCTACTGTCATGAGGACTTACTTATATGTATAGAATTATGTTCGGAAGACCGTTGTTATTTTTTTAGTGCTGATGGACTCATTTATGCTTATTGTAAGATTTAACACAATCTGTTAGCATGAAATGGAGAAAAATAACAATAGGAGTCTTCAGATAAAAAACAAATATATATATATATATATATTCATATATACTAGATGGATTGTATAAGGTTATCTGTAACTTTTAATATAGAAATAAATGTTTAGGCTTGTTGTTATGATTTTTGTTATTTTTTAACTAACAAATTATCTATTGAAAACTAATAATATACAACAAGATAATCGTGTGTTACAATTTCTTTTGGCTAAAACTACAAAACATTGTTGTTCATTATTTCCTAAACCTCTTCAATAATTCTTTTAATTAACGCACAAAAATGTCAATTGTATGTCTAAGTAATTCCAAAACACTACTCTATACCTCTGTTGAGTAAAATGGTTATCATCAATTAGAATACATAGTATTAATTAGTTTTCTGCAAATTATTATGCCTAACTAGGTTTATTGTTTTTAAATAAAACAACAAACTGTAAAAGTATGTCGTTATATCTCATTAACCTTTTTTCACCACGTCTATTCAGAGACGCCTGGAGTCAGTCTCAGTCCATTAACACAAATAATTACCACTCTTAAAGGTGGATCAATTTCTTGATGAAATTGCGTAAAGATTATGAAATATTGTGCTGCTAAAGCTCACATCATTTACCACAGCATACTCGAGAATGTATTTCCCAATGCTATAAATACAACCACAACAATAATTGACCAAGTAATTATTCCAATTAAATTAAGTTCCTAAATTGCTAACCTGACCTAGCCTAATACAACTATTATTACAATCATTCCATTATTGACACCAAAGTCCAAAATGGTTTCAGGAATTCAAATCATAACTAACTAATTATGTGCCTAAGCTCCCAAAGAATTAGAACTTGGCTATAAAATGGATTCAGGAAGAGTTAAAACGCCGTGGTTATCCTTAAGAATGCATAGAAACAAAATCACTGAAAAAAGCTAGCGTAGTTATATTATTTCAATATTTAGTAGAAGCGTTTCATTTAAACAAAACAGCTAAAGAACTTTAAATATAGGATAAATCGAGTGCTTGCTGTGAATCGTTGCATCAATGTCTATGTGAAGGCCTACGTACAGTCTACTGCAGTACGGTATGGTGGTCATAAATTAAACTTATCCCCCAGCCATATAGCTCAGCAAAATATAGGCTACAATCACTAGGCTACTTCTTATCATAATGCTCTTATGTTATCTTCATGGCAGGCCTTATTATTTGAGCATCTATTTAGTAGTACATTATTAATATAGGTTTTGTAAGGATAGTTTCTGTGGTATAATTCTAGGATGTCTATGGAAACTAAATCCAGGTAAGCGATGATGGTCATTTGAACACTAATATGATTGTACATTCAATGTTGAAATATCACTCTAGCTAAAAAATATTCGATACCATCTGTACATGTATATTTTTAAGTCTTAAAACGCAAGGGAAGTTTGTTATGAAAATAAATATTTCGTATGAATAAAAATAAAACAAAATATTTTTTGTATGTTCAGAATACTAATAGATTTGTTAGAACTAACAAATGTTTATTTAGTATTAATCTTGGATTACAAATCTAACCACGAAAACATATAGACGTAGGCTTAAAGTAGATTTTTGTAGATAATTGTTAAAATGATAAGGTTAACTTGTCATTCGAATTAAGGAGTTTCATTTATTATTTTTGGATCATTTTAAGCTACGCATCTTTAAAATGTAAAAACAATTCATGTATGTCAATTCTAAAAAAAATGTATATATATTTAAATTGGGTTAAATACAGGTTTTAACACTTTGTTGTGTAAATATTGCAATTTAATTGCACTAATACTGAAACCAGACTAAGTTTAAGGTACAACTACCAATTATTCATTTGAAAGTATTGTATGTTTTCAATTTTTCTTAAGAAGCGTCCCAAAATTATTGATAAAAAAATACGATATGTTTTAGCAATGTTCCAGTTGCTGAAACTGGGACAGTAGTAATTATTGAAAGAACGGATTGGAAAGCTGACACTCCTAAGAATGTAGAAAACATGAAAGTCGAAAAAATTGAAAATATTGTGATGACGACAACAGGCACAGACATATGCAAGACTAGAGAAGAATGCAGCCTACGAGTAAAAGAAATACAGGAGAAGGATATGAGTGAAGGACACCCTGATATAAGATACAAGTAGGTCATACATAGAAAAATACCCCCGTCGCAGCAAACCAGTAGACTAAGCGGCGAATTTCCATTTTCCTGAATTGATTTTAAATTAAAATCTTTTAAAATCTATATATATAATACGTGAAGCCGTTTTTTGTTAACGCAACTCCTCCCTTATTTGTGGACCAATTTCAACGTTTAAGGTGTCAAAAGATTCGTCTCAATATGTAGTTTTGCAATAAGGTTTTAGAATTTTGAAATTCCCACTCTTAAGGGTGTGAGACCTTCCCAAAGGTCGGGTTTTCCCCATAAGAAATACATGGAACAAATTTTAAAACAAAAAACAGCTGTTTATAAAAAGAAACTCATTAGCTTTTTGGGAGTAAATATTAATGTTTGTAATATTCAGGAGGTTAAGACCAAGTAAACAGTTAATCAGTTTTGTTGGAAGAACAGAAAATACCTCAAGTTCAAAGAAGAAATATTTAAAACGGGAGAATGAGAAAATTAATAATAAGATATCTTATGCATATGAAGAGAGTGGAAATAGAGAGGCGGCCTGGTCTAACAGATACCTATCCAGATATACATTCACTTGGTTAAACTAGTTAACCAACTTTCAATGGTGTTGCTGCCTTAGACTATTCAAAGCAGATTAGTGCTGTCCAGTTGGCAACCCAGAGTTTGTAAGTAAAAAATGGAGCACATGAAATGGTTGATTCTGTATCACCCAACTTTTTAGGATTCTCTAAGGAGAAAATTTGTTTTATTAGAGGGCTGTCTCAAATCAAAGAAATAAAATTACCCAGCTTGAATTGCTTAACACAGGTTATCAGTAAGGCAACAGTTTTCTTCAATTCACAATGCTGGAAAAACTTTCGCATCATGTTAACTTGAATTGAAGGAGATCGTTTAGTATTCATTATTATTAAGTTATTTATCAGTTAAAACTGAGAGCAGTAATAATGTAGGTGAACCTTGACGACGCAAATATAGATATTTAAAATTAGTTTCTAACAAGTGTTTAAACAACTCTAAGATTTAACTAGAATTATTCTAATTTAAGCATAACGTTAACGTTTTCCTCGGGATTATGTTTCATACTATGCGGCTCATTGAGCCGCACGGGTTCTCTAGTAACATTAGGTTTAACGATTACCTAAGTTTCCTGCCACAGGGAGGCTAATAAAGTGTGTTTTTAGTAACATATTAGTAGCTCATTATAAAGTAAATAAATTTGCCAAGTTTGATCGAAATATTTTCATAAACAAGCAAACATAATTACAACACACATATCATAACACACACACACACACACACACATACATAAGAAAAAACTAAAATACAGTAACATAACATACATTTTCTCTTTTTATCTATCATACAGTCACATACAAAAACACTCTTTGCCTTACCTAGGCTTAATGCATGCCATCCCAACATGAAACGGAAAATACATATTAAAAAATATAGTAAAAGATTCATCATGTGTTAATATAGTAAAAATGATTATAGTAAAGGATTATTATACTATCTTTCAGTAATTTTAATAACACATACAATGCTGTTCAAGGTATTAATTTATAGATTGATTTCACTTTATTCATGTTCTTTAATTATCCACTTGTAGTTTTCTAGTGGCTGAAGATGGTAACGTCTATGAAGGAAGGGGGTGGAAGGTGAGCACTAAGGTATCAAGAAAAGATGGCGACCAATTCAGTTATTTGGACGGAAAGTGTCTTTACATCGCGTTTATAGGCCCGTTAGGTATGTTATTACTTTATCTAAGAATTCTATATATAAAAGGAAATTCGCTTAAATTATAAAAACCTAAACTTTGTTTAATTGTTTAAACAATTAATTATTAATTGTTTAATTCGTCCATACACCAGTGGAGTGTATTGTAATGATGTTTGATATGAACAAATCAAGTAAAATACCATTAATAAGTATTATTATGTTTTAGTGCTTTTTAAAACGTTTATTTATGGAAATTTTACTGCTTCCATCGTTTTGACAAATATTTCTGCCTATAATGTAAATACTTTTTTATTAATCTAAAAGCTCCTATTCGAATAAGATGCTATGAGGCATCTAGCGTAAGTAAAATCTTGACCTTACAATGTAGATAAATTACGTTACATTCTACCACCTATATCGTCATGCAGACATTATTGATTTCTCATTTAATCAACTATGTTTTTTGTATTTATTTTTCATCCTACATCATTTTTACATAAGAACAGATTATGTGTAAGGTTATGAGGTGTTAAGGTGGCTTTTACTCTATTTCGTAATTAAATATTTTTTTCTTGGGACTTTTTACTGCTGTCACCATAAACCGTAGAAGTATGGTGACCATAGTACCTGTCCCCATAGACCAAAGTGACCATAGGTATGACCATGAGTGTACCTGTACCCACAATAGCATGATTAATGAGAAAAAAACAGTAAAATCCCATGGGGAGGAGGGGTTACACGGTAAAGCGAGAAGATATTATGGCTATTTATCGTCCAAAGACACTGCCACTAACCTACTGGTCCATGTTTAATCTATTTTATTGATATTTATTTGTATCTGTCTAGACATGACGCCGTCTTCAGAGATGTTCACAGCAATGTCGGGTCTAAGCAGTGTTGGGGTTGACAATGATTACATCGGCAGGGAAGTGAAGATCGTCAGGATAGATGGAGAGAAGTCCCATGTTTATGATGTTAATTTGGACGAAGTCCTAGAGGACGATAAAAGCACGAAAGCATATGAATCATATACCGTGGAAGCCAGACATTAATTTTTTTCTGGCTTTACAGAACCTTTATGCATTAAACTGATATGTGCTTCGGTTTTGCACTTTTAAGTACAAAGCTTGTTTTAGTGTTGTAGAATATCTTAGATTTAGCAATTGAACATTAGCAGTAAACATTTTTGCTTAAATGTAACCAAACGTGAATCACTTAATTATATACAATACTCGTTCTACTTTAAATTATTATGTGTAAATAATTTTAGTTTAATTTCGAGCGAATATTAATAACAGGTTTATAAAATAACACAATGGCTAAGGTGCTAGGGTTAATAAAATATTTAATTATTTTTTTTATAATGTTATAAAATCCATATTTGTAAAAACCTATTTGTGCTTTTGGTAATTATCTATTACTTTGAGGTAATATATTAAATTATTAGTGAGAAATGTTTTTTTTAAACGGGATTAAGGGACTTTAATAAAAATTGTGCATTCTGTGAAATACCAATTAATATGTTCTTGTCAATTGTATCAGCGCAATTAAACGCTTATGAAAAAAAGTAAAAATTGTTCGATTATTTATTCCCAATATTTTATCTTTTTCACTTTATACACACAGAGGGCTGGAAATGGAGTCTAATGACTCCATATTTTTTATATTAACGAAACAATAATAAGGATTTTTCTGTTCTGTGTTCTATGCTGTTGTATGTTATATCTTTGGCATGCACGAATGTCAAATTGTTTTTTTTTTTTTTTTTTTTTTTTTTTTTGTAAATGTAGTTATAAAATGCCAATCCCCGTGACTCTAATAATGTGTGAATTCTTCATCAGAGCTTTCTTCAGCCTTTTTAGTATCTTCAGTTTTCTTCTTCTTCCCAAGTCCTTGTATGAAGTCCTCCGCTGTTTTAAACTCATTCTTTTCCCCGGAATAAAGTCGGAAGGTATCAAGTGCGTAGTCTACCAATGCTCTCACCGTGTCCTCCATTAATCTGGTAGCTTTGTTTTCTGAAGCAACAACATACACGTTGCAAGAATGAGTAGCATATGGGAAATAAAAGTAGGTATCAAACGCAAAAGTGTATACTATTTTAAATTTAAAACACATTTTTGGAAGATACATTTCTTACAAAAAGATAGTAGTTTAGGTTTAAACTTAATAGAAAATGTCAAATTTGATTTTACAAATTTATAAATTTAGACAGTTGAAAGTGAGTTAAGTTATTAAAATAATGAATTCATATTTGTTTTTTATTAAAATGAATTGTAGTACAGTTCATAAAGAACTATTAGAAATCTGGTATAAAATTTTAAAACTATTTAGGCATGAATTCACTACCAATATAAGCTTAAACATATTAGGCGTGTTACTCTCAGTGGTTAGCATCTGAAACCTTGGTAGATATATTAAATTTCTAACATATCAACGAAAATCTAAAAGATTTCGGCTGATTTACTGAAAATGAATTTACCATCTCGTATATAATACTGTCACAATTATTAAACACATTCAAAATATCATAAATATACCCATTAAAACGATCTAAATGTTTACTAAGGCCTAGTACTAATAATGTAGCTTTCTATGGGTTAATATAACTTACTCTCTTTGTCCCCAATATATGCTATGACAAGCCTTCTGTCAGGAGACTGCATGAGAAGTTCCTTACTAATCATTGGCTTTGGAGCAGGAAACTCGGGGTCCACGCATTTGATTAGTGTACTCTTATTACTGATAGTGTGCCACCCCCTCCCCTCATAGACTCTGCCGTCTCCACCTATCAGGAAACTGTGCTTGGGTAAAAATGTGGTATGAGTAATTTTAAATGTAATAAACCACCCGTATACTACTAAATATGCTACCTTATAGATTATTATCCAGTGACTTAAGCGGTTACAGTGCTAGCCTGGTAATAAGAAAATGGCAGGCATGATCAGTAGTTTTATGGCTTGAAACTAGGTCTAACTGTTATTGATAGTTCAGCTGTTAATGAAAAGAAATGTCAAAACTTAGTTTGCTTTGTATGCTGAACAAGCTATATCAACTCAATATAGGCTACACGTAATCTGCAATATAACAGCTTAAAATACATAATCGAGACAGCTCAACTGTCAAGATTTAATTGATTGATCGTCTAATATGTGCTTCTGGTAGGCATAGTTCTTCGTTGTTTGTTGCGTATTCCACGAATTATAAAAATTATAAGATATGTTTTACAAATGTTAATTTGAAATCAGTTATTTGTTTTGTTAATCTTCAAAAGGGCTTCGAATAAAGAGTAAAAATTGCCCTAAGATAGGATAAACACTTAATAGTGTATAGACAGCCTTGATGTCAGCTGTTAGGGCCTGGAAATTAGAGTAACATGTAAAGATTTGCTATACTCAGTCAGCTTGAAATTTTGTTTTGCCTAGATGCACTGTAGAACTTCAGAACTCCACTGATAGCTAAGCTTATTTTCTGACATAATTTACCCATCAGCTATGTCACGAAGGCCATTCTCTTCCATGCGTATTTCCTGCCATCGTAAATTCTTCATATTGTTGCACGGTGCAGTGTTAGTATGTGCAATGGTAGGTGAAAAAAGATTGTTTTCTTACATGACTCACCTATAAGCTATGTCAGGAAGACCTTCCTCGTCCATCTGTTTCATCTGTATTTCCTGAACTGCTCTGGTACATTCTTCGGTAGTAGTGCACGGTTCAGTGTCTGTGTAAGTCGTGGTAGCTGACAGTGCAGGATAGTCCAGATCTTCCCGCCATTTTGGCACCCTGGCTTTCCATTCTGCTCGAGAGATAATCTTGAGATCTACAAAACTTTATAAGTCAAACATACCTCTAAAATTGACATGAATGCAAACACCACTATGGAGAAGGATTGCTCAATATGAATTTACATTTGGAAATTAAACATAGTCATAATGACAATGTGGAATTTTAATTTATTCGATTTCAAGAAAGTCGTGTAGCTATGAGATATCTATCTAATAGATGAAATGGTTTTATAAAAAATATATGATTTTTATTTTAAGCTCGTAACGGGGATAACGTTTTGTCATTATATTAGTTATATTTTTTACTAAACATTAATGCGTTAATTAACAACAAAATGGTGTTTATGACTCTACAAAAATTATTGCTTCTAAATATTGTTTGAAAAGTCTAGAATTTACCCTCTACTCATTTGGCTTACAAACTATTTCAAACACTATCTTATTCTAAGGATATGATTCAACTTTAGCCTGTGTCAAGTCATTATTATTTTTAACAGTTGCCAGTCATATGTAGTATAAAGAAAGGTATTTATTTTTTTCTGTGAACCAACCGAACTCTTTATTCCATTGCGAAAATCCTAAGAAAATATATTTTGTGACAACTACCACTTACTAAAACGAAATAAAACCTCAATAAAAAGTTTTCTCAACTAACTTTCATGAGAAAGTTGTCTGCAACAGCGAAACTTGTAGTAATATAATGGCACTTGAAAGCTTATAAGACTAGACATTTCAGTCTAAAGCCAAATGCTTACCAGGTTCCTCATCATCTTCCCTGAGTAGAGGTATTTTGGCTGCAATCCGTCTAACTGCTGAACCCATTGTACGCTCCTTTCTTCTTTTTATCTAGGATATTAATTAAACTATACTGGTTTAGGCACAATGTTTATCTACTTATTTACTATTAATAAATAGTAAATAATAGGGCCTTATGCTTTGTTACTGAATAATATCAGCTGCTTTATTAGCCGTGATCATTTATTAAAATCTCGAATATCAAGGACTTAACCTCTATCAAACGGACTTGAGGAATCCATTGGTTATTTATATTGGTCGAGTTTAAGTTTTTACTATTTATTAAATCCTCATCATTAGCACTAATATGCATAGCAAAACTACTTAAATAATAATTTAAAACTGTTCTCACACAAAAAGTATTCAGAAAGAGTAAAAGCTAAAATTGACACATTTTACAACGAGTCATGTAAAATTGGGATTTGACGTTTCGTCAGTCTTATTTTTTTATATACTATCCAACAAATATTTTACAGTCAAAATCTAACAACAAAATAAGTTATAAAGCTTGTTGATAATAATTTAACAGTATATATTATTTAGAATGTTATTACAATTTGTTTATACCATAATATTTATTTATGACAAATAATAAACTTCCTTTATTATATTATTAAAACTATATTTAAAAAAAAATCTGCCTACAAAAATCTCTCAAAAAGTTAAAATATTTAGGACTTCCTTCCATTTTTACAATTTTTAGTAAAACTTGATTGGGGTTGTACATTTATTGTCAGACTATGTATAGTTTCGTTAAATTTTAAATGGAATGATAAAAATTGTGACAGTATTAATAATTTTAGAAAAATAATAGTAATAAACAATTATAATTTTTTCAAAAAAGTAGCACTTTTATGTTTCTCACAAAAAACACCCCTTGTTCAGTTGAGTTTTACTATTACTAAAAGTCTTTCTACAACAACGCTTTTATAAAAATGAATCATGACTCCATCTTGAGACCAGATAAGACGTTTCACACAATATCAGCTGTGTACAAAGACTTTTTGTTCGGTAGAAAATTATATGTCAACCTTTGTGGGACAAAAGTAAAGCTTGAAAAAAGAGGAAAATTACACGTCATAGGAAAAGAAATGAAACAGTTTCTCGGACTGGTGCACAATGGAGAATTGTCTTGGAGAAGTCTTCTAAGGGGGTTCTTTGTTTGGTAGCTTTGCCGACTGCATTTTATGACTTTCTGGTTAGTTTGTTTTGTGGCTCTCCCCTAGAGCTTGTGTATTAAAACGGTTGTAAAAGAATAGCTTTGATCTTGAAGCAAAAAGTATTGTTGAATCTGCATTTGTGTGTTGGAAATCACAGTAAACTGGAAAGGAATTATTGTGGTTGTTTTACGAAAAAGTTACTAAAAATACAAATGAGATATGTAATTAATTTCCAAACCTGTTTAAATGAGTTTAACATTTCCTATCATAGACTTAAGACATGAAATATTAAGTCTAAGATTCATATCTACAACTATTATAAAAATATCATAAGCTACCTCACATCTACTGAATATAATTTGGGTACATTTTCGTTACAGCCAAACTGTTAGGTTTAGGATATATTCAACTTTTTAACAGGAAATGTTGAACATTAGCGCTACATTTATTTCTTGAATTTCAAATGGCTATTTACGGTTTCTTCATTTCAACAAAGATGAAAAAACTATCTACTGTAACAATAATTTAACATACCTGTCACAAAATCCGTCACTTAGAATTATCAGTAAGATTCAAAAATTTTAATGGCTTCATGATTTTAAGATTCAAATAGCGAGGGAGTAACATTTTAAATATTTTGATTATTAATGACAGACTTGTAGGCAATGGAAAATTACTACAAATATATGTTATGAACAAGAACTGGTGTCAGCTACTCCATTTAGATAACCAAAGCTATCTAGATAATGTTATAATATCATCCATTTATGATTGTTTAGCATTTTACGTTGGATGAATACCATAATGTCTGTGAACTCTTGTCTTAACAAAAGTATTTAGTTTGTGGAATTTAAAGCAAATTACGTTATTGTCTCCAGTTTAAGATTTTTAAAGGGTTGGGTTAATGAACTAATCTTGTTCTTTTTTAGTAGTTATATAAAATCAAAATGTATATTGAAGGGTATTACAATAAACTTAATGAAATCGGGTTCTTTTATTGGATAGATCATGTGTATTACAAACTTCTATGTTTATGGTCAAAATATACTGACGCCTCTGATGGTAAGTTTTCAATTGATATTTAATTAATATGATTGATTGATATTACTATTTTTGGGGGGGATGTCTTGATGCGCCCGAACATAAAATCACACTTATACTAAATTATTTTTTTATAAAAAAATCATTCATAGGTAAACTGTAGTTCCATTTTTACTTTGCCCCCCCCCCCCCCAATGCAGAGAAAGTATTATTACAGCCAAAACTTTCGAGTCTGAGTTTTGGGCCAAATATTCCTTTTGGGCCCTCCCGAACTAAACAGTTTTTTTTTTTTCGGAGAGATGTTTATGTGTGTGTCTTGGTGTGTGTGTACAGAGCTAAAGACTACATATTAGGTAAAATTGTGATGATAAATATTGTCTAGGTACCAATTAATTATACCAACAGGAGTTCTTTGCTTTTTATGGTAATTTTACCAGGAAATTCTGTAGAATGATGGGAAAATGTGATATTTACCAGAACGGCCCAAACGATATTGAATATAATTTTGCATTTATGGTCCTTTTAACCTTGAACTAAATGTTATTTGCCCACTCTGCATCTCTTCTATGTTTATTTTAATATGTTCACTTATTCTTCAAATTCTCCTTAACGTATAAACAGTACTGTACCTGCAGCCTATTCGTTGTTTATCTAATGGATTATCTTCAGCCAGTTCTATGATTCAAGTCTTCTATCACTTCACTTTGTTCTTTCTCAAAACCAATTGATCAGAACATGTGGTGACGTATCTAGATCATTCAAGTATTTAAATTTCTTTTCATCTACCAAGTTGTTGATGGCAGAGGCAGTGTGTTCCAGAGTACGAAGCCGAATGCTATGAAGACGTGAGAGACCTCCCTCCACCAGAGATTGTCACTAGGGAGGAATGGGAAGCAAGAACTCCCTTGTCTACAGACGATGAGGAACTCCCAGTCCCCAACAGCTTCATAATCTTCCATGACACAAAAGGGGACCAATGTTTTACAAAGGAAGAATGCTGCGAGAGAGTGCGTCAGATTCAGGACATGAATATGGACAAGTGGAAGTTCTCAGATATTGTGTACAAGTAAGGAAAATATATGTATCCTTTAACTTATCATTTAAAGAGGTCCGTGGCCTCTTTTACCTAAATGTCCATATGGGCCACAGAGGATTGTGCAAGGAACGTATTTTGAAAACCCTTGGGTGAGCGGGTACAACACAACGGGGATTGTTTACTTGTTAACTAAGTACAACAGCTATACGTTTCACAGAATGTTTTGAAACATCGTTGACCTTGAGTTTTTTTAGCTTCCTTGTAGGTGGAGATGGAAGGATATACGAAGGCAGGGGATGGCGCAGACCTGGGGAACATACGGACGATTGGAATCATAAAAGCATTGGAATAGCAGCCATTGGGGACTTCAGAGGTTGGCATTTTGTTTTTATGGTTCAGAATATTATATAATACAATCATGCTTAATATTGAGTGTTACTACAGTTAGTAGATTTTGTTTTGAGATTCACTTATACGCAATTAAAAATGTAGCCTATATAATTTCACATTTAAAATGAATCATTGATTTAACCTGATGTTATATAAATAAAGGATTTAGAACGTTTTAAAAGCCAATCTTGAAAACGCAGAAATATTTCCGTCAAAAGGCATAAGTGGGACGTGTGTTAACTTATTTTTGAAACTCAATACCTTATGCAAGTTTCAATGAGCAAACGCAATAAGCAAATACATATTGAGACACGTTTATTATACAAAACTACTAGTAAGTAACAAATAATACTCTTAGTAAATTAAATTCTTAGAATTTTTACTTAGTTACAAAAATTACTTCACTACTCCATTTGACCTAGTAGTAAGATTTTGAAAAAGTAAAAAGTAAAAAGAGTTTTGTAATATACTTGTCATCATTTACATTTTAGTCTTGGACCCAAATATGTATTATATTAGGTACTTATTCACCTCATTTTTACAACTATTTATAATGATTATTCAATTCAATTAATCTCTTGTTGCATTTTTTTCACTTTTAAACACTGTACAACACATTTATTCGACACCAGTACACTAGGATTAAGTTGGGTGAAGGATGCGTGTAGAATTAATGAGACTACTAAGATCAACTGTTTCATTGGATCATTATCAAAAACTCAATTGTCCAAGCACAGATGGCCCCTTACATTTCATGTGTATTAATGCATTCTCTATATTTTACTAGATGAAGCTCCAAATGAAGAAATGCTAGAGGGTATTGAAAGATTCGTCAACTTGGGTATAAGTAATGACAATCAATACCTAACTGACACATATACCGTGTTAGCACATTGCCAACTGGACGAGAGCAACTATTGGACTGAATGTCCTGGGGATGCGTTCTTGGAAGAGGTAATGTTCTGAATCTTAGCCAATTATAATTAAACTTAATAACCTTTATTATTAACCTCAATAAATCAAAATAAAAGACAGTATGGACTGTTCGATAAATTAATTACGCAACTGATTATTAGCTTTAGGTTTTTGTTCAAATCTATAGAATTCTGTTTTTACAATTTGTATTTTGCCAGATAGCCAATGAAGAATAATTTATCTTTAATATTCGGTAAGAGTCTTAACAACACACAAACGATTATGCGCCCTTGATTTAAAAGATTTAATGCAAAAATTTAACAAATAAATAAAAATTAATTTTGTTTTGTGTGTCTGCAATTACATTATTGCAAGTGTTCTCGCTGTGACAATGGCATTTCAAAGCTAAACAAGCTATAATAGCTTATAGACCCAATAAAATAAACGAACTATACTATAACCAAAAGCTTTATTCCGTAGGATATTAAAGTTAAGTTGCATCCTGTTCTGAAAGAGGTAGAGTGTATAGTCACTGCATAATATCAAGTTACTTTAATTTTTCTTTCATAACTGCCATAAATGTGGGTTTTAAACTAAAGTGAGTCATTCAGTAATAAGGTACAACGAATTTGATTATATCATTTAAGACAAAAGATAGAATTAAAACATTATCTATATACATGACCTATATACGTATAGCCTACGTGGAATTCAGTGATAGCTGTGTTCAAGAAGGGTAATTTATTTTGAATTACGTTTAAAACAAACTATTTTGCCGAACTGATGCACTCCTTGAATGTAGCCTTATAGATTTTATCGCAATTGACTGACGTTAATCCGTTTTCGGTTATTAACAATTACTTACAAAAACATAAAAATATAATTTATATAATTATGTACATAAAACCTAAAACACACGCCGCTAAATATTAGATCAAGATTCTCTTAAGTTGCATCAGTCTAACAGTCCTAAGCACTATTATCGCCATAAAGGACTACTTTATCTTCATTTCCTCCCTCTATAATCCCGAATAATTTTTTTAATTTCCTTTTTGACCTTTTCTTTCTTTATTTTCTTTAAAAAAAAAAAGTTTGACGGCCTCTTTTAGCCTTGCATTTGCCCGTCCACATAGACTAAGTGCCCGTGCCACCAATAGCACCACCACCAGCAATAGTTATAAAAAATAACTAAAACGTAATAACACTTTAGACAGCAAGACATTGCAGCACGAATAGTGTCGTGAGGGGTGCTGATTTAGTTCAAAAGTTTTGCATTAAATATTACCGATTCAATATACAGCAGTATGATGTTAATGTTTACTATTTATATTGTACAATAAAACCTTCTTTCAATGTTTCATAAACAAACTTTAGTGTTAATGGTTTTCAGGATAATATAAACTATATAACACTGGTAATAAAATTATGGTACTTACGTATTATACGGAGGCCACTTATTTTACAGCGCGCTGCGGTGGTTGGGTTAAGTTGGGTTATCATAAATATGTTTGTAGAACTTTCCTAGTTTCGTTATGAATCGAACTATACGAGATGAGTCATAAAAACTTATGATAACCCAACCTAACCTAACCGCCGCAGCGCGCTGTAAAATAAGTGGCCTCCGTATAATACGTAAGTACCAAAATTATTTCAGGGTGTTCAGTTATGCTTTCTTTACTACTCAACCACTGTTAATATGTCTAGATCCGAGACATGCCTCATTGGGAGATGGCGGAAAGTTACTATGAATCAACATGTGAGTCATCTACCTACCACTCTTATAATACTTCAACATATCGGAATGCATCTGACTGTACCTCAGAGTCCGACTATGACTATCCTAAGGGATACGACGAGAAGTTATTTGGTCCTTGGGATAAAATCAATTTCGATTAATACCTTTCACTCTGAAAACATAAATTTGTGATTACACAGTTTACTTCAAAAATGTACAATATAAAAATTTTATCATATAATATTGGTTTTTTTTTAGATTTTGGTGGTCCCTTTCGTGTAGTTACTTCTTCCTTCCACACAAACATTTTATTTACCTATAAAGCTGAAACATTCTATTTAATTTATTATATAAAAAACTATAATTCATGTACTTTCTGTGATTTGGGAATACTGTTATATTTTGAGTTAAACTATTAATGTTTTATTTAAAATATATCATTGGGATTCATTCAACAACCTATTACATAGTTAATTAACTTCTAAGTAGGCCAGAATGCATGGTGTGCAGTAATATAGTGTACCATTATGGTTGTAAACATCAATACCCCAACTGTGTATTTATATAGTTTTAAGTTTGTTTCGAATTATTGATTTCCACTAAATAATTATGTATTTGTTTATTTCACCAGAGTGATATAATGTGAAAATCTACATTCACAAAAGTTTTCAAGAGTAATTAGATGATTCTTATGACATCTAAATAAGAATTTTTTAAGTGAGTTTATGCTTTCAAATGTAATTAAGAAATATAACTTAAACAAACAAAGCAGTCTGATCTACAGCTCTCAAAAATCAAACCAAATAAATACCAGTTAAACGTCCATCTATTCATTTATTGAACTGCTGACTGACATCATATCTATGCCATTGTTTACTAAGTCATAAAATGATTTTTTGTTGTTGCGAAACAAAAAATAGGCTTTGTGTGAGAGTAATAAGCTGTTTAATTAAGGATGAAGATGATGACAAACCTCAAAGATTTGTCAAGGAGACAAGATAATAATCCTTCCCTCAGTCGTAACGCAAAGGCCAAAGCGGCTTAATGTCTCAACGTCTTCTTATTTCTCCTTTCTCTCTTTGTAAAAGAAGTAATTATTCTTATAGAAATATGAAATTTCACAACAATTAAATAACTAAATCCTTTAACAAAATCAAGTATAGTGAAATTTCTAGTAAGTAGTAGTAAGTAATAAAACACAAATCATCGATAACCACTAATAATTCATCCTGTAAACCTAAAATGTCTTGAGACTTTTGAAAACGAAAGTCCTTCCATTAATTTCTACATAGCTTAGGTAACAACTTAAGTTTGGTTTCACACCAATGTACCTGAAAATTATTGGTGATTAGTGAAATTTGAAACCTGACCCTGAGAACAGAATGTTCTGTGATATAATAACTTACTCCTGAAGTTTATTGTGTCATTATTATCTTTAATATTATTGATAAGCTTAAGAGTGTAAACCTTCAATACAATAAATTCAATTATATTTGACAGAATTTTTCAGGGAAAACATCACATAAAGTATAATGTTTCCAATTTTTATCACCAAACATTTTGTTAAAGCAAAACTCAGGTGACTTTTTACAAAGTTTTAATAATTACTCATTGTTGTGGTTTGCCCCTGAGCTGGTAAGACAAATATTAATAGTGGTTTATTTACCTTGTATTTTCGTCACAGCTCAAAAATGTTGTATAGAAGCTACAACCATGGTTTCGACGCCGTTTGCGTCATGGTCACGTAGGACATGTCGAGAATCAAAGCATAGTTGTTGTTGTCATAGTCGGTCGCTTGGACGTCGTCAAAAACACATTAACACAAATACGAACACATACGGACATATTAACACTTAAAAATGTTCTCGGGGACGGAATACAGGCCTGTGTTTATTTAACTGTACCGTCGCGGGAGCCGGCTGGAGAACACTCTCCAGCCGGCTCCCGCGACGGTACAGTTAAATAAACACAGGCCTGTATTCCGTCCCCGAGAACATTTTTAAGTGTTAATATGTCCGTATGTGTTCGTGTTTGTGTTAATGTGTTTTTGACGACGTCCAAGCGACCGACTATGACAACAACAACTATGCTTTGATTCTCGACATGTCCTACGTGACCATGACGCAAACGGCGTCGAAACCATGGTTGTAGCTTCTAAACAACATTTTTGAGCTGTGACGAAAATACAAGGTAAATAAACCACTATTAATATTTTAATAATTAGTAATATTTTTGTTTATAAGCTCCAGTTTTATACATATGTATATTTTAAAGCCAACTTACATTGGATATTAAAATCAAATTGTAATCTACATTTTTATTGACTACGCTTATGACATGACATCAACACGGTTCGACCCCTTCTCTATAGAAACCTAATTACAGAACACGAGTCATTCTTGATGGGGGCGTTGATTTTATTTAAGTAAGCTTTTGAAAACTATAAAAACTATCTTTATTAGGGTTGGGAATTGGATGGAATTAGATGGATTAACGCCTTAATAACTTTATTCAGGGTCCCCTTGTAAAATACAAGTTTACATAGAAGGGGAATATGTCTCGGTACACTATATAGTACAGTAATAGATTCATAAAACCACTAAATCGTGATAAAAGATATTCCATAACAAACAATTTCAACAGAACAAAAGTTGTCTGGTCTTAAAGGTGACGTGACTAAAAATAAGAACCTAGATAAATTCCAGTCCCCTAAACTGGGCTTTACTTTTGTGTTTGTGTGTTTTTTTTAGATTCTGTTAATCATAACGTTATTTCTAATTACTGAGCATAATTTGAAAAATATCAATTCCTTGAAATTAATATTTGATTATCGTCGAAGACCTGTTAAATACAACTCCTGTGGATTCATTGAATTCCATGTCAGCTTTTTTTTAGCTAATCGAAACCAAGTTTATGAAAAAGATAAGCCTTTTTCAAAATTATCCGTTACATTTGAAGGTAAACAATTTACAAAAGTATATGCATTTGATTACGATATTTTGGGGTACATTTTGATATACAGGTTATAGTTTTAAATTACCAATCACAATGCTTAACTCATGTTTTATTTGAGAACCTTGTTGTGTATTAAAATCAAAAATGACCATCTTTAAATTGAAGTTAGGACGAACAAAATTTATAGGTTGAGAAAATGTCATATACAATAATGGTAATTTATCTAATAGGCCTACTTAAATCGACTAGCCTGTTACATATCGTTTAGTAGATCCATCGCTATGTCCTGGTAACCCACTACACCTAGCAAATAGCAGGTGTTACCCTTAAGCCTGAGTATGTAGCTTAAACACTCACATCCGTCACGGGATCACAGGTTAGCAAGCTGAGTTATTTGAGCTGTTTTTAAATCTCATAGTTCTTACATTGATTCTTGAAAGTAGAGAGTCAACGTTTTTTGTTTTTAATGTTATGAGTTTTATGATCAATTTATAAAAGAAAACTAATAATTTTGGATTATTGGAAAATCTTCCATAGTAATTAAAAATGTATTATATTAAAATGTGATGTAATCTCTGAAAACGAGAAACAGGCATTGAGAAGAAAAACATTAAAGACATTTTTTAATAAGCACTTTATAAATGTAAGCAATTGAGTATGAAAAATATATTGTTAAAGTAAAATTATATAGGCGGTAACAGTGAAAAAATTAGTTAAAATTCAACCAAATTAGTCTTACTAATATTAATTGTTGTCGATAAAAAATGAACATGTATATTGTGTGGTAATACTTTGCCCAAAAATCTATTTTATTTGTTAACTGCAGAAAGATGCAAACATTGTGAGCGTTTGGGGAAACATAAACCTACATTTGAATACAAATGACCCATATTTGTCATTTTATTTGTTCGTACCCTATCCAATAAATTATTTCTAAACATACACAGTTTAGTGTATAGTTTACATAAAAATATAGAAGAGTATTTATTATTGTAAAGTCTTATATACTTAAACTTATATACATCTACTTGGCAAACACAAGGGGTTTTGAAAATATAAAATTATAAATTTGAAATTAAAGTTTTAATAATACCTTAACTACTTACACCAATATATAATTTTGTCAATAATCGATGTATAAAGTACTAAATCAATACAACTTATAAAAGAGGGATATTATTTGGATACCTGCTAAATTTACTATTCAAAACCTTGAGTTTATTTGGTAATTTTTATTTATATTATGACTGGTAAATTTTAATATATTTCAGAAGACGGAAAAGAACAATTAAAAGGGTGACTTAACACAATATAGCTTACATCTTTATTTGTGTTCCTTCTTTATCGTTAAATGTCAACATTGGCAATGCTTTGACAGTTTTTTCAATCAGCGTTAATGGTTTTTCACGTTACACAAATGTCAATCAACTTAATGTGCAAATGTTTTTCCAATCTAATGGATTGTCTGATTACCTCACAATATTAGATAAAACTGTGTTCCTACTGAGAAAATATGCCTTAAAATAAGTACTTGGGTAAGAAAATGTCAACCGGCACCACGTTTACTACGGCCCAGTAAATTTTTGAAATTATTGTAGACTGCGATTTGCAAAAATTCATGGGTGTAATGTGTTTTAACTTTAACGACACTACTTGAGCCAAATCTAGGACTGAAGATACTTTTTAATGCCAAAACGGCCGCAAGGTACATCTGTTGAACAGAGTCCTTGATTTCTTGGAGGCTAGCGGCCATCTTGGATTATTTCAAACAGATGTTGAACGGTTATTTATGATCCAAAAATATTTTGTCCATAAACCAATGTGATTGTAATTTAAATTTAAATAGTGCACTATGGGGTCAGAAACTTTCTTTGCAGTTTTGTAATTGTTTTCCAAGGGTCCATCCATAGAGGCTAACGGCCTCTTGGATTTGCCCACAATAAGAGCAATGTTAATTTTAAACAGCCGCTAAAGAGTAATATATCTCCTCAAAATATTTATTTTCAAGCAATTGTAATTTAAACGTCTTGTGCACTGTGCATTAGAAATTGTCTTCCTACTTCTGTAATTGTACCTCAATACCCGAATACCTCCTTCGTCTTTTACTCACAAAGTGGGATTGACAGCATCACTTCACATGGTTAACTGAACAAAAACAGATGTTTCCAAATATTTCCAATAACTTCCGGCAGGCGTCAGGCTACTTAAGTCACCCCTTAAATATTCTAAGATGTCA